GGGAACAGCCTGTGCAAAGGCCTTGTCCTAGGACCAGTCCTGGTTTGTTGGAGGAAGAGAGAGGAGGCCCGTGTGGGGGGAGCAGAGGGAGGGAGGGGGAGAGAGGGAGGAGGGGAGGGCAGGGAGGGGACAGGGCAGGTCCTGCAGGACCTGGCTGCCAAGGAGGCCTCAGGCTTTAACCCTGAGGGAGGTGGGCACCCTGGAGGGCTCTGGGGAGAGGAGGGGAAACCAGATTCAGGTTTAAATTGAGTCATAAATTCAACAGGAAGAGGTTTCTCCACTGGCTCTCTGCCTGGGATCTGAGCTACAGTTGTCCCTGGCCACTCATGGGGGCATCTCAGGACCTGCCTTGGGCCCCCCCCACCAGGGCTCCTATGGGGTGGTTAAATGTGCAGCTTCCCGGGCCTGGCTCTCTGCAGAATCTAACCGGGTGGAGTGATGGCAGGCTCTCCGCCATGAACGTCCTTCCAGGAGTTTCTGATGCTCACGCTCAATGAAGCTGGAAGGGAGAAGCTGTGCAGGAAGCCTGGGGCATTGCCAGTCTGTAGCCCCTGGTGCAAGCTCTTTTGTCCTAACTTGGGAATAAGAAACTCAACCTGCCCACAGGAAGAAATGGGTTATAACTTTCTAAAAGAGAAAGTCCTGGCTCAGTTATTTCTCTGAGGTCTCAGTGGTGGCTGGAATTAGTAAAATGCAAGACTTCAGTCAGGCATTTGTTCATTCATTCATATTTAGTCTACTCCTTGATGCCCCTTCTGTGACCAGCCACATACTGTGCAGACCCTCAGGGCCCGGTAAAGACAGATTCTTAGTCCTGGCCACTGAAAAAAATCCCCAGTTTGGAGGAGACAGATGTGGACATTAATGCTCTTGGTCCCAAGCAGCAGAAGAGGGGAACAGGGGCTGGAAAGCTACAAGGAAGGAATCAAGTATTTGTCAGAAGGAGACTAGCCAAGATTGGGCAGAGGTGGGGGTATTTGGTTGGGGCTTTGAAGGATGAATAGAAGTTCACCTCCAGCTATTGAGAAACTCCCAGTCTGGGGGAGATAGGGTCAGACACAGATACTCCCAGCCCTGTGAGGTAGGGGCTAGGGCAGAGGGTGGGACCTGGGGTTGGAGGAGCTCAGGAATAAGGAACTGGGTTCTCTGTGGAGGGAGAGATAGGGAAGGCTGCATGGAGGAAGCGATGATGGAGGTGAGCTGTTGAAAACTGGCAGAGCAGAGAGGATGAGGAAAGTGTTCCAGGCAGACATCATAGCATATGCAAATGCTCCAGGTGTGAACGTGCATGGAGTATTCGCAGGGACTGCAGCAAGTTCAGTCTAAGAACAAGGATAGGAGGGGAGTTTCCGGGGGATTTGAGGATGGTCGTGTTCTCAGGAGTGTGGTCATGCAGGGCTGAGGCTAAGGGAGCCTATGGCTAAGGAAGGGATGAAGTTTCTGCTGCAGGGGAAGAAGGAGAAGGCTGTGTAGAGGAGGGAGCTCTTGAACTGAGGTTTTGAAGGGTGAGTAGGAGTTCATTAGCCCTGGCCTTTGAGCAGCCCCTAGACTGGGGAGGAAGGTGTGGATAGAGCCAAGAAAGAGTACGAGACAGGTGTGGGAGCCCAGGGTGGGCAGGTCTTGGACACAAAAATGACAAAACTCCATTCTTTGTCCCCCAGGAATCCCCTGGGGGTGGGGAGCAGGGAGAGGGTGGGCCTGGAAGGCTCCCCAGAAGGCAAATTGAGGGAAGAGGGATAGCTCCGCAGGATTAATAAGTAATCATAATCATTATTATAACAAAACAACACTTCGGGACTGTTCGCTGTGTACGAGGCCTTGTTTTAAGCACTTTACATAAACCGTCTGAGATAGACAACTGTTACATCTCTGTTTTACAGAAAAAGGAAATGGAGAAAGATTGCATCACTACATCAAGGTCACGGAGCTGGGATTTGAACCCAGAAATTGCAGGTGCACAGTCTGGGGTATTACTGAGCAGTCAGTCCACTTCTTGCCATTCCCACAGCCACCCTGTCACCATGCCACCTGGACCAGCCTAGCACCCTCAGCCCTGGTCCCTGTCCCACCCTCACCTCCACTGTCTGTCCTCCCCATGGCCACCAGAGGGCGACCGTGAGCAAGGGCAGGGTCAGGTCTCCCCTCCTGCTAGCAGCCCTCCAGTCTCCCACCTGCCTTGGGGGTAGAAGCCTACTCTCTCCCTGTGGCCCACAAGAGCCTGCAAACCTACCCATCCCCTCCCTCCCTTCTCACCACCTTGGGGCTCTGCTCCAGCCCCAAGGGCCTCCTGGCTGTTCCTCCCACATACTGACCTGGGGCTGCCCCAGGACCTTTGCACAGCCATGTCCTCTGCCTGGAACACTCTTCTTGAAGACACGCTGGTGCCTTGGTCACTTCCTCAGAGTCACCCCTTAATCCCTGTATCTGAAATTCGATTTCTTTTCCAAGCCCCACTCTGCTTATTTTCTTTAGCATTTACTCCTAATGCCAATCAATGCATTTTACTTACATTGTTTATCTGCTTGTCTCCACTTCGAATGAGGCCCCTTGAGAGCTGGAAGATTTGTCTTGTTTTCTTCATGGCTGTGTCCCCAGCACCCAGAAGCATGCCCGGATCACAGTAGGTGCTTAATACATGTTTGTTGAATGAAAAACGGGCTCTGTTGTGTTCATCTGGCCCGTTATAATGTCAATTATAATGAGCATTTGAGTGCCTTCTGTGTGCCAGACTCTGTGGGAATTCTTTATTTCTGTTTTTATTCATCACTGATACACATATTTTGGAGCTATAGTTCACATACCACAAAGTTCACCATTTGAAAACGTACAATTCAGTGGTTTTTAGTTTATTTGCTATGTTGGGCCATTATCATCACTTATTTCAGAACATTCCATTGCCCCCAAAAGCAGCCCTGTCCCCATGAGCAGTCACCCCCACCCCTCCCCAGCCCCCGGCACCACAAACTCACGTTCCGTCTGCAGATTCACTGTTGTGGACGTGTTACAGAAATAGGCCCACACACCGTGTGGACTGCTGTGTCTGGCGTCTCACTGAGCACCGTGTGGTCAGGGTCTGTCCATGTGGAATGTGTGGCCAGGCTCCGCTCCTGTTTGTGGCTGCATGGTGCTCCCTGTGCTGATGGGCCACGTTGTGTGTGTCTGTCCTCCTTTGGTGGACATTTGAGTTCCCCCTTTTGGGCTGCCAAGTATAATGCTGTTATCAACATTCATATACAAGTTTTTGTTTGAACACCTGCTTCCAATGCTTTAGGACAGCCCCCTGGGGGGGCCTCGCGGGGGAAATGGCAGTCATGTGTTTCCCTCCTGGAAGAACCGTAGGGTTGCTTTCCACAGCGACTGCCCCAAGTGCCATTCCCAGCAGCCGTGCACAGGGTTTGTCTGCCCCCCACCCCCATCCTCGCCAGCACTTGTTATGATCTTTCTTTTGATTCTAGCCATCCTAGTAGGTGTGGAACAGTATTGCATTGTAGTTCTGATTAGCATTTCCTGAATGCAGAATTGTGCTGGTCACTTTTTTTCCTAAAAACCACACAAAGCAACGCGTACTGGGTGTCTATATGCACGCAGCATCTCCTCAGGTGTTTATTGGCGGATGGACATTCTTACCATCACCCCTGTTTTAACAGAGGCTCAGAGAGAGACAGCTCCACCCTGAGAGTCACACAGCCTGTGGGGAGCGTGTGAGGTAAGAACACAGTTTGACTCCTGCCTACCCACTAGCTGCCCTGAGCACCTGTGTGCAAATCTTTGAAGGGACGTAAGTCTTCTTTCTGTTGGGTAGGAATGCCTAGATCCCCAGGGAGGAGCAGGATTGACCTTTTGAGACCCTGCCACGCTGCTTTGCACAGCAGCTGCGCACTTCGCATCCCCTCTGGCTGGAGGGTGAGGGTTCCAGTCACCCCCTATTCTCACCTGGCCTTTGCATAGTCAGGCCTTTTCGTCTTAGCCACTGTGGCGGGTGGCACCTCACCGTGGCTTCCTCTGTGCGACATGTCCACGTGGTATAGGTCATTTCCTTTACGGGGGCAGAGGCAGGTGCCGGCCCCTTCCAGCACTAAGGCCTGAGGAGGGGCACAGGCGTGGTTTCGGTGGCACCTGCTCTGGCCTCAGGTGCCTCCGCCAACGTGCCCGCACCAGCCCAGGCCCCACTCACCTTTGCGCTTGGGGGTGTGCCAGGGACAGCCTTGCTCCCCGGCCTCTGGACCCCTCATAAAATCGGACTCCTCAAGGCTTGGGGGGCCAACTTCCAAGGCCAAAGGAGGCCACAGGCCACAGGGAGCCAGAAGGGTGGGGCCTCCCAGCCGTCAAGGCGTGGCAGGGTGGACTTTGTGTCTCTGGGCCTCTAGCTGGGGGAAGCTAAAGTCAGCGTTTAGCAACTGGTTGGGCCCTGGGGTCAGTTCACCATCTCGCTGTAGGCCTCAGTGTCCCCACCATACCCACTGGGGAACTTCCCGGTGCCCACCCGGCCCTGGGCACACAGGATGTACTTAGTGAATGGATGGGAATGACAGACACGCCTGCTGATCTGCTCTCCACTGCCGACTGCTTCCTCGCCAGTGCCCAGGGCACAGCTGCGTGGTGGGGGGTGTCACCGGTGAGCAGATGCACTCCACTTCTCCATGCTGTTCGTCTGCCTGCTCTCTACTGCAGCCCCAACGCTGCCGGCCCCTGCTTCAGCGTCCTTTTTGAACATTTAAGCATTTATTAAGCACCTATGGTATACTTTACCTCCAGTACAGCACCTCCAGAGAAATTGCTCTCTCTCTTTTTTTTATAGCATTTTTTAATTTAATTGGCATGCAATGGCCTGCGCACGTTTAAAACATACAATTTGAGGAGTTCTGTCATACATCTGGTACCCTGCAACCACAGGCACGATCAAGACAGGGAACAAACACTTCTACCACTGCAGAAAGGTCCTCGGGCCCCTCCATGTCCCCACCTCCCATCCCCAGGCAACCAGCAGTCTACTCTCCATCACGATCCAGTGCCACTGTTGGCATTTTCCAGAAGTTTATGTAAATGGAGTCACATGGCACATCATCTTTTGTGTCTGCGGCTGCGTTCACTCACCATAAAGCTTTCAGGATTCATTCGTGTCAGTGTGTGGTTTTCCCTTTTTAAAGTCCGCACAGGCGGACTGCGGCTCATTCAGTCACCTGTTGGTGGGCATTCGTTTCTGGTTTGGGGTGTTAAGAAGAAAGCTGCTATGAATATTTATGTACAGGTCTTGTGTGGACGTAACATTCATTTCTCCTGGGTGCATACATTAGTTACCAATTTCTGCATAACAGATCCCCCCTCCACCCTGAATCTTGGTGCTTTCAGACAGTAAACAGTCATCCCACATGGTGTCTCAGGGGCGAGAACGTGGGGGTGATTTCACTGGATAGTTCTGGACTGGGGTCTCTCATGAGGTTGCAGTCAAGACATTGGTGGGGCTGCCTCATTTGATGGTCCGACTGGGGAGGAGGAGCCGCTTCCAGGACAGCACCCTCATGTGGCTGTTCGCAGGAGGCCTCAGTTCTGCTCCGGGTGGCTTCCCCAGGGGACGGTAACAGTGAGAGGGAGTCCAAGATGGAAGCCACAGATATTTTATCAGCAAATCTCTGAAGTCTCGCCTGCCATATTCTATTTGCTAGAAGTGAATCACTAAACTCAGCCCACACCCCAGGCAGGCAGGGGGATGAATTGCACAAGACCATGAATACCTGGAAGTGGGGTTCACTGAGGGCCATCCTATGGGTTACCTATCACTGTACCCTAGTATTTAAATGTTTAAGCAAATAATAAGCTTTGACTGTGTACGTCGCAATAACCTTCTCCTTGGTTATATACGACAGCTTGCTGAGAAAACTGATATGATGCCCACTTTACGGATGGGGAAACAGGCCCAGCGAAGTTAAGTTGCCCACTTACAGTCCGCCGTGGAGAAGGCAGCTAAAGGGAGACTGCATCCTGAGGTTTAAGCCCTGCGTGAGGAGGAGGCCAATGGTAGCAGGAAACAGGAGCAGGCGAAGGAAGAATGTGCAATTATTTTGATTCTCTGGAGAAAAAGGAGAAGCACGAAGGAGAGCTGGGTTCTTTCACAGATTTCGTGAGCACCTATGAAGCGCCCACTGTCTGCCAGGTGCTGTTCTAGACCCTGGGGATACCGCAGAGAACAGGATGGACAAAATTCCCTGCACGTGTGGAACTCACACACAGATGAACGACAGTGCTCGTCTCTGTCCACTCCAGCACCTGGAACACAGGAGTGCTGCTGGTGGAGGGAAGAGGCCTACGACTGTGCTGGACCTGGGGGACTCCGTGGTCATCCACACCCACACGGTCACTACCCTCCTGCAGCTCAGAGTCCCGTGGTTGAGAAGGAAAGCAAACAACATTTGACAACTCTGACCGCAAAGGACAAACTCATCCATTCGGTCCTTCAGGATTCATGGAGCTCCTACTGTGGACCACGCTGGCTTCTAGATACAGCAGTGATGGAATGGACAAAGACCCCCTGTGTTACAGTGGGGGAGGGCATAGATGAGTAGGGAGATGAGGATGACTGTGGGCTGTGGACAGGGTCTGGGGGAAATCCAACCGTGTGGTGACTGGCAGTGGCATCAGAGACGGGTGGTAAAGGGCGACCTGGCCCGACCTCTGGCCCTGAAGGAGGGGATGTGTGAACTAAGGTCAGAGGGACACCGTTTGTTCGGTTTCCCTGGCTGTATGTTCTTTGTACACATGGAGCTTTTGTCTAGTTGTGGGGGACACCTTGGATGGCCCCTGTCCTGGCTGTGTGTCCAGCTGAGCTGGGAATGGAAACCCCAGAGATGAAAGGTGCAAGTAGCTAATCTTCCCACACACCTAATCAACTAATAAATGGAGACTTTGACCAGTTCCTCACTTCTTATCACAAGGCAGGGGAGAATAGCGTGTCAAGGTGCAGCTTGGAAGGGACATGATGGGATCTGGGCAGTGCCAGGAGGGGAGAAGAGCTGGGCATCTGGCCGGGTCGGGGCAGGGAGGGGTGCCATGGCAGGGAATCATGTGCGGCGTGCCCTCAGCGTCCACGTCTGTAAAATGGCTTTCCAGCAGCAGAAGCCCTGCGGGCTCCTTTACTCTCTTTCCATCATCCAAACACATTGGCTGGGCAGCTTTGGGTGTTTGGGCCTCATTCGAGGTCTCCTTCTCTAAGGGGCCAGATGGTAAATATTTTAGGGCTGTCGCAACTACTCACTCTGCAGGCNCGTGCCCTCAGCGTCCACGTCTGTAAAATGGCTTTCCAGCAGCAGAAGCCCTGCGGGCTCCTTTACTCTCTTTCCATCATCCAAACACATTGGCTGGGCAGCTTTGGGTGTTTGGGCCTCATTCGAGGTCTCCTTCTCTAAGGGGCCAGATGGTAAATATTTTAGGGCTGTCGCAACTACTCACTCTGCAGGCACAGGGTGACAGCAGCCAAGCTCCATACAAAGGTGTGGCTCTGTTCTAAGGGGGGTAGCAGGGTTTGGTTTAAAGGGCTTAAAGTGGTGCTTGGTATACAGTAGGCACTCCATAATGCTTTTGCTCCGGTATGTAGCAGGCATTGCATTAATGCTTGATTCGTACCTGTTCTATGGTAGGCACTGCAATTAATAGCTGGCCCATGTCTGGTTTACAGGACGCACTCCGTTAAAGCCCGCTCCATACGTGGCATATAGCAGGCGCTGCCTTAATGCCTCCGGTATACAGGAGGCGTTCCCTTAATGTTCGTTCCAAGAATGGATGAGAGGAGGGTTCATTTCCGGTTAGGAAACGCCAGGGCGCTCCCACGGGAGACCGTAAGGGCTGCTACTCCGGTGTCTCCGGGGTGCCGGGACCCCCCAGCCCAGCTCCCGGCAGCTGTGGGGTCCGCATCTCTGGCTGTCGGCCGAGCGGGGCCGAGCTGGGCCGAGCGCAGCCGAGCCGCGGGCCGAGTCCGCCACATTCCCACAATCCCGGGAGGCCCCGCCCGGCTCCCGGCCGCGCGTCCCCCTTCCCACGTCGGCGCAACCTAACCCGCGGGCGCGCCCGTTGCCCGCCCCGCCCAGCCTGCACGACGCCCCGCCCCCGATAGCGATGGTCCCGCCTCCCAGCGGGCGCGCGCCCTGCCGCCCGCTTCCATTGGCCGCGCCGCCCGCCCGTCTGCGCTGTCGGCGCGCAGGTTAGGTTGTGTGGCGCTGTCGCTCGGTCGCGGCGCCTGCGGTTGGCGGCGGCGGCGGCGGCGGACGCGCGAGCGGCGGGCGTGCGCGGCCGAGCGGGGACCGGCGCTCGCAGGCGGCGAGGCGGACCGCCGGCCCGGGGGCCGGGGGGCGGCGGGGGCGGCCGGCGGGCGGCCGTGGTGGGACGATGACTCTGGAGTCCATCATGGCGTGTTGCCTGAGCGATGAGGTGAAGGAGTCCAAGCGGATCAATGCCGAGATCGAGAAGCAGCTGCGGCGGGACAAGCGCGACGCCCGGCGTGAGCTCAAGCTGCTGCTGCTCGGTGAGTGGGTTTGGGCCTGCCGAGGCCCCGCGGGCGGCGGGCTCCGTGCTGGCCGGGCGGGGCCGCCCCTGCTTGCGGTCCACGACCGTGCCCGTGCCGTCCAAGGCGGGGTCAGGGCCTCGGGGTCAGCCCTGCCCGTGCTGACCACGGCGGGGTCCCAGCCCCCGTCCCTGCTGTCCACGGCGGGTTCCCCAGCCCCCGTCCCTGCTGTCCACGGCGGGGTCCTCAGCCCGTGCCCGTGCTGTCCACGGCGGGGTCCCCAGTCCCAGCCCCCGTCCCTGCTGTCCACGGCGGGGTCCCCAGTCTGCCCCTGCTGTCCACGGAAGGGTCCCTAGCCCCTGCCCCTGCTGTCCACTGTGGGGCCTCCCAGTCCCTGCCCCTGCTGTCCACGGCGGGGTCCCCAGTCTGCCCCTGTCTTCCATGGCGGGGTCCCCAGTCCCTGCCCGTGCTGTCCATGGTGGGGTCCCCAGTCCCTGCCTGTGCTGTCCACTACACCGCGCCTTGGGGTCAGTCTCCGTACTGTCCAGGTGGGGCCCCAGAACCCTTTGGGGTGAGTCCCTGCCTCTGCTGTCCGTCCGGATTCCTGCAGGGCCAGCCCCTGCCTCTGTGGTCTAGGTCGGCCCTCAGGGTCTGCCCTCTGACCCTTCTCAGCGGACGAGCCCCTTGCTCCCAGGGCTGGTCTATCCCTGCTCCACCGCATGTGCCCCAGCGCTGCCCCCAGCACTTGTTCAGGGCCAGATCTTTGGGCTGTGACCCAGCAGATGCCCCCCGCCTCCTTGTACTCTGACCGGCTCTTCCCAGCAGGTGGAGCCCTGTTCCTGCACGTAGGGCAGTCTCCCTCCACCTTTCCCTCATGCCGTTCCCGGCCCCCAGCCTCCCCCCTCTGTGGAGAAGCCGTTTTCCCAATGGCACGGGGTGCACCCCTTGGGGGAAAAGACGGCCTCTCCTCTCTCCTTGGGGTTTCTGTTTCAGCTGGAGGCTGGGGCTGTTGGACCCCTGAAGAAGCCTCTGCAGGCGTTCAGAACCAGCCAGCTCACCAGCCTTCCCCAAGCTCTGTCCTTTGGTCTGGTGGGAGCCGGGCCTCCCAGGGCTTCCTCCGGGCCTGGAGAAGATTCCTGTGCCAGCCGCCAGGGTCCCAGCCTCTGTCTCCCCAGGGCACACCTGTTGCAGGGAGCCAGGCAGCCCAGCTGTGGGCAAAGTGTTGTCACTCCAAATAAGGGCCGTTGAAGGACTTACCTCTCCCGCAGAGGCAAGAAGGGCGTTCGCAAAACAAACTCTTGCCCTGCCCTCCCCACAGGCTGTGCTTCGTGACTGCGCCGCGGGAAGGTTAGAAATGCTCGCACACTATGCACAGGTGGCCGTTGGGGACCCAGAGCGGAGGGGAGGCGGCTGTCACGGAGGGTTGCGCCGGACGACCAGTGGTGGGGTTTAGAAGGGCTAAGCACAGGGAACAGGGGGTGTTGGTGGCCTGTGGGATGCAGTGGTCCTGGCAGGAGCACGTGGCTTCGCCTGCCTGCAGTGACCCTCCTCGGGCCCTCTCTTTGATGAAATACCCTTGCTGATTTCTCTTTTTTCCCCCAAATGCATGTTCTGATATAAAATAGGCCAACTTTGCAGAATAGACAGGCAGAGAGTAACCTTGAAGTCTGGAGGAAACTTGCAGTGGGGCTCATTCTAGGAGCCCAGGCCAGCTTTTGTCGTTGAGGCCGGCTTTATTTTGGGAAGAGGGTTTTAGAATTTATTGGTGTCTAATGATATTGTTTGATTGCCTTGCCTGGGGGACTGTGTGAGTCTCCAGACACCCCGCCACCTGTCCTGAGGGCACCCAGGCTTCAGATTGGCATCGGGGTCACGGGTGCTGGTCAGTGGCCCCTGCTCCCAGAGCCTCGGCAGTGTCTCCATTCTCCCTGGGCTGGGAGGTCCAGCAGGGCCCAATGCCGAGAAGCCCTGAGGCGGATCTGGAAGCATCCGGGGTCCACCCATTGGTGGGGTGTTGGCTGCAGGATTACTGTGTCTGTGGTCATGTCCCCGTCCCCCCACCTGCCGCTCTGTGACCCTAGAGAGTTACGCAGCGCCCCGGCCAGCCTGCATGCCAGGAACATGGGCACCTGTCTGGGGAGCTTGTTGAGTTCTAGGCATGGGGGGGCAGGTAGGAAAATGAGAGCAATGTGAGCTTGCAGGTCCAAGGTGAAGGTTCAGGGCACCAGGACAGCTGTAAATGCCAGGCACAGATCCAGAGGCCTGCCTGGGCACTGTGGGTGGGTGGTGGCGAGCAGCACCCCTGCCCCCACTCAGCACCAGGAGCTCCCCCAGTGTGACACCCCAGGCGTCCCCAGACACCATGCGGTGTCGCCCCCCTGGGGGGGAGGAGCCCTGTTTGAGCTGCGCTGCCCCGTGGTAGGAAGCGCACGGTGTAAAGTGCGAGCTGCAGAGCTGCTGTTTGAGGAGCTGAGTTTTGTCAGGTGTTTCATGAACGCCTAAGAACTGAATAGTCTTGTTTTGCAGTCCAGAGCCGCTTACGTGCATGCGTGCACTTGTGCATTCAGCGCACGGCGCACGTGAATGCATGTGGTGCACATACTCGGCCTTGTTGGCGGGGGCCGGTGTTCCAGGCTGTGCCCTTGTGATGTGTCTGTGGTGTGAAGTAGGGGCAGCGGGCACAGCCAGGCCAGCCCCCAGGGCCAGCAGCCTGAGAACGCGTCATTCCCTCACTTGATGGGGTGAACCCCGAGGCTCTGGGGCTGCCCTGCCAGCCGCTGCCTCTCGTGACCTCTTCGGGCCCAGCCCTTTGCCATTCTGTTCTGTCACTTGGTAGAAAGCCACCGGGGAGGCCCCTGGCCTGTTCTTCAGGGTGGGTCTCCCGTTTGAGAATGAGCCTCCTCGTGGAATCCTGGTTCCTAGAGGCACAGTGTTCCGGCCGGGCTGAGCCAGCACAGCTCCAGGATTTCTAAATAAAGCAGGGCGGTCTGTTCCACAGGCTTCCTGTCAGCCCCCAAAGGGCCGAGGAGAGGGCCGGAATCTGGTGTGGGGTGTGGTGGCCCCAGCGGGAAGGGCGCGTCTCCCAGTGCTTTGAGGCACAGAGTAGAGCATGGCCACCGGCCCCGAGCAGAGTGTGCAGTGTCCCCTGCCGCCCCGGGAGCAGGACGCGCCCTTGGGTAGCCTCTTGCGCCCCCCTGGCTTACTCCGTGGCCCGCCCCAGGAAGCGTCTTAGGCCCTTTGCTAAGGGGTCTGCTTTCTCTGGGCGTGCTGCGGGAGCCCAGGACTGCTCTCACACTGCCTCTGGTCGGCTTCCCTCCTACTGGGAGGACTTCTGTGCTTGGGCGGGACTCCCTCTCCTTCCTGGAGGGCCCACAGGCCAGGCCCCCAGCGCAACCCCAACAAAGGACACTTAGTGTGGGCAGCCCGGCCTCCCAGGCATGGCAGACACATCAGCAGCATGGTGCTGAGCCTCCCTGGCATGCGTGCCCACCGTGCTTCCAGGCAGGCCTGAGCCCTGCCCCGCATGCCGCCACGTGGAACAGAAGGACGTGCTCTGCCCCAGTTGGTTCTGGGTTGCATGGCGAAGCCCTGCCCCGTGCAGCTGGGTCTGGGGCATTGCTGCTCTGGCACCGGGAGTTGGAAGTGCAGTGGGGACCCAGGCTGAGCTTACAAACCCTGGCTGGGGTGTGAACCCCTTGGCCCTCCTCTGTCCCAGGGGTATTGGGTACAAAGGCCGAGTCCTGGGGGCGTGGGGCAGGTCTGGCCCTCACAGCCCAGTGTGGTGGCAGAGCCGGGCTGCAGGGAGGAGCCGTGGGGTGGCCGTAAGCCTAGGAGGCTGGCTAGCCTGGTGTCTGGGCGCAGCAGACACAGCTAGGGGCATCTCCACAGGCTTTGAGGCACCTGCCTGCAGGGTTCCTTTTCGGTGGAACTCCAGCTCCTCACAGACCGGGATCCCAGCCCTCCGGCTCGCTGGCCTGGGCATCGGGCAGCCGTGCGTGATGTCTGTAGTGCCCGTGCCTCTGCTTCCTGGCGGCGTCTCCGTCTGCAGGGCACCTGGCTGATCATCTAGGCCCCTGATCGTGGCCAGTGTCTCCTCACTGCCTCCCCCACTGTTTCCGCCTCCAGGGCGGCTGCCCCTGGTGCCCAGCGACCAGCCTCGTGGCCTCAGAAAGGTCAGCTGGGTGACCTCACTGCTGACTGAGTGCAGTTCCCCCAGGGAAGTGAGCAGGCGTCGTGTGGTCCCGCTTCCCAACTGGCCTGGAAGAGAGGCTCCCTGCTCAGGTGGCCCCACTGCCACCTGCCTGTGGCGCACCTGCCTGTGGCCCCGGGCTTCGTGTGGACAGATGGGGCTGCGGAGGCCGCTCAGTCCCTCCCTCGTGAGGCCCTCCTGTCGCAGGCGGAGGCTGGGATGGGCGGCCTTGAGGGCCTCTGTGTGAGACAGTGCAGGGTGGTGGGAAGCGCTCCCTTGGGGTGAGGCTGAGGTGAGTGGGGTCATTTCCCAGCCTCAGGTTCGCAGGGCAGTGACGCCTTGGAGGCACTAGGCACACAGTAGGCTCTCAGCAGGTGGAAGGGACTGCTTCCTGCGGGCTCCCCTCCCGTGTTTCCTCCTGGATGCCCCACACGGGGTCCCACTTAGTCCCGTTTAAAAGCTGGGGGGAGATAGACGGTGTGAAGAGTCCGCAGGCCCGTCCTCCCCACGCACTTTTGGGGTCCCTCCCTTCCCCCGTCGCTGCATCGCCCACTGTGTCTCCACCCTGGAGCCCAAGGCTGGCCCAGGCCGCCTCCCCAGCATGCTGCATCTTCTCTCTTCCCCAGACCCAGGGTGTGGGGCTGGGACACTGGGTCTGCTGAGGTTGAAGTGTCACCGGCTATGTGACCCCAGTGAAGCCACGTGCCTCTCCCTGCCTGTCCCCTCACTGTCTGGGGAAGGTACACTGACAGTTGTCACTGAGTGGGGCCTGTGCCCACCATCCCCAGCTGCACCTCTGCCCCCTGTGTACAGTGGGCCCCCCCTTTGATGCAGCCTGAGGCCCACACGGGGTTCCCAGGAGCCCATCCCCTCCATGCTCTCACCTGGGCCTCCGTGGTCCTAGACCTCCTCCTGCTGCCCTCCTCCTCCAGGAAGTCTCCATGGGGAGGCGGTCACACTCGGGCCTCCTCGTGGTGGCGTGACTGTGCGTGCCCGGAGGGCGTCCTGTGGCTCCTGGTGCTGTGTCCCCTCAGACCCTACAAGCCCCTGCTGCCACGCTGCCTTCCCAAGGCGGAACCCCAGGCCAGCTGTACCCCAGGTGCTCCCAGTTCCTGCAGTCACAGCCGGCCAAGTCCAGCCCGCCCAGCCCTGGGGATGTGGTGGCCCAGGGAATCCTGGTGGAGCCAGCATGGTGGGTTGGGGCCAAGTTCATTCAGAAGAAATTGGTGCAGACCTGCAAACCTGTCTTGTGCTGGGGTGGGCAGGGGGCTGTGGCTGCAGGCAGAGCCCCCACCCTTGGGAGCAGGCACCCCAGTGGGATCATGTGGGACCATGCCTCCAATGACAAACGGTGACAGCCTCCTCTGCAGAAGGCAGGACAAGCATAGCTTGGTTTTGGAGGCTCCAGTGCCCTTGGAGAAAGGGACTTGGTGTCTGTGTACGGAGCCTCAGCCAGGGTTTGGGGGGTGCAGCCCATGGGGGTTCACAGCTAAGTGGTGCATGTACCCATGGACTTCCCCTTGCAATGCTGGACTTGTACATTACTGATGAATGACTGGGCTGGGGACCCATGGACTTGAACCTGAGGTCTGGGTGCAGCTGGGACCTAGCACTGGTGGGGCTTCCTTAATGGGAGGTGGTGCACATGGGTTAGTCTGGGGCACTAAGCATCCCGCCATCACAGGGACCCCATGCCACCCTTTCTCCCCCTCCTCTGGGCCCCCACCCAGCTGCTGGCCTCGGCTCCACCTCCATGGGTGTGTCAGCTCAGACACATCCCATAAATCTGTAACTGGGGGCGGTTGGTTCCCGCTCAGCATAATCCCCTGGAGGCCCCCTTGTGGCCACGTGGTCTGCTGGGATCCAGTCCCATCTCCGGGTGGGGGTCCTTGGCGTGGATAGGCCAGATTGTGACCATCCCCCTGGTAGAGGACAGGTGGGCTGATGCCACGCTTCGGCGGTTTTGACGAGCCTCTCTGAGGGGCTCATCGGAGTGGTTGGGGGTCTTCGCTCCAGTGGGTGTTCATGGAGCACGTTGGGCAGCCTTGTCTGCGTGGGTGGGGGCAGGCCGGGGGGCTGTGGGCGAGCCCACGTGGGTTGGAGACTCAGTCGTGGGGGGTCTTGTATGCTTTTGCCTGAGGGGTCTTACTTTTCTCCTCTGGGGCAGCTGTTGGGAGGTTTCTGAGCTGGTGGAGTGTGTGTGCCCCGAGCTTTAGGGGAGTAGGACCGAGCGCTGGGCAGGTAGATTGCAGGTGGGAGACTGGGGCTGAGGCCCTGCGTAGGGCCATGGGTCGGGCAGGAGAAGAGGCCCCCTGTGGTGACGAGGACGGAGATGACTAGGCCCCAGTGTTGGCCACAGCAGGGGAATGCGTGAGGTGCAGGCAGGCCTTGCCCTGAGACTTCTCTGGGCACGTGGATTTGGGGCTGGTCCCCTGGGGGTGGTTCCCAGGACCACAGATGGTGTCTCAGGCCTGTGTCCCAGCTCCCAGGTGCTGTGATGAGATGTCAGAGGCTGAGCTGGCTGAGGACACAGGGCATCTGCCCAGCAAGCCTGGGTTGCTTTGGCTGGCCTGTGGTGTTGCTCCAGGCCTGTCCCTCCCTCCTGGGCGCAGGTGGCCCAGTGCCTTGTGGGCCAACTGGGCCTCACCTGCTCCTGGGCAGAGGGCCCTGCTGGCTCCTGCCTCCCGTTCTGCACTCCTGGCCCGGGAGGTGCACCCGGAGCCAGTGCTGGCATATGCCACTTGGTTGCTGTTGTCCCAGAGCGCATGCAACATGCGACAGGCGGTCCTTGGGCCACACCTCCTGCAGCCGCTGCTTGCACACCCTCCCTTCTTGTCCTTCCTGGCAAGTGGAGGCCACTCCAGGCAGCGTCAGTCGGCCATGCTGTCCCCAGGGGTGTCCCCTTTTGTTTTCTCCCCTCAGCTTTGTTGCGATATCTGCCCTTTAATGTGCATTTGGGGTGTGCACCTGAGAGTGGAGAGGTGGGTGTGAGGCAGAGCGACTGCCACACATCTGTCACTGCATGTACCTGCACCTCGGTTTGCACCTTTGCTGCTTCTAGGGGCTGAGCCCAACCTTAGTCTTTGCAGCAGCTTCTCTGCCACGTGGCGGCGGTGCCGTTTGGTAGGCATGTGCCTGGCCCGGGGCCCCTGACATCTGTAGGGGCCCATCCTGCACTTCAGGCTTCCTTGGCGTCCTTCCTGTTTCTCGGTTTCAGGGGGATGTCCTGACCACGTTGTCTCCGCTTGTCACCGGGCCATACCCCGTTCTCCCTTGCCCAGCCTCTCACCAAATGTGAGGCCCCTCCCTGCTCCAGTGTTCAGGGTCCCTCTGCAGAAGCTGCCCACACCCCACCCCCTCAGGTACCCCCAGTGGTGTGGCCTGCTGATGGTCATCGGCTGCATGCACATGCTTGTGTGCCCTTGTATGAGCCTGTGTGCCTATGGGCATGTGCATGCGTGCACTCATGTGCATTTGTGTGTGTGTGACCCCGTGTGTGTGGCTGAGCAGGTGGCACTATGGGCAGAGGGCCCGGCTCAGGCCGGTGTATGGACATGGGCTGACAGAGGGCCGGCTGCCGTTGGTGGCCGAGGGCCTGGAGGAGTAGGCGGGGCAGGGCTGGGAGGTCCTGACCCCCCCAAGGGGCATCAGCACTCTGGTCCACACTGGCCCATGGGGGGCTGGCCGGTAGGGTTGGAGGCAGCACTTTCTTAGAATTTCTGAGTTGTCCGTGGCTCTGTGATAAAATAGGTCCAAATTTACAGCTTAAAATGAGTGCTTGTTCCTCAGTTTCTGAGCACCAAGAATCTGGGTGGCCCAGGCTCCCTGAGTGGGCCAGCCCCCTTGTCTGAGGGTGTGAGCAGGGCTGGAGGGGTGCGTTGGTGCCGCGCCCTCGTGTGGCTGCTGGCCCGCAGCTGTCCCCTTGCTCCGCCCCCCCCTCGAGTGGTCCCGGACAGCAGGAGGAAGCTGCCCTGTCTAGTGTCACAAGTGACGGCCACTGTTCGTTGTATTCTGTTTGTCAAGAGCAAATGGCCGGATGCAGCCGGTGCTCATGGTGAGGGACTCCAGCACAGGAGGTGTGGCCAATTCGTGGACACTTGTGTTACAAACATCGGTAACTGCTGCCCCTTGTGCAGGGGAACCGAGGGGGCTGGGCTTGCTGTGTGCGGTTGGGAGGCAGAGGCCCTCCTCCTGGCTGTGGGGCTGGAGCAGGTGAGCACTGGGCTGGCAGGCTTGGAGCGCGTGGTGCTTGGGGCTCGTGGCAAGCTGGGAGATGACGCAGGGCCACGTGGCTCCTTCCCAGGTGGCTCTCCAGGCAACTCTTGGACCCCTCTGATCCCAGGAGGCAGGAAACCTCAGTGCCCGCTTTGCACTTAGAGAGGAGAGGAGATACATGACGGGGTCCAATGACGTGGGCACCAAGTGGGGGCGGGAAGAGGGCAAGGGCCCCTGGGTGGGTGTGGGGGCTGCCTGAGCCTGGCCAGGCGCCGTGGACATGCTGGTTGAGCTGGGCAGTGTGCGCAGGGGGTGTGGCGTTGGGTTGAGTTGAGGCCGTTGGGCTATGAGAAAGGAGCTCTGGGGACTGCTGGGGAGACAATGTGGCCCCCAGACAGCCCTGGCTGCCAGAGCAGACGCCGGACTCTCGTCCCCAAGGGCAGTTTGTTCAGTGCTCCCGGAGTAGAAGTCACTGGGGGTCAGTGGGGACGGGTTCAGCTCCATGTCCATGTGGGTGCGGGAGGGTCCCCGAAGGGCTGGAGCCTGCGTGCGGGTGTGGTGTGGATCGGGGCAGTGGAGGAGGCAGCCTGTGGTGCGGGCGCCTGGCCCCCGTGCCCTGCTCTGCCTCTGCAGACCAGGCTAAGGGCAAGTGCAACGGCCACTTGCCTCCTGTTGCCATGACTGGGCAGGGTGCCTGGTGGGTCACACCCACCTGCCTTCACCTGGGTGCCCTGTGCCCGGCAGACGCCCTCCTTCCTTCTCTGGCCTCAGTTTCCTCGTGGGTAGAAGGGGCGTGAGCGTGGGACGGCGACGTCGGCAGAGCCGGGCACACACCTCGCACAGCGGCCCCTCTGCGGGCGAGCTCTCGGGGCAGAGGGTTCACAGGCGGGCAGCAGGCCCTGCTCTGACCACGGTGCTGGCCTCGCAGGCACGGGGGAGAGCGGCAAGAGCACATTCATCAAGCAGATGCGCATTATCCACGGGGCGGGCTACTCGGAGGAGGACAAGCGGGGCTTCACCAAGCTGGTGTTCCAGAACATCTTCACCGCCATGCAGGCCATGATCCGTGCCATGGAGACCCTGAAGATCCTGTACAAGTGCGAGCAGAACAAGGTGCGGTGGGGCCTGGGGTGGGGGGCACCTCCCGGCGGGGCCTGGGCCTGGGGTGGGAGACACCACCCGGCGGGGCCTGGGGTTGGGGTGGGGGGCACCGCCCGGCGGGGCCCGGGGTGGGGGTCGGGGTCAGTGCCTGGCGGGGCCCGGGCCCAGGGTGGGGGGCACCGCCTGGCGGGGTGGTGCCTGGTGACCACTTCCCCTGCCAGGACCTGCCTTCTTGAGTGCCTACTGGCCCTCTGTGGCCCCATGTCCAGTTGGGTGGCTGGGAGCCTGCAGGTGAGCCGGCAGGCAGGTCGGCTGCCCCAGGGCAGGCAGTGTGGGCTCCCGGCCTCTCAGCGGGCCGGGTGTCCTACCAGCTGCTCAGTGTGATGTGTCTGACTCTCTGGGTGACCCTGCAGGGTGGTACTTGCCCCCCATTTCCTTTACTTCATTGAGATGAAACTCACACCATGGAGGTCACCTGTTCAAAGCGTGCGATTCCCTGGTTTTTAACTTCCAGAGTCCTGCAACCACTATCTCTGTCCAGTTCCAGAACACTCTCTTCCTCCCAAAAAGCTGCCCTGTTCCCGTGAGCTATCACTCCCACCCGCTCCCCAGCCCCCGACCCCACGAGCCCACGTCCTGTCTGGCTTCGCCTGCTGTGGATGTGTCACAGGAATGGGGTCGCACCCCTGTGGCCTGTGTGTCTGGTTCTCACTGAGCACCGTGTGTCCAGTGTCTGTCCATGTGTGGCGTGTCAGGCCTCCACTCCTTCCCGCGGCTGCGTGATGCCCATGTGTTCTTCTGCCCGTCTGATGGCCGTCTGCACTTTTTGCCCACCGGGTCTCGCTGCTGTAATGTTCCTGTGCAGGGTTTGTCTGCACACCTGCTCTCGTTCTGCTGGGCGTATACCCGCGGTGGAGATGTGGGGTCACGTGGCAGCGCCAGGCGCCCTCTGGAGGAGCTGGCAGCCTGCTCTCCCGGCAGCATCCCCTGGCCGTGCCCCGTGAGCTCTCTCTGGGGGGCTCCCTTGGCTTTGCTGTTATAGAGCCACTTTTGGGGGCTTCTCATTCAGCCCTAGAAGTTTGCCATGGGCTAATAATACATGGCCTGGAGCGTGTTTGTTTTTTGTCTAATATTTGTCTAATGTGGTTTAAATCAGTCCATTTACTTCAAGGCTTAAGAAGGCTAATCACCCAGGTGTCTGGCTGGTGCCTTCAAACCTTTGCCCCCAGGTTTGTAGATGATCACGACCCCGTGCAGGGCCTGGCGCGGGGGTGTGGCCCGGAGTGTGGGGCTGGCCTGAGCCGCTTGCCCTCTGGGTTTTGGTTTGGACGGCTTCCAGCCAGGCCCTCGCCCAGGTCCCATTTGGGCTGTAGATGTCCTTAAGCACACAGGCAGCTCGGATTGGCAGCCTGCAGCCTGTTTTTGTTGGCACGTGCCACTGCCACCCTCCCCTCCCGTGGACCCTGGTGGCTCCCCCCAGCAGCAGGGGTGGTGTGGCCGCAGTGCTGAAATGCTGCTCTCTGGCCTTCTGTGGGAGCAGGCTGCTGATCCCTGCCCAACACGCACCCACAATCCGGGGCTCTTCTGGGGCGGCTCCTGCTTCTCCAGGCCCAGACTGAGGGGTCTGGGGGGCGAGGCAGGGGCTGGAGGTCACCGCCCAGGGAGCATCCCTTGGAGGAGCTGTAGGTTGGGGGGCAGTGGCCGGGCTCAAAGCTAGGGCTGGGCGCCCTTGTCCCTGGTTTTGGGTTCCACCCCGGTGGGTCCCCTCCCCAGTCCCTCCACTGAGTGTGGCCAGTGGCTGGTTGGGTTGGCCAGACCACCCTGAGGCCTGGAATGTGCAGCGGGATGGGGAGAAATGGGGTCTCCTGAGAGCCAGCTGCCAGAGTGGTGGTAGTGGGGCATGTGTGCACAGGTGTGCATGTATGTGTGCATGCATCTGTGTGGGTGTGGGGGCATGTGTGGGCATGCATGTGTACATGTGAGAACACATGTGCGTGTGCATTATGTCCACGTGTGCGAGCACATGCACACGTGCATTCATGTGTGTCCATGTTGTTCATACTTGTGTGGGCACATGCGTTTGCGTGCATGTGTGCATGCGGTCTCTGGAGCCCACTCAGCACGGGGCATGTGAGCAGCAGGGCTCCAGAGCATCCCCCTCCAGTACTGGTTCCTCTGCCCCAGCCCCCAGCCCCTCGTGGAAGAGATACCGTGACTCCAGAGAGTCCGCGGCTCTGGGGAGCTGCGTGCCAGGAAATGGGGTCAGAGACCAAACAGACACTTCCTACTGGGTCACAGCAGCTCTCCTGCCTCAGTGCACTCACTCGTGCCATGGGAACGGGAGCTGCGGGCAGGGGTGTTTGTTCAGTGGGCCTGACTAGAAGCCGGGGAGTCCCTCCCTTGGTCACTTTATGGCGTCCACTTGTGTGTCTGTGTGGTTGTCTCCAGCCCCGCCTGCTCCCTGCCTTTGCAAGCAGAGCCAGCATGGCCTGGAGGCCTGCCAGGGGCGGCCTTGTGCTGGGGGTTTGCTTTGGGGCCCTCGTCCCGGGGTTCAGGCGCCATTGGTCGCCGCCGGTCACCCGTGTACGAAACCAGCACCCACTGCATCCCAGACCCGGGAGACCAGGCCCACGAGCCCACAGCCCTTCCCTGCCCTCACAGGCCAACGCGCTCCTGATCCGCGACGTGGACGTGGAGAAGGTGACGACGTTCGAGCACCGGTACGTCAACGCCATCAAGACCTTATGGGACGACCCCGGCATCCAGGAGTGCTATGACCGCCGGCGGGAGTTCCAGCTCTCGGACTCCGCCAAGTAGTGAGTGGGGCGAGGGGGGTGCGGAGGGCAGTAGGGGCTGCAGGACGAGGGGTGGCACCACCCGCGGAGGGGCAGGGCGCTGGGCCTTTCTTACTGGCTTGTGTGTGCGGCCTCCGTCCAGCCTGAGGCCCCCTGGAGATGGGAGCGGTGGTCCCTCCATCCGTACCCCCCCAGCCCCTTCTCTGGCAGCCGGTAGCCCCTCAGGGCCCCTGCAGTGACTCGCCTGCCCGTGTCATTTCTGTCCCTGGGGATCGATCAGCCTGCTCCTCCTGCCCAGGTCGGGTGGGGAGGCCTTGTCCTGAGCTCTGGGTGCTGTTCCAGCCCCTGCTAGTGAGCCGGGTGTGGCTAGTGCACCCCCAGGCCGGCCTGAGCAGCCCACCCTGCTCTGTTGCAGCTACCTGGCCGACGTGGACCGCATCGCCGCCACGGGCTACCTGCCCACCCAGCAGGACGTGCTGCGCGTGCGCGTGCCCACCACCGGCATCATCGAGTACCCTTTTGACCTGGAGAACATCATCTTCAGGTGCTGGACCTGGCCTCCAAAGGCGGTGGGCTTCTGGGGGCTGCCTGCGGCTCTGCAAGCTGTAGTGGGGAAGCTGTTTGCCCTCCAGGCCCCGAGCACCGCTGTGGGGATGCAGAAGGCTCCCTGGATCCCCTACTTGGCTCTCAGGGCTTCTGATCCGGGGCAGGAGATGAGTCACAGACACATGACCGTCCACCCCCTGCGTTCTGAGTGAGCCGACCCGGCGGGTGGTGGGCGGTGCCTTCTGCGTCCTCCGTGAAGAGCTGTGGGCAGGCAGGGGCGGGGGCCGGCCTGTGCTGGGTGCTGGTCGGTTCCCAAGGCCCCCAGGACGGTGCAGAGCAGGGACAGGCAGGTCCTGGCCTCTGTGGCTCTAGGGCCTGGCAGGTGGCGTGGCCAGGGGCCTTGGTACCATCCCTGAGGACACAGGCCCTGCCTCTCTCAGTCACAGCTTGTCCGGAGCTGCTAAGTGGCGAGGCCAAGTGTGTGTCTCCTGGGGCCCTAACAGCCCCAGATGGGCGGCTTGAAACCACACATTTCTGCCCTCCTAGCCCTGGAGGCCAGCAGCCCAAGTCGAGGGGTCCCAGGGCTGGTAGCCTCTGGGGCCATGAAAGAGAATCCCACTGTGCCCTCCTAGCTTCTGGGCATCACCTTGGCCCCCTTTAGCCTGTAGACAGGTCACCCCCACCTCTGCTCTCTTCACGTCCCCTTCAAAAGCCCCTTCTGTGAGAAGACTAATCGGTGGATTCGGGCCTGCCTACTCTGGTGTGACCTAGCCTCAAGCAGCCCCATCTGTGTGACCTACCTCCAGTTCAGGTGGTGCCCCAAGTCTGGGGACTGCGCATCCCAGGTGCCCTGTTGTGGGTGCCCCTGTCCCTCCTGCACACTCACCCCGGCAGGGCTCCCTCGGGCTGTCAGCTGTGATGGGCCGTCACCGTGGGCTTCTGCCCTGCAGTGCCAGCTCTGTGGCTGGGGGTCAGTTGGGTTCCCCCAGGGAGCCCCACTAGTTCATGAAGCTTTGGGGAGGGGAGAGCTCTGGTGGCCCCCACCCCACTCCCCTTCGAACATGGGGGTGCTGTCTGAAGCCTCCGGTGGTCCCCGGGAGCTGTGGGAGCTGCAGGCATCACCCCGCACGTGTGTGACTGGCACGTTTTCTGAGGGGGGGAGGCAGGTTTGGGGTTTCTCTCGTTTTTAATCAGATTCTCAGTGGGGTCATGGCCTCAGGAGGGTCAGAGCTGAGGCCTACAGGGCACAGGCTGACTTAGCACGTGTGCATCTTGGGGTGCCCTTCCCAGCCATGCCCCGCCTGTGCCCAGAGTGCCTGTGCCCCCCACCCCTGAGCTCAGGCCGGCTGTAGTCCTGCTCTTGGTGGCCTTTTCCTGCTGTCCCCTGCCCGCCGTTTCCTTCACTGGCTTCCCAGACTCTGTGTGGCCTCATCCGGCAGTGTCCCCATCTGGCTGTGTCCTGGCACCAGGCTCATGGCTGGGCCCTGACTGGAGCTTGGGCAGCCCCAGGGAATGGCCTGAGTGCCCTTGTGTGTGAGGTGGACCTGTGCCCACCGGGGACCTCGTGTGCAGACCCGGCCCTGCACCAGGTGGCCTTGTGCTCCAGAAAGGCTGTGGCGCCTGATGCTGGCCAAGCAGGTGGTGCCCCTGCTGGCCGCACCCAGGACGGCCTGCGCCCTGCCCTTGCCCTGGCAGGGGGCCTCGGGATCAGTGTCGGCCTGCAGAGCCCTCGCTGAGCCCCGTGGTGCCTGTCCCCACAGGATGGTGGACGTGGGAGGACAGAGGTCCGAGCGGAGGAAGTGGATCCACTGCTTCGAGAATGTGACGTCCATCATGTTCCTGGTGGCACTCAGCGAGTACGACCAAGTCCTGGTGGAGTCCGACAATGAGGTGGGTGAGGCCCGTTGGCGCGGAGCCCCGCCCGGGCTGGCGGTTGGTCGCCGGGCCTCAGCGCAGCCTTCCCTCCCGCAGAACCGCATGGAGGAGAGCAAGGCGCTGTTCCGGACCATCATCACCTACCCGTGGTTCCAGAACTCGTCCGTCATCCTGTTCCTCAACAAGAAGGACCTGCTGGAGGACAAGATCCTGCACTCGCACCTGGTGGACTACTTCCCCGAGTTCGACGGTGAGCAGCCGCGTGCTCGCCCCTGTGCCCGTCCTGCGCGGCCCCCTGCCACCCCGCGCATCTCGGGCCTGTGGGGAGGGCCGCGGCCCGGTCACCCTGTCTCGGGATTACGGGCGTCAGCAGGAGGGTGTCGCGCGGGCGGAGTGAGGTGCTGTGAATCAAGGGGTGGCCAGGCCACCGTGCTGACCCCTCCCCAAATCTGCCTGGGCTGGAGATGAGGGTGCCTGTGGATACAGACAGGAGGGGCAGCTGGCATGGGCACGAGGCAGGTGTGTGGTGTGCATGTGCGGGGGCACGTACATGGGCACACACCCGTATACCTCTGCTTGGACGTGGGTATGTGTCAGGGGTGCAGCAGCAGGTCCCCGGCTGGGTGGGCTGAGGTCCATGGTGCCTAGTGGGTGGAGACGGGCGGGCAGGCGAGAGCCCCGGGCCCCGGGCAGGCGTGCGGTGGAGCTGCCCGCAGGCCCCGCTGACCTGCCCCCACCCCCCCAGGGCCGCAGCGGGACGCCCAGGCCGCGCGGGAGTTCATCCTGAAGATGTTCGTGGACCTGAACCCCGACAGCGACAAGATCATCTACTCGCACTTCACGTGCGCCACCGACACGGAGAACATCCGCTTCGTCTTCGCCGCCGTCAAGGACACCATCCTGCAGCTCAACCTGAAGGAGTACAACCTGGTCTGAGCCGTGCCCACGGGCGAGGGCGTCCTTCCTTCTGTCCCCTCCGCCCCCTTCTCCCTGGTCCGCGGCAAGGCCGCCTTTTTCTGGCCTTGACTCGCGGCTCGCTTTTTTCTAAGAAAAACAAAAAACAAAAAAGGAAACAGCAGGAACGCGGGAGCGGCGGAGCCGGGCCGGGCTGGGGTCCGCGCGCGGGCAGGGCCGCCGGCCTCGGAGTCCTGGTGGCCACCCCGGGCCCCCTCCCCGGGCACCGGCGCGCGGCACGGTGACTTTCCTCTCTTTTTTTAAGTTATTGACACCCTCGCCACTTTCGCTGTGTTTTGCCCACTGGACTCTAAGAAGAGGGGGTGGGTGGCGCCCCCTGTTGCCCACCCTGGGAAGTGCCTAACCATTTTTTTCTTTTTGAGGAAAACAAAACAAAACGAAGTCCGCCGGCCCGGCGCCCGGAGCAGGGAGGCCGCCTGGACTGGGAGTCGCTATTGTTTCCTTACGTTCTGTGACCAGCTTGGAAACCGGGAGGGCGGGGTGGGGACTTTTTCAGAATATTCTCAGGTCTGTCCCCGAAAGGCGGAGGGAGGGCGTGGCCGCCGCAAGCACCTGCCCCTGCTGCTGCCCTTTGCCCGGCTGCCTATCTGCCCGGCTGCCCGCCCCTGGCCGCCTGGCCTGGGCCCCTCCGGGAGGGGCCCCGGGGCTGGAATTCCGGGGCCCGGGAGGCGGCTTTTTCATCGGATGTAGACTGAACACTACAGTGTTCCTGTGTGTGTGTGTGTGTGTGTGTGTGTGTGTGTGTGTGTGTGTGTGTGTCTGTGTGTTTGCACAAACGTGACAGGAGGGACAGCCACCCGCCCCGCTGGGCCCCGCCCGTTAGTGGTCTGTGCAGCTCCTCGTTTGGGCCGCCAGCCGACCCAAAAAGTCAGACCCACCAAACGCCATTCCCGTGCACCTGGCCCCCGCCTCCTCCTCCCGCCTGCCCCGTGCCCGGAGGGGCCTTGTGTGATGGGCAGCCCCTCACAGGTGGGGAGTGGGGGGACCGTTCCTGGTGATCAGCCCCACCTGGGGGGCCCCAGCCTTTCACACCAATTTTTCTCTTGGCATCTGCAGCCAAGTTCTTTTGTGCCATGTGTCTGCGTGAGAGGGCGGGTATGTGGCCTCCAGGCTCGGCCTGGGGGGCGGGGAGTGGATGGTGCCAGTGGGCCCGCAGGGGGACCTCGGGGTCCTCGCAGGACGTGCGTCTCTGTGTCCTAGCACCTCTCAACGGCTGAGATGACAAAAAGGGACAGGGTTGGGCCCTCGAGGGGGTGGCGTGAGCAGGTGGGCTGGGGGCACCAGAGTATTAACCCTTCCCAGAGAGGGGACAGTGTGCCAAGCATCAGAGCCAAGCCACCCCACTGCCCCCGAGGGTCTGCAGCTGGCTCCAGACCAGTGCCAGCCAGGGTGTGCCCTCCCATCCGCCTTCTGTGAGCAGCGCCTCCCGAGGTTTCCTCCCATGCCAGCAGAAGTGAGCCCCTGCACGTGCCCTGGCCTCCCCGGAGGTGTCCCCCTGCCAGGCCCCCAGCGGTAGTGGGGACACGTGCCGGCTGGCCAGTCAGGTGGGCAATGTCCGGTCATACCTGTATATTAATTACACAATCCTGATTCCAGACGATTTAAACCTTAATCTATTTTAAAAAAGACTTATATAAAAATGCTGTTTTTAAACCTTTTGTCATCGGAAGTGCATGTATTGTCACACGCTGGGGTGATAGGAGGACGTTGGCGCCGACCTCTAGTGGCCAAGGCCGCCCACATCCAGGCCTGTGGGCGGTGGGCTTTGCTCAGCGTGTTGGGGCCCTGACCCCTTAATCCAGAGATAGCTGATGGAAATTGACTTTTCATATCTTTCTCCTGAAAATGAATTCTGTTTTAAATTGGAATAAATTTTGTTCCTAAACGCTGTGGCCCCCTGTGGCTTATTTCCTGTTACTGGCAACAGCAGGGTAGAGTGGGGGCCGCAGCGGGGTCCTGCAGAACCCCGGGGAGGCACTTGGTCCCCGTGTGCTTGTCTGGGGCCCTGGCGCCTTTGGGCTGTGTCTGAGCTCCCAGGGGCCACAGCCACAGCTCCCTGGGCTGTGCCCCCCATCCTGGGCCCATTGGGTCCTCTTCCTTGGTCCTGACCTCAGGTTCATCTGTACTGCTGGGCTGGAACATCCTGCCATCTCCTTACTGGGGCAGGGGGCTTGGATGGTGGGGACGCCCAGGCTCTGGGCCCAACATGCGGGCACTGCCCCTGGTGCCCTTGGGAAGGCACCCCTCCCCCGCCTCCATCTCTGTGACTGTTGGACCAGCCATCTCTCTGCTATCTTCCTTCAATCTTTCTTCCTTTAAAACATTCTTTGATCATGGTAAATATATGGTAAGGACACCCGATTGACCTTAACCATTTTGAATGCTCAGTTCAGTGGCATTGACCACAGTCACATGTGCAGCCACCCCTGCCCCCCATCCACCTCCAGACCTTCCCATCTCTGCACGGAAGCTCTGTCCCCATGAAACACTAACACCCCAGCCCCCAGGCCCAGTGCCCACTTCCTGTCTCTGTGGATGGGGATCCCCAAGGGACCTCCTTAGGGGCATCAGACAGGATCTGTCCTGTGTCTGGCTTGTGTCACTGAGCGCCGTGTCCTTGAGGTTCATCCACATCGTAGTGGGTGCCAGAACATCCTTCCTTTCCACGACTGAGTAGTACTCCAGGTGTGGACGGACCACGTTGTGTTCATGTGTCCGTGGATGGACACTCCGGTTGCTTCACCTTTTGACTGCTGTGAGCATGGGTGTGCACGAATCTGAGTCCCTGCTGCCTATTGTGTTGGTTGTACCCCTAGGAGAGGGGTTGGGGGATCACAGGTAACCCTAACTTTTTGAGGCTGTTTTCCAGTTTTCCACAGCAGCTACCCTTTTCACATTCCCAGCAGCATCGCACAAGGGCTTCAGTTTCTCCATATCGTGCAGTTTATTTAGTCTTATCTGTGGGTTAGGCCTCCAAGGCCCTCTGTCCCGCGCTGTCCTAGGCACTGCGGATGCACTGGGGAAGCCATCCACGCCAGTGAGTTAATCATTGGAGAAGGGGAGCAGGGAGGCAGGAAGGGCAGCCACGATCTGACGGAAGGGCTTTTCAGGCAGAGGGACCACTCTGCAAAGGTCCTGGGGCAAGAACGGCCGTGAGGCCCATGAGGCTGTAGCTGATGGAGCGAGGGAGCTAGGGAGGGAGGGAGGGGGACGGACATCAGTGGTGCCCACCCATTGGCTCCTGTGAGACGCTGTGTGAGCATGGGTGGGCAAGCACCTGTCCAAGGCACTGCTTTCCATTCCTTTGTAGATGCACCCAGAAGTGGGATCACAACATGCTTTTTGATCTTACCCAAAAATATGACTCTTCATTTAAAAAAAGGAGGGGTGGACCTTTGTACCCCAGCATTGACCTCGGGTGTGGCAAGGGCAGGCAAGGGCCAGGGAGGGACGCAGCTGTGGCCCTCAGCAGCCACCACTTCCAGCAACCGAGGTGTGAGTACTCTGAAACTCTGCAAATGTCCTATTCATCGTTCAACAGGGAGGATGGTTTCATTCCAGAGAAGCAGCAAGGGGTGCATCACTTCTGAATAAAGGACACTCTTTGGGTGGAATACATTCAGCTCTAGAAAAACTCAGGAGAGCTAGCCAGGGTGCACGTTGCTGTGTGCACTTTGGCGAAAGGTAGTTACTATCTGGGAAATACCTTGTGACCCAGCAGTCCCGCAGTGGACTGTTTTCCCACCAGAAGCCGTCATACGTACAGAAACCAAAAGGCACGTGCCAGGTGCCCACCAACAGCAGAATGGAGGTATCAGCACAGAGACCACAGGTGACAAATCCTGGCATGTATTCAAAAGGCACTAGGAGAGTAGATCTTAACAGTTCTCATCACCAGAAAAGGTTTGTAACTAGGATTGCTGAGGGATGTGCACTAGACCTGCTGTGGCGATCATCTCACACTATACATACAAATAATCGCCATTAGGTCATACACCGGAAACTAATTTAATGTTCTCTGTCAGCCGTGTCTCCATTAAACATAAATAAAAAGAGAACACTGATAAGGAAAAAAAAAAAGGATGGATGACTAGATGGCAGGATAGGCACCCAGGAGAAGAGTGCAACAGCAGCGAGGATTAATGGATTACGGCTGTGTGCCGCGATATGATTTATGACGACCATAACATCATGACATCGCTAACCCTGAAGAGAGCTGCTCACAGAACCCGGACGCACCAGAGTTTGTCTTGTGCAATTCCATTCACACAATGTTCAAAAGAGGCAAAAGCTAAACAACGATATTTAGGGTTGCTTCATTCTGTTATAAATTTATGAAGAAAAGGGAGTCCAGAGGGATATTACATAAGAGAATCAGTTCACCAAAAGGACATACTAATCCTAAATGTATGTGGCAAAATGTAGAAATGAAAGGGGAAATATACAAGTCCACAAATATGCTTCAAAACTTCCTCGCGCCTCTCAGTAATCAATGGAACACGCGGACAGGATGTTTGCAGGATACGGAAGATCAAAACACCATCCAGCAAACAGACTCACATAAGTGGGGTGAACTGACTTTGGCAAAGGCACCAAGAGAATTCAAGGGAGAGAGGGAAGTCTTTTCAACAAATAGCGCTGAAACAACTGGGCGTCCATATGCAAAAAAATGAAAGAAAGAGAACCCCGACCTACACAAAAATGAACTCAAAATGGGTCATGGATCTAAATGTCAATCGTAAAACAATAAAACCAGCAAAAACGCCTATGGCCTTCAGTTTGGCAAAAAGTTCTAAGACACACCAAAAGCCCGATCCGCACAGGGAAAAAAAACTGATAAATTGAACATCACAAAAGGAAAGTTTTGTCCATAAAGGACCCAGTTAAGAGGATGAAAAGTCAAAACGCAGAGTGGGAGAAAATATTTGCCAACCACCTACCCAATAAAGGACTTGCATCCAGGGTATTTAAAGAATTCTCAAAGCACAACACTGATCCACTAAACAGCACATAAAAAGAAAAAGCAAAGTATTTGAACTGACCCTCCACTGAAAATACCTGGGTGGCAACGTAGACACGTGAAAAGATACCCAACACCACTAGTTGATTAGGGAGATGCAGATCAAATCTATAATAAGATACCATTACACACATCTTAGGATGGCTAAAATAACAAAAGGCAGACAATACCAAGTGCCGACAAGGATGCAGAACAACTGGGTCTCATACGTGGCTGGTGGGAATGCAAGACAGTCCGGCCACTCAGGGAAGCCATCCAGCAGTTTCTTACAAAGTTAAACTTGCGATTGCCTTATGACCTGACAATCTCACTTCTAGGAACTTACCCTAGAGAAACGAACACCAGTGCTCACACGAACCCTGAACAGGTACGTTTATGATGGCACTACGCATGATCGTGATCACAGCAAACTGGAAACAACCCAGACGTCTTCTCTGGAGGGACAGATAAATGGAGGCACACCCACCCCCCAGAAAACCACCCAGCAATCACAAGAAATGGGTTCCTGATAGAACCAACGGCAGCGATGAATCTCAAGGGGTAAGTGAAAAGCCCATCTCAAGCGCTACAGAATGTAGGACTCCATTTATATGACATTCTCGAGGAGACAGCGATAAAGAACAGATGGACGGTTTCCAGGGTCTAGGAGTGGGGCGAGGGTCTGACCGCAAAGGAGGGGCAGGACAGTTTTCTCAGGTGACGGTGCCGTACTCTGTTGTGGTGGTAACTTACATGACTATGTACTTTAGTTAAAATTCATAGATAGAACCGTAGGCCAAAGAAAGTGAATGTGATGCCGTATGTATCTAAAAAATGAAAAACAAAATAAACCTGACTCCCCAAACACAGAAATACTGTAGAATTCAGAGCAGCGGTTACTGCTCGGCCAGAGAAGAGCTTTCTTTTGGAGAGAAGGTGAGAGACCCTCGCAGGGCTCATGATATCTTCTGTCTTGGCCTGCGGTGGGGATGATGTGGGTGTTGGTTTTACAAGAATGACTAGGTTATAGATTCATGTGTGATGTGCCTTCTTGTGTGTGTGTGTGTGTGTGTGTGTGTTTTAAAAAATATGCACCCAAGCTCCCCTGGTATCCCCTAATGAGCTGACAGGGACAGATGTCCTGAATGGCACCTGGCACGTGGAAAAGATGTTTCCCTTGGCGAACAAGGCAGATTTATTATGAGGCTGGAGAAATTCACAGACATGTCCTGAGGTCAGTGGAGCCACGGGCCTCCCACCTTGGTTGTGAGGTGCTGGGGGCCAGGTGTCTGCGTCAGCCTGGCCTCTGGGTTTTGCCTGCTCCGTGTGTTCTGCGGCAGCCCTCCCAGCTCTCCATGGCCGAGAACTATTTCTGCTTTTCTTCAACTGTCCAGGAGTGGGAAGTCACCCAGGCCTCCCGTGTCGTGTCGGGGAGCAGCCCTCCTCACCGCCATCCGGTTGGGGGTGGGAGGGTGGGGGTGCAGGGCAGTGTCTGCCGGCCCCAGTGACCCAGCGGGGCCCCTATCCAACTTCCCATCTGCCATTTGTTATGAATCAACAGCAAAGAAACCACAAGTTCCAGCAGGCTGGGTGTGGGGGCAGGGGGATGGTTGCAGCTGTGTGACCCCAGGTACTCTGCTCACCCTCTCTGAGCCTCCAGAGTGCCATCTGTGAAGGGTCCAGAGTCCCCCAAAGTATGTTCTGGAACTTTCTAGAACCTGTTCAAGGGGATTCTGCCCCCCAAACACGGCCCAGATCTGCCGGATTGGTGACAACTGGAGACCTCCGCTTTGTGTTTGTGTGCGTGTCTAGGAAGCAGTAGGCGTTGACCGCCGCCCCAACCCCCCACCGTGTCCCTGTCCCACTTCTAGGGTCCTGAGGGAGGTGGGGCTCAGGGCAGGATGGCCTCGAGGCCTTCAATCTGAGTGCCCCAATGTCTCCTGGCTCCCGTCTCGGCTTAATTTTTTGCTCAGACTGTACCACCATGCAACAGGCTTGGATATTTTTGACCGTACATTTCCCTACCTCTCCGTCTACCTAGAAGGCTAGGCCGGGAGGTCAGCATTTGACAAAAGGTCATTTTGTTCCCTGCTGTGCAGAGAAACTGGCACACAATAGGTGCCCAATAAACGTTTGCAGGAAGAATGAATGCTGCTACCCCCAGCCCCCACCCCCCACCGCCAAAGCTGCCCTGTCAGCAGTCAGAGCTCGGGGCCCGTGGGTGCAAGCCCGCTCTGGCCCAGCCGCATCCCGGCCGGGCGGCCAGGCAAGTCACTGCACGCTCGGCCCCAGTTTGCTCATCTCCACGTCCGGGATGATGACAGGAGCTCAGGGAACCAGCCACTCACTGAAGCCCGTAGGGCACCGGGCGTCGCCCGGGCTTCGCCGCTTTTGGGGAAAGATCTTTCTGGGTGCTGTGCTCCTAATTGGTCCGGAGGAGAGGGGTGGGCCCGGGGGACGGCCTGTGGCGGCGGGGCCCCCGCGGGGGAGCCCACCCCTTCTCCAGAATGAGGAAGGAGGCCCGCGCCGCGGGGACCCAGACGGTGGCTGGGCCCTTCCCGCCGGGGCCCCGCCCTCCCCGGGGGGGCGCCCCGCTCACCTCCGCGCCGCCGTCAGCCTGTTGGGCCGGGCTGGGCAGGTCTGGAGATGGGTGGGGAGCCCTGAGTGTCCCCGCAGTCAGGAGCCGCCCTGTGCCCGGCACTCAGGCCTCGCGGAGCCACACGCCGGGGTCCCGGGGGCGTGGGGGGGCGCCCCCACGAAGAGGGCGGCCCCTGCGCGCCCGCTGCCAGCACCGGCCCGCCTGGCGGGCGCCCTCCGCAGGGGCGCCGGGGGGCCATGCGGCCTGGCGCCCTCTGAGGCCCGCAGCATGGCCCGCGCGCTGACCTGGCGCTGCTGCCCCTGGTGCCTGACCGAGGACGAGAAGGCGGCGGCCCGGATCGACCAGGAGATCAACAGGATCCTCTTGGAGCAGAAGAAGCGGGACCGCGGGGAGCTCAAGCTGCTGCTGCTGGGTGAGTCCAGGGCCCGGGGTGCGCGCAGCGGGCGGGCAGCTACCCGCCGGGACGGGAGAACTCGGCACCCATTGTCTAGATGGGGAGACTGAGGCCCAGCTCCTCGTCCAAAGGTGCGAGCAGAGGGCCCCCCGCCCCCCGCCTGGCCGCCCTGCGGGGTGTCTGCAGGAGCCCAGGGTGCCAGCTCCGCCCGACTCCTGCCCGGCAGGCCCAGCACGCCCTACCAGCTGTGGAGTCATGGGGAGGGAATGGGGCGCTCAGGCCTGCCTAGCCCATCTCTCCCTCTCTCTCCGGGGGGCCCCGCTGGTCCTCGGACCCTGCCACGCGGCCAGCTGGGACGGACTGGACCCTGGTTTGTTCTGGCGGCCCATCAGCACCAAGTCCTCGGGGCCAGAGCATGGCCCTGTGGCTCTGCCAGACTGATTGATTGATTGATCGGTTCCGTCATTCATTCAGGATTTATTGAGTAACTCGTGGGGGACACAGAAGCCCAGGGGATGGACAGCACCCAGGCTGAGGGGACCTCAACTTGCCCTGAGGGAGGCAGACATTAAACCGGCAAACGAATGAGCAGATAAAATAATTTCCGGCAGCAAGAACAGCAAGAAGCAAAATAAAACAGGGCGAAAGGAAGGAGTGGCTGTGGGCTTGGGGGGCTGGCGGCTTGTCAGCCTCTGAGGTTGTGACCTCTGAGACCTCAAAGCCTTATCACCCACACGTGTCCCCTCTCCCAACCACCTTGTCTGCTGGCCTAACCCCAGGACACTGGCTCTGGAGGGTCTCCCAGGATCCCTGAGACCTGGGCAGGGGGCTGGGGGAGGTCCTGGGTGTCCCCAAGTCACATCTGCCTGCCCCAGACCAGAAAAGGCTGGTCATCTGTATGGTTGCTGGTCTCTCTCCCTTGCTCGGAGCGGGCGGCCCAGAGGAGTGGAGAGAGAGAGGAGGTGGGGAGCACGGGGCCCCCAGGAATTGCACCTTAATCCAGAGCCCTTCCAGGTCTCGTCTTGAGCTCGGTAACAGAACACCCCTCCCTCCCCATCTAGTTCTCCAAGGAATCTGGCATGGCATGAAATCCAAAACTCCAGCCCCCCTTGACCTCTCAGACCCCAGCTCCTGTCTCCTTTCATCATATTTTGGCTGCAGCCACCTGGCTTCTTTACCCTTCCTTGGATGTTTCCTGTTTTCCTTAAAACATTTGGCAAAATGGTCAATGAGGCTGTCTGAATCTGGAGGTTTTAATTAAGAATTTAATCATTTTAATAGCTATTTCTTTTTTTTATTTCTTTAATACATAGGCTATTATTGTATCAGTAACATATCATATGTGAAATATTTTTAATAAATAGGACTCTGTAGCCTAACTATTTCTTCGTGAGTGAGTGAGCTTGGTTACTGGTGTCTTTCAAAGAATCTGTCTATTCCTCCAAAGTTATCAGATGTACGGGTGTAACATTATGGATAACATTCCCTTGTTACCCTTCTCATGTCTGTAGGATCTGTAGTGATGTCTCTTCCTGCATTCTTTTTGACTTCGCTCCCTTTTTCTCTATCTGTCAGGGGCTAAGGGTGTCTCTAGAGAGAGTTCTCTCCTTGCACAGCCCAAGTTCATTCATCCGAACCTCAGGGCCTTTGCACCTGCGGTTCTCCCCACCAAGCGCTCTCCGCATCACCCACGCCTCTGCACGGCTGGCGCTCTCGCTCAAGGCAGGCCTCGGCTCCTGTGTTGCTCCGCAGAGGCCCCATCCTGCCCCTTGCTCTACTTGATTTCTCTTCGTAGCGCCCACTTGCTGACTCTCTGGGGCATTCACTTGCTGGATATTGTCTGTCTCTCCCGTTACACAGCAAACACACAGGGTGGGGGCTGCGTCTGTCTGATTCACACGTGTGTCCCCAGCATCTGGCCCAGGGGTACAGTGAACATACCATCCAGCAGATGCCCGGGCCATGCCCTTTAAGAGAATGAGTGAGTTTCAGGGGTGATTTTCCCATATCTTCCCAAAGCTGGGAAGGTCCCTTGCCCAACACTGCCCTGACCACTGCCCAGGCAGCCCCAAATCAGGAAGCCCCTTCTGCTGGGGCTGAGTAAGGAGAGAGTGGGTGGGGGGAGGATGTCTATGTCCCCAGGTGCCGATGGCGGCTCTGTGGAGTGTGGTTTCCACCCCACCCACCCCAGCCCTGGGGCTGCCTCCACGCCTCCCTCTCTTCTTGAAAACAGGAATTGAATCCAAAAGTTATTTTTTCCTGGAGGTGACCGATCCTTTTGAGGAAGCAGGCCAAGGGAGCAGGGGTCTGTCCCTGGCAGGAAGGGTTCGGCTGTTGGGGTGGGGAGAGACTCAGAATGAAGCAGCGCCGTCCTTAGCACTCGAGGTAGGAACGACTCATCTCCCCATATGGGGAAACCGAGGCCCAGAAAGGTGAGGTGCGTTGCCCAGGATTGGAACCCAGAATTCTGGGCCCATGTGGTTGACTGCCCTGTGAATGCGCCTTGGGACAGAAAAGCCACAGAACCCCAATGGCAGATGGGGGAACTGAGGCCCAGGGAGGTGGCAGGACTGGTCTGGGCTCAGCAGCCAGTCCGAGACAGAGCTGGACCTGGAGGTGGAGCTGCCTGGCTCCCTGGGCCCTGGGGAGGGCAGGGGTGCCAGGGGCTGTCGTTTCCATGGAAGGAGCCATGTGGATGTCTCGTGATGCCCTGGGCTCGGCCAGCTCCCCCTGGCATCTGCTAGATTCCACTTCCCTGTCCATCCCCGAGGTCGCAGGCACTTCCCCTCTGGGCTGCGAGGCTGTGCCAGGTGGAAAGGGCTTTCCCCCCAGCCCCCAGCCCCATTTTCCCCAAGCAGACCAGGAGCCAGGGGCGGGAGGCTCCAGAATCCTTGGTGGCTTTGGGACCATCACGGGCTGCACAGAGGGGCTCCCAGCCCAAGGAGTTGTTCGGGTTTCAGGTTGTGACCCATTCCTGAGTCATAACATCTGAGTTGTGGGCGGCAACCAGGAATTACTTTTTTCTTTAATGAAGCAGAAGAGAACAGAGAAAAAAAAAAATCAACGCATCACAGCAAAGTAGTGGCTTTGTGAGACCTGATTGTCCTCTACACTTCTGGAGCAGGCCTGGGGTCAGAGTTGGAAGGCAGCCAGGAGGGAGGTCAAAGGGTGCAGTCCCCTGCTGTAGGCACCATCCAGCGGAGTGTCCGGCCCCCGTTAACATCAGGTTAACCGATATTTTGATGAGACTCAGCCCAGCCGACAGGCCGTGTCCCATTTTGTGGGTGAAGGACCCCATGGCAGCTTGAATTGACCTCTCTGCTTCTCCACTAGCTGTGTGATCCCGGGAAAGGTGCCACACCTCTCTGACCCCCATACCTCCTCTGCGAATGGGGAAACAGCAGACAGCAGAGGACTGACCAAGGTCACACAGAAGGCCTTGGCCAGGGCCTGGCAGATGCCCTCTGTGATTATTATTATTGTAGTTGTTCTTGGTGGTGGTGTTGTTTTTATCAGCAGGCCTATGGGCAGCTTCTGTATAATAACCAAAAGCCCACCAGCTCTGGCCTCAGACAGAACCAGTCTCAGCTGGGTCACTTACTAGCTGTGTGACCCAAGGGAATCCCCTCCATTTCCCCACCCCCAAAAAAGGGGCCAAGAGCCTTCCCTCTTTACCCATGAGGCTCGGGTGGGGTGGAGGCGTCGGGCTCTCTGCTCTCAGAGACCTGCGGGCTCACAGCCACCTCTGCCATCCCCAGATTACCAGGGCCCCAAAGACTGGATGGCCACCCGGGTTGCCCAGTGAGGGCTTGCTGGTTTATCTCACTGACTGGGAGATCCCCATGGTCCATGCAGGAAAATGTAGTGAGCTCGACACGTCCCCAAGAAATTCCGGACTCTGGGCCACAGTCTGCTCCCTGTTGGCAAGTCAGATTGTAGGCTTGTGGCATTATTTAATTTATTTATTTTACGGGGCGGGGCACCTTTTAATTTTGGAATTATTTCACAGCACAGGAAAGTGAAAAGATAACCGCAAGAGCTCCCCCTCTGCTCCTGACCAGCCCCTCCGCCCCTTAATGCCTGCCAGACCCACCCGGCATCAGTCGGAGCTGAGAACGAACTTGGCAAATGTTTTATGATATTATTATTAATTGAACTCCAGACTTGGAATCTGCTTTTCCTCTGAAGGCCCCTTTTCTGGTCTCTCATATGACATTTAGGGTGTTTTTTTTAATTTGATTTCCCCTTTCTTAACTTTTTATTTTGAAAAATCCTTTCAGACTTACAGAAAAAGTGGACCCGGCTTCTTCTTCAGCTATAAGCATTTTACTACATTTTCCTTCATTTTAACCCCTTCCCTATATATATACACACACACACACATACATGTGCTTGTATACATGTGCATGTATATACTCACAATGTATATAATGCATAATTATATCTAGAATGTATTTACTCTGCATTTATATATTTAATACACACATACTCCGTTGGCAAGTAAGTAGCAGACCCTACACCTTGTGATCTATCCCTGAATACGTCAGCAGGTTGGTGTCCCGCTGAAAGGGGACAAACTGGGACAGTGAGGACGGGCGGCTAGAGGGATGGTGCCGACAGTCAACCTGCACTGCTGACTCCCACCTGGCCGGCTTTCCCAGTGTCCCTGCTCATGTGGGCGAGAGAAAAGCAGCTCTTTTTTCTTGGACTTCGAGTCCCGTGGACTTTATGAGCACCTGGTGTCACCCCCCAACCTGCCCTCGTTGCCCTCACGTGGCCTGGTGGGGGCACAGGGGCTCCCGAATGAGGTGATAGAGATAGTAAGGCCCCCACCCCCACCACTCCCACCCTCCCCACCTTTGTCCCCACGCCGATTCCTCTGCTGCCATCTCCCCTTTCCGGCCTCCAGTCAGGCCACCCCTTCCCTTTTTGTTGTGTGCGCCAGTTCCTCCTGCTCCAGCCCCCTGATGCCCCCGGAAGGACCCCATGCCAGTGGCCCCTGGGAGCTGGGCAGGGCAATGAGCTGCTGGGGGTGCCTCCCAGCCCTCACCTCCAGCCCGGCTGTCATGCCCTTTGTGCAGAGGAGAAAACAAGGCACAGACTAGGGGAGATTGCAGAGCTCAGACAGCAGGGAACTGAGCCTTGGGCTTCTGGCCCTGGGCTCTTGGAGAGTCCAGGGCTATTGTCACAAGCCCAGGGCCAGCTGCTTGGGGGTGACCTGGGCAGTCCACAACACCCTTCTCTGTAGCTGCGCTGAGACCACCTGGTCCACCCGATTATCACCCACAGGATCAGCACAGTCCCCTCCTCTCTGGGGTCCTGGCTCCTGTCCACCCACCACGGTCTGTCTTCCCCACAGGGGCCACCAGAGGGTGCAGGTGAGCACCTGCGTCAGGTCCCCTCCTCTGCCCACAGCCCTCCAGGCTCCCACCTCCCTGGGGTCAAAGCCCAAGTCCTTCCCACAAGGCCCTGAACAACCTGCCCCCTCCCCTCCCTGCACTCCGCCCCTCCCTCTGTCTCCTTCACTCCCTCTGCTCCAGCCACAAGGGCCTCCTGGCTGTTCCTCCAACACACCAGGCCTGGTCCTGCCCCAGGGCCTTTGCACGGGCCGTTCCCTCTGCCTGGAGTACCCTACCTACAGATCCTGGCACGAGAGCATCTTTCCCAGCCTGCAGACCTCCACCAAGAGACCTTCCTTGACACTCAGCTATAGCAGTCAACTAAATACTCTTTATCTATTTATCCTATTTTATTGCCTTCACAGAATTTTCTCTACTTGAAATTATTATAGCAAATAATAATAGCAATTATGGTAAATACTGCTAATACTAATAGTGAACACTAATATAGCTCTTACTATGTCTAGGCATGTTCTAAGCCAGGGGTCCACAAACTTTTTCTGGAAATGGCCAGATAATAAATATTTTCAGTTTTGTTCGCCAATCTCTGACTATTCAATTCTGCCACTGCAATGAGAAAACAGCTGTAGACAGTTTGTCCACAAATGGGCAATACCTTGTGCCAATAAAACTTTATTTATGGGTGCTGAAACCTGAATTTCATATAGTTGTCACGCATCAGGAAATGATCTTGATTCCTTTCGGCCATTTAAGAACGTAAAAGCCATAACCATAAAAGCACTAGAAATGTAAAAACTGTACAGACTGAAGACTCACTGGCTATGCAAGAACAGGTGTCTGGCTGGACTGGTCCTGAGGGCCGTGGTCTGCCAACCCCTCCTGGGAGCATCTTGCAATGAACTCATTCAACCAACCAACACATCGATTCAGCAGGCCAGGCTTACTCTAAACCATGTTTGACAGGTGGGGAAACTGAGTCACAGCATGGCTGTGGCTGAGCTGGGATTGAACTTGGAGGCCAGGGTGGGGGTGGGTGGCAGGTGCCCCCCAAGGGCTGAACTGATCACCGTGTCTCTGCAGGCCCCGGGGAGAGCGGGAAGAGCACGTTCATCAAACAGATGCGGATCATTCACGGGGCAGGCTACTCGGAGGAGGACCGCAAGGGCTTCCGACCCCTGGTCTATCAAAACATCTTCGTGTGCATGCGAGCCTTGATTGAGGCCATGGACCGGCTGCAGATCCCCTTCGGCAGGCCCGAGAGCAAGGTGAGGATCCCGGGCACTTGCCACGGGGGCTTCCTGCTGGGGTGGGGCCCTTCAGGACTTCAGGGTCAGGCTGAGTGCCCTGGACCCCCATGACGCCTGGGTGGGACCCTGTGCCAGCACCTGTGTCCCTGTAGAAACGTCATTACCATCCACTGATTCCTGAGTCCAGCCCCTGCCTGCTGTAGGCAGGGCTGCTCTGCGCTCCTGCATTGCTCTACTGCCCTTTCTAAAAAATTTTTTTTCTATTGTGGTGAGAACACGTAATAGGAGATCTACTCTCTTGACAAATTTTGAAGTGCACAAACAGCCCTGTGAGCCGAGGCACCTTGCCGTTCAACAGAGCTCTAGAATAGATCCGTCTGTGTACCTGACTTCATGCCGGGCGACTGCTGTGCCCCGTCTCCAGCTCCGAGCTGCTCTCTGTCCCCATGGCTTTGCTTATGCCATGGGCGTCGTATAAATGGGATCATGCACTGTTTGTCCCTCTGTGGCTGGCTCATTTCACTTAATGTGACATCCTCAAGATTCATCCACATTGTTGCCTAATGCAGGATTTCTTTTTTTAATGCTGAATAATATTCCACTTGGTATGTGTATGTATATCTATGTATAACATTTTCTTTTACCCACTTATCTGCCATCAAGCATTTAACAACCACCACCTTTGGTTCTATTACCTTTCTCGATGAAGTTAACATTTTTTATTGAGATACAACACACGTGCAGAAAAGGACATAACTGACAAACTGTGTAAATCGTCACAAGGCAAACACCCAGGCGGCCACAGCCCAGGGTGAGCAGAATGTGCCCAGAAGCCCCTTCCCGAAATCACTAACCCCTGAGGGTAACCACTACCCCGTCTTCCCTCGCTGTGCATCGGGTTGCCTGCTTTTGAACTTCTGACAATGCGGAATTATGTGGAATGTTCTCTTACGTCTGGTTTCTGGCACCTCCCAGTATGTCTGTGCTTCATCCCCTCTTTGGGAGCATAGTCGGGGTGTTAGTTTCCACCACAGATATGCCATGGTTTATCTGTTTACCCACCTTGACGTTGGATGTTTGGGTTGCCTGAATATGTTTTATGAAAATATATGCATTTCTATTGGGTATCTACCTAGACATAGATTTTGGTCATAACGGACATGTTTGCGTAACTTTACTAGGAGGCACTAAAACTATTTCCGAGAAGTTGTGCCAATTCACAGTCGGAGATCCAGGTGTGGGCAGGCCTGGTTTCTCCTGGGCGTGCAGACAGCCGTCTCCTCATGTGTCATTCCTCTGCTCGTCCGTGTCCTGATCTTGTCTTGTAAGGACACGGATCCCATTGAATCAGAGCCGCCCTAATGACCTCATTTTAACTTAACCACCTCTTTAAAGACTGGGTCTCAAAAGAGAGTCACAGACTGAGGCCCCTGAGGGTTTAGGACTTCAGCACATGAGTGTGCAGAGGGTGAGGTGGTGGACACGATTCAGCCCATAACAGGCTGCAGACTTTTATTTTTGGCTTTTATATTTGGGTGCAGACTTTTTAATTGATCCTACACAGAGGTTACTCCCAAACATCCCCACTTCCCACCGAGCTGTCACCCGACACTCAGGCACCGACCACTTTCAATATAAGCATGATAAGCCTGCATGTCCGCCATGGAGGGCTTGGGCCCTGCAGAGGGGCCCAGGGGGCACATGGCAGCGTCAGCTTTGTCTCCTCCTGACCCAGGTCGATGCAGAAGACACGAGCCTGTGGAGGCTGGCCGGGAGTGGGTCTGGGACACTATCTCCCTCATGCCCCCAGTCCAGTTATTTGTCCCACAGACATGGTATTTTGGCCCGATGCAGAGGAATGGCCCAGTTGAAACCCAACCACACACCTTTGGTCATGGCGTTGCAGACTGTACCTAGGAATCCATATTCTTTTGACCCCCCCTATTCAATATGCAGACAATGGAGTTCAGGGCCAGTGCTTCAGAAATGCATGTACAATACCCACCCACCCACATACACATACATGCATACATGTACACAAATGCACACATACATGCATGCCCACACAGATCCACATAAGCATACACGCATATGCCCACATATACACAGAGGCACACACAAATTCACATGCATGCGCAAGCACACCCACCCACATGTGTGTGCACACCAGTCAAGGCACACACACGTGCAGATGTACCCAACAGCACATATGCACACAGAAACACAAGTTCTCTGGCACATCAAGCATACATGTGCTCACACACAGATCCACACACCCATCTGCAACGAGTGTGTACACAGGTGCATGCCAACACACACAGCATGCATGTGCACATGCCCAAGCCTTCATAGGGGGTCTGAATGGCACTGGCGCTGCTCCTGTCCAGGGCAAGGACACCAGGTAATGCGGCAGCGGGCCAGCTGCTCAGGCCGCGTGAGCCTCCGCCCCAGTTTAACTTAAATCACCTGGGCGGAAGGGCGCCGCCCAGCTCTTCATCTTTCCCGCCTTGATCACCTGATCTGTAAAACTGGGGACACCTGTAGTGACCTGCCTCATAGGCGTGAGAGAACCGGCGCTTTTTCAGAGTGGAGGACCCCCATGTTTGGGAGGCACCCAGCTTGCCCAGCGGTCTCTGTGCCCCACATGGGCCTCCAGAACGGGCGCCCACTCGCGGGTCCCCACTGCCCCCCACCCGCCCTCTGCCGAGATGCGCGCGTGAAGAGGGGAGCAGAGCAGGAGGCGGTGCAGGGGGACTGGACGGCAGCGGGCTCTGGGGCCGGACGGGGAGGGACAGCCCTGTGCCCACAGGCAGCCCTGACACCCTCAACCGCCCCTCCCAGCACCACGCCAGCCTGGTCATGAGCCAGGACCCCTACAAAGTGACCACTTTCGAGAAGCGCTACGCCGTGGCCATGCAGTGGCTGTGGAGGGACGCCGGCATCCGGGCCTGCTACGAGCGCCGGCGGGAGTTCCACCTGCTGGACTCGGCGGTCTAGTGAGTCTGGGGCCACCGCGGGCGCGGGGGTGGGGCTGGGGGCGGGCTGGGTATGGCCCCAGCCCCGGACGCAGTCAGTGAAGACCCTGCAGTCACACCAGGGCAGAGGGGCCCCCAGGGGCCAGTCCCCCCACAGGACATGTTGCCGGGGGGTGGCCACGGGTGACATCCAGAGTGACATTGCTCGTGGGTGGTGCTGCGCTGGGGCGACACCACTTCCGGAGTAGCATGGCTTCATCATTCAGGGATGCTGTCCTGGGCATGACGCTGGGCATGTGGGGTGACGGTGGCTGGGAGCTGGTCCCCCGGCCACCACTATTCTTGGGACAGTGCCACTCTTGGTGACAGCCCCCCAAGGTGATGCTCCTCCTCAGCAAGACTGTCCTTGGGGACACGATGCTAAAGGGGAAGCTGCTCCTCCTAGATGGCCCTGCCACCTCAGGGCGGTGCCCATGGGCTACCTGCAGACACCATAAATCCTGGCCCCTCCCCAGGGGCTCCTGTCCACCAGCAGGGTCTTCACTGGGTCCCAGGTGGGATGGGTCTGAGAAGCAAAGGGAGGCTACCAGGCTGGGCCTCACGGCTCCCTGCTCCACAGCTATCTGTCCCACCTGGAGCGTATCACCGAGGAGGGATATGTCCCCACGGCACAGGATGTGCTCCGCAGCCGCATGCCCACCACCGGCATCAATGAATACTGCTTCTCCGTGCAGAAAACCAACCTGCGGTGAGTGCACAGCCCAGGCAGTGGGGAGGCTTCTTGCGGGAGGGGCAAAGGAGCTGGGGCCCTGAGGGATGGATAGGAGTTTCACAATCCCAGCTCTCAAGGGGCTTCCAGGCTGAAGGAGGCAAGGCTGGATACAGACACCTACCTGTGCTATTAGGACGGGGACCTGGAAACGCTCCCCAGGGCTACACCAGAAGGACTGATTTGGTGCTGCGGAACCTCAGACGGTGGTCCCTCTAGTGGTCAATGAAGAGATGAAGCCGCGTTAGGATACTCAGAGGGAGGCAGAAACCGTAATCCAGGCAGGAAGGGCTGGTAGAGCCAGGGCAGTGGTCCTGGGGATGGAAATGTGGGATGGTGCAACACTTGTTTCTGCTGTAGAATGGGCAGGCAGGACTAGACATGGGGGGAATCAGAGCACAGAGTCAAAAATGACTCCCACGTTTGTTATGAAGACAACAGAATAAGTGATGGGGCCACCGTGGTGGTGGCTAGGTGGGGAGTGTTAGCTCAGACACTGAAGTCCTGTGGGGTTCTGTGAGTCTAATGGGTCTGGGCAGCTGGGAAGTGGCTGGACACACAGACCTGAGCGGGAAGACAGAGGTGCGGGCGGCCAGTGCAGCAAGGGGCCATCCATGCAGCATGATGGCCGCTGCCGAAGGCCGAGGAAAGGTCAAGGAGAATACAGGGGGAACGCGACCTCTGAGATCGGCAGTAGGAGGGTCACTGGTGACCTTGGCCATCTCTGAGTCTGTGGGCTGATGGCAGCGGGCTGCGGAGGGTGCAGGTGATGCCTGGAGACAGGTTGTGTTCACACCACCCATGTCTCCACATTGAGCCTGTCGTTTCACTGGACCCCACCAAACACGTTGTTCCGCCTCTTAGCGGTCCTTTCCGGGAAGGTGTAGGATTTATCTGTCCGCCGTGGGTCTCCTCCGCTAGAGGGAGGTCCCCACAAAGTCTGATTCCCTTGCTTTGCTGGTGATGGTCAGGTCACGGCCAGAGTGGAAGCTGGTCAATGTGGAAGACTGGTTGGAAAGATGGAAGGATGGGTGGGTGGAGGGATGGGTGGACGTGGATGGATGGAGAGATGGATGGATGAGTCGATGGATGGGTGGATGGGTGTATGGGTGGATGGATGAGCAGGTGGGTGCATCTATGGGTGGGTGAGCGAAAGCATGGATGGATGGGTGGATGGGTGGGTGGAGGGATGCGTGGACGTGGATGGGGTGGAGAGACGGATGGATGAGTCGATGGATGGGTGGATGGGTGGATGGGTGGATGGATGAGCAGGTGGGTGCATCGATGGGTGGGTGGGCAGGTAAAAGTTTAGGAGTGGAGGTAAAGGTTGAGGAAGCTCGCAGGGAAGGCTGTGCTGAGGGGGTGGTTTTTAGGTGTGTTCTTCTGCCTGTCGATGGAGCGAGAGCTCAAAGGAAACAGACAGGAGGTGGGCAAGTGGTGAGACCCACACCTGTCTCAGTCTCCAGAGCCCCACCCTCAACCCTGCGCCCCCCGCCCTCTGGATATGGGGGCTTGAGGGATTCTGAAGACATTCAAGAGGGCGGGTCTGGAGGACGGGGAGTCCCAGGCAGCAGCCTCAGGTTCCCCTCTGGTACAACGGGGCAAGTCCCTTCTTGCTCTGAGGCTTCTGGCATTTCCCGTCGGCTGCCTGAGTAACCTTTGCATCCGCATCCCTGGGGAAATGACGGCAGGGCTGCTATCAGTGACCCACATTTCTTAGAAGAGAGAACAGGAAACCAGGCAGAGGGCTTAGGGCCTTTGTTGTGGTAAGTGGGGGTGGAGGCTGGGCTCACCCTGAGCCACACACGCAGGTTATGCATCTCCAGCGCAGGAGCTTGAGAAGGTCCCCTCGCCTCCCTGTGCCTCGGTTTCCTCTTCTGTAAAATGGGCATAATGGCAGTACCTGCCTCACGGGGCTGAAATGGGATAACACACAAGAGGCTTTGGCCCGGGGGCTCGCGCTTATTTTTGCCGCTACACTGTGAATATTGATCTTGGCGCTTCCCAGGCATGACTGGGGTCTGGGGTGCCACGTGGCAGGGGCCTGATGAGACCTGAGCTCTGAAAGGGGGGTGATTCCCGCTAGGATTGTGGATGTCGGGGGCCAGAAGTCAGAGCGCAAGAAGTGGATCCATTGCTTCGAAAACGTGATTGCCCTCATCTACCTGGCCTCGCTGAGCGAATATGACCAGTGTCTGGAGGAAAACAACAAGGAGGTGAGGGCCGCCCACCCCGGGGTCGGGGGCGCCGCCTCCCCTGCTCTCTCTTCCTCTCTTCATGGGCAGCTAAGCAGGAAGCCCCACAGCCCATCCTGGGTGGGCCACGGGGTGTCTGGCGTGGCTTTGAGCCACTTCCCAAGACAGAGATCCACAGGCATTTGTGTAGCCAGGACCCTGGACACGCACACATACATGCATGCTGAGGGGCACGCAAGCCCTGAGACGTGGCCTCCTGGAAACACAGGCAAGCTGCTCCTGGGGAACTGGGGGGCTACCGGGGCCGTGTCCTGCTGCTGTTCAGAATGGCTGGGGATCACTCACTTTTGTGAGCTCTACTCCTAAATAATACCCAGAGGAAGGCCAGGCACATGTTCCCCTCTGATGTGGGCACTTATAGGAGTTAAAGTTTCGAATGGATGGTTTAGGGATCCGAGAATCAGTTGTTATAGTTTTAACTTTCAGACTGAATCAGACAGAATGAACGCAAGGTCATTCTGACTGAGGTCTTGCCTGAATCCAGTCACACGAGACGTCCTCGTTTGCTGGGACTGCCACGGCACAGTGTAGCGCCCTGGGGGCTGAAGCCACAGAGGTTTATTCTCTCCCAGCTCCCAGGCATGTGAATGAGAACCTGTGCCAGTTTCTCCCAGCTTCTGGGGGGTCACTGGCCGTCTTCCGTGTCCCTTGGCTTGTAGATGCATCACTCCAAATCTCTGCCTCTGTCTTCACAGGGCCTTGTCCCTGTGTGCACGTCTGTGTTCAAATGTCCCCTTCTTATAAGGACATCAGTCACTGGACGCGGGGGCCTACCCTATTCCAGTGTGACCTCTTCTTAACTAATTACATCTTTAAAGACCTTATTTCCAAATAAGGTCACATTCTGAAGTTCCAGGTGGGTATGAATTGGCGGGGCAGTGGGGCGCAAATCAAACCCGTACAGGTACAAAACCACGTTGGGCATGCACCAAAGCATGGGTACACCTCAGACCCAGCCAGGCAGGCACTGGGGGGGTCCCCTGTCCCTATACACGAGGCCAATGCTGTCTCCACATGAGGCAGAGCTCCTGTTCAGGCCGAGCTGGCCAGCAGGAGCAGTGACCTGCCTGTGTCCCCCCAACCCAGAACCGAATGAAGGAAAGCCTGGCTCTGTTTGGCACCATCCTGGAACTTCCCTGGTTCAAAAGCACGTCTGTCATCCTCTTCCTCAACAAAACCGACATCCTGGAAGAGAAGATCTCCACCTCCCACCTGGCTACCTACTTCCCCAGTTTCCAGGGTGAGTAGTTCTAGAACTTTCTTGTACCCTTCACCTTCCAAAAACAGCTCCTGACAGGGATGCTGGTCCAGATCCTATGCCAGCCTGGGGTCAGTGAAGTCTCAAAAGCATCAGACCAACCTGGGTTTCCAACCCAGTGCTTTCCACTGCCCAGCCTCCCAGACTCTCGGTCACCCCCTCTGTAGAATGGGGATAAAATAATACTCCGTCATCCTCAAATGCAATTGCTTAACAGCACAGGATTCTAAAAAGACATCTATTATTGACTTTTGGAGTGTGGATCTGCTGGGTAGGGTTCATCGTCATAAACCACATCTGGCATCCACAACGAATTCCAGAATCTGCCTAGATTTTTGAAACTCTCCCTGACCTTTCCTAGTCATCTCATCTATATCTAATTGGATGGCAAGTTAAAAAAATAATACTCCGTGACTGACCTTTGAACAAGGCACACAGCTTGGTTGTCATAGATACAACCACCCTCTTTCCTGTCACGTTCAGAGCTCATAGGTCTGCGCCGTGTGTCACTCAAGTGCGTGTAAATCAAGATGTGTATAACTGGTACAAACTGGTTTGGGAAAAAATACCCAGTGCAACCCAGGGGGCAAAAGGCTGCAGCCCCCTAAAGAGGAGAGCAGTAAGGGCTGGCGCCAGGCAGCACATCCGGCGGGGGGAAGTAGGGTTGCTGCGAGTCCAGGGAAGGGATGCTAGCGGGCGCTTTCCCCAGAGGGCCGCTGTGCAGATGAGGAGAGCTGGTAGAAGTACCCCAGCCGAGCGACAAACTGCCCCCAAAGTTAGGGGCTGAAAGCAGCCATTTTACTTTGCTCATGTTTTTGTGGGCCGGGAATTTGGGGAGGGTGGAGGTGGGTAAATTCATCTTTGATCCACATGGCATTGGCTGAGGTGCCTGGGATGGAGACGCACTTCCACAATGGCCGAGTGTCTGGTGTTGCTGTGCCCCCCAACCTCCCCAGTTTCTTGCTCTCTCTCTCCCTTCCTTCCCCCACCGGGTGTCTCCCAAGCCGGGGCCTCCTCGCGAGGCTTGCTCTTCCCCACAGCATGGCTGTCTCGGGGCAGTCAGACTTCTGGCCAGGTGGCAGCCTCTGCTCCAGGTGGAGCCTCCAGTCCCACATCCGTACAGTGGCTTTATCCTATTGGCCAAGCAGATCCCTCCGGCCAGCCCAGACGCAAAGGCGGCCAGCGGACTCTGCGCCTTGATGGCCTCTTGACAGCGTGCACGTCCAGGGAGGGAAATGATGGCAGCTATATGACCTCATTTCAACTTAACTAATCACATCTGCCAAGACCCTGTTTCCACATACGGTCACATTCCGAGGTTCTGGGTGGACATGAATTTTGGGGGAGACACTATTCAGCCCAATACACGAACACCCACAGTAGATGAAGGTAGATGAAGCCCTTGTTCATGCTTGGGATGTACTAATAAGCTTTGGTGACATCCCCATGCATGTGACCCCTGGCCCTGTCAGGCCCCAGAGCCCACGTGGTCAGTTTCAGCCAGTTGTACCCACAAGACTTGGCGGGGTGGTCCTGGGGAACAGATGCCATATGGTGCCAGGACAGCAGACACCCCTCGTCCCCTTCCCAGCTGAGCAGCCCTGGAGGTGGGATCACAACTTAAGAGTTTGAGAACAGGGATAAAGTGGCTGGTTTGGGGGGAGTGTATGTTTTCTCTTAGGCCAAAAGGATCCCTCTGACTCATCCTTTTCTCCCAGCCAAGGAAGGTGGTGCATGCAGTCTTTGCCGACTTCTTACTCTCAGTCCTTCCTTCCTCTGTACTAATATTCATGAGAATAAGAATAAACTAACAACAGCTAACACACCAAACACCGCAGGAAGCGCCCTCGTGCACTGACTTGCTTAACCCTCATGACAAACCCCTGCGCAGTAAGACTATGGAGTTGGCAAAACTGAGGCGCAGAGAGGTGCCGCCACCAAAAGTCACACAGCCAGGGTGTGGTAGGGGCAGCATGTGAACCCAGGCCATCTGGATCGGGAGCCACCAGCCTTAAGCACGATGCACCCCGCCTTTCTGGAAGAACAATGACAGCTTGTAATTACTGTGTGGGGTGCCCTCTGCATGGGCTCATGGACTCTGTGAGGCTGGGGACTGTCATGATCCCCACTTCACAAGTGAGGAAACGAGGCTCACAGAGATCACACGGACTGACACATAAGGTGACCCCAAGTGGGCACCAGAATCCCATAACCCATGCTGTGCTTTATGTATATATATGTATGTATTCCCCTGCACTGTGAGGGAATAAAAATAATATAATAATTATGATATATTATATGTAATCTAATATGTATTATATATCATATATATGATTATAATATACATTATTATATATATATATAATATATATATATATAATAGCATTATAGACAGCATCCCCGGTGCCTCCCTCCCCTTCTCCTGGCTTTGGTTTCCCCACGTGCGCCTCCCAGGCCATCTTCCCCTGCCCCTCCAGGCCCTCGTGCCCTCGGCCCCAAGCCCATCCAGGGGAGGTTCTTTCTTGGCTAAGTTCTGCCTAAGGTCCCAGAGCTGAGTCCCATCGGGCCCTTCCAGGTTATGCACCCCGTTTGAGCCCATCCTTGGGGCTCCTGCAGAGCCATTTAGGTGGTTCCCCTGGGGCCCTGATGTGGGGAATAGGGTCTCCCCGGAAGCCCCCCCCGGGGCCCTGATGTGGGGAACAGGGTCTCCCCGGAAGCCCCCCCCGGGTCCCTGATGTGGGGAACAGGGTCTCTCCAGAGCTCCCCCGGGTCCCTGATGTGGGGAACAGGGTCTCCCTGGAAGCCCTCCCCCCCGGGGCCCTGATGTGGGGAACAGGGTCTCTCCAGAGCCCTCCCCCGGGGCCCTGATGTGGGGAACAGGGTCTCTCAAGAGCCCCCCCTGGAGCCCTGATGTGGGGAACAGGGTCTCTCCAGAGCCCCCCGGGGCCCTGATGTGGGGAGCAGGGTCTCCCCGGAAGCCACGTGCCCTGACACCCTCCTCCGCGCCCCAGGCCCCAGGCAGGACGCCGAGGCAGCCAAGAGGTTCGTCCTGGACATGTACACGCGCATGTACGCTGGCGGCGCGGACGGCGCGGACGGGGGCAGGAAGGTCCCGCGCTCCCGGCGCCTCTTCAGCCACTACACGTGCGCCACGGACACGCAGAACATCCGCAAGGTCTTCAAGGACGTGCGGGACTCGGTGCTGGCCCGCTATCTGGACGAGATCAACCTGCTGTAACCTGGGCCCGCCGCCCCGGGCGCGGACCCACGCGCGGCCTCGCGGCGCCCCAGCTCCAGGCCCAGCTGACGAGTCGGGGCTTGGGGGGCCGGTCGGCGCGCCCCCCCTTCCATGCCGCTCTGCTCTTCTCCAGGACAGACCCTGGGTTTGCCTTCCGTGACTCAGTTTACCCCCTCGGAAACAGAGCGCAGTGGCCAGTGGGGATGGAGGGGGGAGGGAAGGGCCCGGGTGGGCGGGGTGCGTGGGACCCTCTCGGGAGCCGCACGCCTGACCACGGCCCCCCCTGGACAAGGGCCCGGGAGCCCCTGGGAGCGAGGCGCCAGCCCCGGGAGGAGGGCAGTGGTCCTCCAGGCTGAGGGTCGGGCTCTGGCGCCCCCTGGCGGGCAGAAGGCGGCATCTCCCAGCCTGCGGTCTGGGCCGCCCAGGGACCCACCTTTCCTTGGAGGAGAGACCCCTGGAAAAGGCTGTCCCCTTTCAGAGTCTTGCGGCTCCAAGTGTGTCCTGCTCCGGTTTGCAGACGAGGGGAGCGGAGGCCCGCGGACATCCCCTCTTCTTCCCCGGCTGGGGGCCGAGGCATCTTCACAACCTTCTGTATTTATTCCTTCACCTTCTGTGGGGCCCCTTGGGGGGGGGGGCTGGCAATTAAAGAAATGACATTCTGGAGACCTATGATTTCTCAGGAGCGTCCTGTTTATCCCCGTGCGGCTCCTTGTCAGGTTGCCTGTCCCGGGCTGGCCAGCTGCACGCAGAAGGACGAAACAGCGCTCACTCTGCCCCCTGCAGGGCAGGGGGCCCAGGGCTGGGCAGGACTGTGAGTCGGTGGGTGGGGGGGCCATGTCTGTCCCTGGCCCCCAGGGACATTTGAGCCGGCCCTCTGTTGCTGCTCACCCACCACCCACCTCAGATGAAGGAGAGATGGCGAAGGCTACATTTACTGGGGACCCTGGCCTCCGCCGTCCTCAGGGCAGCCCCGTGGCAGCCAGACCGCCCCCATTTTACAGATGGGGAGACCGAGTCACGGAGACACCAAATAATCTAAGGCCGCACACCTGGGAGGTGTCAGAGCCAAGATTCTATTATTCATTTGGCACTTTTTTTTTTACACTTTTCAAAAAATAAACTTTATGTTTTAGGAAAAATTGTGGACATAGGACAGAGAATAGCTTTATCAAGCCCACCCAGTTTCCCCTATTATTAACATTGTATATTAATTTGGTCTTTTTTTATAATCAGTGAGCCCATATTGACACATTACTAACTGCAGTGCATACTCTATTCAGATTTCCCCAGTTTCCCCTTAACGTCCTTTTTCTGTCCCAGGACCCCATCCTGGACCCCACATGACATTCAGTGTCACATATCCTTAGGTTCCACGGGGCGCTTATGGTTTCTCAGGCCTGCCTTGTTTCCGAGGCCCCTGGCAGTACTGAGACTTGCTGTCTGTTGTCGTGTGAGTTTCCCAGGGCAGCCGTAACAGAGTCCCACAAACTGGGTGGCTTCGAACAATGGAAATGTATTCTCCCGATTCTGGAGGCCAGAAGAGACCCAGGAGTGATAGGGCTGTGCCCCCTCTGAAGGGTCTAGGGCAGGATGTTCCCTGCCTCTCCCTGCTTCTGGTGGCCCCAGGCATCCTTGGCTTGTCACTGCATCATTCCTGCTTCTGTCCTCACATGGCCTTGTTTTGCACGGGTCTGTGTCTGTGTTCCAATTTCCCTCTCTTATTGACACAGTTCTCTCTGTGTCTCTGGCTCTGGCTCTCTCGAGGAGGCACATAGCATCATATCACGTTGCTTTGTTCTCGCTCATGTTAGAATTGACCCGTGGGTTTGGGGGCATCGGTCAGATACACCCACCAGGAATTTCCTTGTGAGCCTCTCTCCTACTGGTCTTAACAGCCATTGAAGATCGGCGTTTACGTACATCACTAGGGGTTGCAAAAAATGGTATTACTGTCATACTTTCCTCTGCATTTATTGCCTGGAATCATTCTATTTTTTATAAAATGATCACCTGAAAGAATTGAAAGCTGGGTATTGAAGAGATATTTGCACACCCATTTCCCCAGCAGGACCATTCACAATTGCCAAGGGGTGGAAGCAACCCAAGTGTCTATCAATGGATAGAAGGATAAGCAAAATATGATCTAGCCATCTGATGGAATATTATTCAGCCTTAAAAAAAGGAAGGACATCCTGACACCTGCTACAGCATAGATGAACTTTGAGGACATGGTGCTCAGTGAAATAAGTCAGACACCAAAGGGCAGGTCCCGTCTGATCCCACTCCCAGGAGGTCCCTAGAGGAGCCCCATCCCTCGAGACAGAAAGAAGTGGGTGGTGGGGGCCGGGGACTGGGGAGGGGGTGGGGGGTTACTGTTTCATGGGGGCAGAGCTTCAGTGTGGGAGGAGGCAAAGTCCTGGAGATGGAGGGGGGGATGGCCGTGCAATGCAAACATGCTTTGTGCTGCCAAATGGTGCATTTGGAAATGGCTAAGATGGTGAATTTTTATGTGACCTCACCACAATTAAAAAAACAATTTAAAAAATACAGTATGATTTTAAAAACCCTCTCCCCTATCAAGTAATTGGTTACCCAGAAATAAAGCCTATGCAGGAGAGACAGGAGAAATGCCTGCTTCTTGCTTTTCATTTAGCAGTTTTCAGAATGTGTTAGTTCCCCAATATCCACAAAAGATAACCAAAGAGATTGTGTGTGCATGTGTGTGTGTGTGTGTGTGCGTGTGTGTGCATGTGTGTGTGTGCATGTGTGTGTGTGCATGTGTGTGTGTGTGCATGTGTGTGTGTGTGTGCATGTGTGTGTGTGTGCGCATCGCTATGAACTTCTGGCTGCTCGGGTTGGATGTGTTTCCGTACACAGCATCCTTATGTCCACACTGTACCGTCTTTGGCTGCGAGAAACCTCTACAAGGCAGCTCCTCAGTCCTTTGGACGTGACCCCGGTGGCCTGACAAATTCATGGTTCTGCCTCCCGCTACACGTTCCCAGCCCCGGCCCTGCACCCAGCAGCCATTTCTCCAAGGAGCTCAGCTTCTTTTAACAGGAGATGATATTTAGAGATCACAGGTTGACCACGGAGTTAGGAAATCTATATTTTCTTCACTCATTTTTTTTTATTTTGAAAATATTTCAAACCTACAGAAGTTGCAAAACTATTACAATGAACTTCCATACACCATCTAGGTCAGGGGTCAGCAAATTTCCCGGCTCCATGCTGGTTTTTGCAAATAAAGTTTTATTGGCACACTGCCACACCCATTCGTGCACATATCTGTCCGGGGCACCTTCTGCTACCCCAGCAGGGTCGAGTAATTGCGACAGAGGCTGTTGGGCTCATAAAGCCAAAAGTATTTACAACCTGGCCCTTTGCAGAGAAAATCTGCAGGCCCCTGAGCTACATCCACCCATGCTTAACCTTTTGCTTGTGTCTGTCTATTATAAACCTAAACCCATATAATATATTCTACAGAGAACATGCACATTCTTACTCTTTGTCTCAATTTTTCTATGTAATTTGAGGGTACGTTGGAGGTATGGTGCCCCTTTACTCCAAGCCACGGTGTATTTCCTACAAACAAACACCTTCTGTTATGCAACCTGAGGGTGAGGGTCCAATTTAGGAATTCCAGCACTGATGCCAGATTCTCTAATTTGAAGCCCAAATGAAAGCTTTACCAGCTGTCCTGATTTCATCTTTTATAGCAACATCCATTTTAGCGTCCAGTCTGGGGTTGCTTGTGCCGCTGAGATTTCACATGTCTTGGGTCTCCGTTCATCCCAGATGGCCTAGGTTCCTTCATCTCCCGTAACCTTCCATGACCTTGACTGTCCCCAACAGCGCGGGCGGGTTATTCTGTGGAACGCCCCTTAGTGGGGTTTGTCTGACGGTGCCTCCCAGGCAGTGGCAGGTCCCACTGTCACCAGGGTGCGGTGGCCCCCTCCATGGCCACATATCGCGTCTGTGGTGGGACTGGTCGGCTTGGACGGCTTGGTCAGGATGATTCTCAGCAGGTTTCTCGAGTAAGAAGTTTTGTCTTTGTGATTCATCAGTAATCTGGAAGATGCTTTGAGATTTTGTAAATATCTTGCTTCCCAGCACACATACACCCCAAAATTTCAGCATCTTGGGTTGATTCTCGCCCAGATTAACAAATGCTGTGATGGCATAAGATGAATTTTGGGTAGACGACTGGGGGAAGAATGGCTGGATTGGATGGGAAGATCATTCTTTTTTTTTTTTTTCCTAATTTTTGTTATGATGGTAGAATCCACACAACATAAAATTTACCATTGTAACCATTTTAAGGGCACAGCTTAGCACCATGACGCACATTTGCACCGTTGTGCAGCCGTCCCCCCACCCCACCTCCAGACCTTTCCCTCTTCCCAAGCTGAAGCTCCGTCTCCATGAATCTAACTTCCCGCCCCTTTCCCCAGTCCCTGATGCGTGTCTCTGTGATTTTAAGAATCATTCGTTGTCACTGCTCAAATTGGTCCAGCGGCCATGCCTTCAGGCCGGCTCCTGAGCCCCTCTGACACAGCCCCATCCTTCTCGAACACCCCCTTCCTCGCTGGCACACCAAGACGTTCCAGGCGCATCTTGTGTGCTTCCTGCCCCACTCCTGGAATCAGCCATGTCTCCCAGGGGCCCTGGATCCTTTTTTGGGGGGGTTGGGGTGGGGAGCTAATGTTTAGAAGCCAAGATATGGGAGCCGCATGTGCTGGTTGCTGCCGGGCTGTCTCAGTGGACAGAGTTACAAAATAGATTTACATTTGAATCTCCAGTCCACACTGATACCTTCTATCTAGTCTCTCCCTGTGGGGTTCTTGGGTGCATTTTCCATATTTATATCTTTCTCCCCCAGGGAAGCCCTGACTCCTAATAGTATCAATACACATGTTACTTTGTTCAGTCTCATAATACATGACAGTTTCAGAACCTCTACACCCAAACCACTTCTGGGAACATACCCGCTGAACAAAGTTCACCGTTTTTGTGCCATTTCTTTTATCATTGGAGCGTGTGTTGTGTCCAGACCTTGATTGGGCTGGGTCTTATCCATTTCTGTGTGGTTGTTTTTCATTTGAAACATGATTAGGTTCATTTCTTTTCTGTTTATATTCCTGTGAAAGCTTTTTTCCTCCATCCTTGTGGATTTAATTCTATTGTTCAGTATAAAAAACATTGACACAGTTTAAAAACTGTAGAAAGAGGAATACTCAGAGGGTGTCATTCCCTCCTGCATTCACTTTCAATCCCACCCACACCCTGTAGAGAACCAATTTCACTGGTTCCTGGTTTATCTTTTTCACTGGTCGCTGTGTTTCTTTTGCAAAAGCAAGCAGGTATGTGTATCTTTTATTCACACAGTACTAATCGCCCCCTTCTTTATTACACAGCACGTAGCAGACTACATACACTCTTGTACCTCCTCCCAGCCCACTTAACAATATAACCTGGCAATCACTCCATTCCATTCACAGAGAGCGACCTCACGCCTGTTTGTGGCTGCATAGTACTCCATCCTGGGCTGCAGCATATCCCAGTAGCTTCTCTCCTGTGTGCAGACCTTTGGGTTGCTTCTAATATTCTACATTTACAAACAACAATGGGTACCCTTCTGTATGCACAGTTGCCTATTTAGGGAGGATTTCTAGAGGGGGAATTGCCCCTTCTGCAGCATGGGGGATAATCATAAGATTGGATAGGGTGTGGTGTGGTGTACACACGGCCTTTCACCAGGTGCAGGGAATTCACGGTGGAAGGTCACTGTTGGACAGCTTGGCCTGGTTGGTCAAACTGCTCTCGTATAGTGTTTTACTTTAGTGTGAAATTTTCTCTCTGAGTCTGGGGTCAGGGGCTCAGCTGGAATCAGAGGCTAGTAGGGATTGGGGCTCCAATAGAGCTGGGGGCTCAGCTCGGGAGCAGGGCTCAGTTGGACCACAGGGCAGGGCTGTGCCTCTGCCCTCAGCCTCCCTGGGAGGGCTCAACTCCACATATATCGCCGCTGCGCCCTCTCCTCAGCCTGGTGCCCTCTCCTTGGTCCTCAACAATCCCAGGGTAAGTCAGCCTGAGCCAGGTCAGGACAGATGTGAGGGGAGCAGCCCTGAGTGGGGGTCCCAGCAGCGATGTCCCCAGCAGGGCTGGCTCAGGGGCAGGACAGGAACGGCAAGCCCAGGGCAGACCCCCGCGTGTCCCCAGGGGGCTGTTCACCTCCGCTATGTGTCCTCCCAGGTGACTGGGGAGAGGTGGCACTGCCTCTCTAGGCCTTAGCTTCCCCCTTGTGGATGAGTATACTGCAGGCCAGGCCTAGCCCTGTCTTGGGGATAAAATGGGGTGCACCCATGCCTTTGGTGAGGTAGCCGGGAGCACTCGTGTGTGCATCCCTGGACGCACCCTGATTAAGCACCTACTGTGCGCTGGGCAGGCTTGGTGTGGCAGGGGAGAAAGCAGTGGAACAGCGGGCCCTGGAGGGGCTGCTTGTGGGGGTGGGGCTCACCCGGCCCTGGGGGGCCCTTTTCCCTTCCCCCTGCTCCCCCACCCCTGGCTTTTGAGGCCAGGAAGGGGGCTTCCCGCAGCGCCTCCCTGAGGGGTGGGAACCTACCGTTGGGCTGTCCTCCGGGCCTTGGCCTCGCCCCCGTCCTGGGGGTACCTTGAACATAACAGGAAATTTCAAACAACAGGAAACCAAGACTGGGCAAGGCAGGCGGCTCCACCCTGCCCCGGGTGCGCCACCCCGGGCGTCAGTCTGCCCCGGGGGACCGCCATGAACACCACCGGGGCCCCCGCGGAGGCCCCCGAGTCCTGCCAGCAGCTGGCGGCCAGCGGGCACAGCCGGCTCATCGTGCTGCACTATAACCACTCGGGCCGGCTGGCGGGGCGGGGCGGGCCCGAGGAGGGCGGCCTGGGGGTCCTGCGGGCGCTCTTCGTGGCCGTGAGCTGCCTGGTGGTGCTGGAGAACCTCCTGGTGCTGGTGGCCATCGTGACCCGAATGCGGTCCCGCCGCTGGGTCTACTACTGCCTGGTCAACATCACGCTCAGCGACCTGCTCACCGGCGTGGCCTACCTGGCCAACGTCCTCATGTCGGGGCCCCGCACCTTCCGCCTGGCGCCCACGCAGTGGTTCCTGCGGGAGGGCCTGCTCTTCATGGCGCTGGCCGCCTCCACCTTCAGCCTGCTCTTCACCGCCGGCGAGCGCTTCGCCACCATGGTGCGGCCGGTGGCCGAGAGCGGGGCCACCAAGCGGGGCCGCGTCTACAGCTTCATCGGGCTCTGCTGGCTGCTGGCCACGCTGCTGGGCCTGCTGCCCCTGCTGGGCTGGAACTGCGTGTGCGCCTTCCAGCGGTGCTCCAGCCTGCTCCCGCTCTACTCCAAGGCCTACATCCTCTTCTGCGTGGTGGTCTTCGGTGGCATCCTGGCCACCATTATGGCGCTCTACGGGGCCATCTTCCGGGTGGTGCGAGCCGACGGGCAGAAGGCCCTGCGCCCCCCGGCCCGCCGCAAGGCCCGCCGGCTGCTCAGGACGGTGCTCATGATCCTGCTGGCCTTCGCGGTGTGCTGGGGCCCGCTCTTTGGCCTGCTGCTGGCTGACGTCTTCGGCACCAACGACTGGGCCCAGGAGTACCTGCGGGGCATGGACTGGATCCTGGCGCTGGCCGTGCTCAACTCTGCCGTCAACCCGCTCATCTACTCCTTCCGCAGCCGGGAGGTGTGCCAGGCTGTGCTGGGCTTCCTCTGCTGCGGGTGTCTCAGGCTGGGCCTGCGAGGGCCTGGGGACTGCTTGGTCCGGGCCGCCGAGGCCCACTCTGGGGCCTCCGCCACCGACAGCTCGCTGAGGCCAAGGGATAGTTTTCGGGGTTCCCGGTCACTCAGCTTCCGGATGCGAGAACCTCTGTCCAGCATCTCCAGCGTTCGGAGCGTCTGAGGCACCCCTGGGGCCCCGGGTCCGGCTGCCACTGTGCGGGGCCTCCCCTGGGCCTCGGCGGGGGCCTGGGGAGTGTGCAGGGATGCTACAGAGCACGAATGGGGAGGGGGGAACAGGGCGGCTGGCCTCCCAAAGCCTGGAGGTCCTCCCTGCTGACCCCAAGCAGGTTTCCCATGGGCCCCCTGGAGAAGGAGGGGCCTGCTCATCTGGATGGGGCGCCCTGGAGCAGGCAGGAATGGGTTTGCTGTGCACACCCGCAGTTCCTGCATGACCCTGGGGAAAGCCCAGCCCCTCTCCGGGCCTCAGTGGGGCTCCCAGGCTGTATGCGAGGGGCAGCCTGTGGGGTCGATGCCCTGGCAACATGGAAGTTCAGTGATGATATGAGAAGTCGAGCCTGCCTCTTATTTGCGCATGTGCGCAGGGGCGAAGGCTCGGGGGCTGTGGGTCTGCGGGTGGCATGCAAAGAGGTGCGCCTGTGGCCAGGGAGGGCCACAAGTCCCTGTGCTTTGGGAGGGGTGGTCTTGAGAACAAGTGGTACAGTGTGAGTGTTATGTGCGTGTGGGTGTGTGTCTGTGACCCGATCTCTCTGCCTAAGTGTGTGTGTGCGCACGCAGTGAGGCTGCCCCGGGGGCCCCGGTGACAGTTGACACCTGCCCCTTCCCACTCACTTCCCCTTTCCCCACCTCGCCAGTCAGCTTGGGCCCCCCCAGTGGCCTGCTTCCCCAGCCCCGCCTCTGCATCTTTCGGGGGCCCTGTCTGGGGGTCAGCAGAGGGGCAGCCACCTGGCCTCCTGTAAAGCCTCCTTCCCCAACTGTCAAAGGGGCCGATAACGGATAGAACGCAGAGTGCGAGGTTGTCGGTACGCGCTTGGTGCTTACCGCAGCGCGTGGCATCCAGCGCGTCTAACAAGTGTCTGGCGGTGACGGGAAGGGTCCACCGTATGCCAGGCAGTGTGGGGGCCCCATGTGGCTGCTGCGTCCCTGAGAAGTGGTTGAGCTAGGTGGCCAGGGTCACTGGAGAACTGAACTGTGAATTAGTTTGCATGTAAATAGTCCACTGGATATGTGGCCACCTTTGGCCGTGGAAAGTGCTCGCTCCCCATCCTCCCAGCCGAACCACTGCCGGCAGGTCCTCCTGCCCCTGTCTTGCCGAGTTTGGGGGGCAGCACCTTGCCTGACACTTGGGCTTGGGACAGCTCTGCTCTGCGCCTGTGTTTCTCCTCTGCACGTGGGGGATGTGGTGATTGGAACCAGTTGCTGTCCTGTCCAGCATAGCCCCTAGCCACATGTATAATAACACACCTCCCTATATAGTAATAACAAAACTTTATATATCACTTGGTGCCTGGTGTTCTAAATGCTTTTCTCTTAACTCATTTAATACCGAGGAAACCTCTAGGTGGTGGATACCACCACTAACTCCACTTTATGGAGGGATAAACTGAGGCCCAGAGAGGTTAGGTAACTTTCCCAAGGTCACACAGCTTGCAGATGGTGGAGATGGGATTGAAAGTGGCAATAGCAGGCAGGTGTCATTACTGCTTGTGTGGATGAATAACAGGTCCTTCCTTCCTTCCAGAGCTCAGAATGTGTCATTTCAGGCTGTGGTTTTATATCTCCACAGACCGGCGTTAGTTGAACCTCCCCACATTCCAGTCAGAAAAACCAGGGCTGAGGAGAGGAGGCTGCATGAACTCTAGGGTCTAAGCCTTGTTGTCTGAGCCAAGTTGGGCTGTCTCCGGGTGAGTGTGCATGTGTCTTGTGTGTTCATAGTCTGGCCTGGAAAGAATGGACGGTGGAGGAAACAGGTAATAAACATGTGCTTGTGAAGAGCACGTGGACCAGAATGAATTCTTGACACTTTCCAGGCCCCACCAGACCACTCCTGACTCCTCTGGCCTAGGGCCTCCCTGGAGAGGCCTGAGGATGGCAGGAAGAAGTGGTGATTATTTATCATCATATCTGGCAGCTGAGGAAACAGGCTCAGAAAGGTGAAGCAATTTGCCTAAGGTCACACAGCTGGGAACCGGAGAAGCTGGGACTTGAACCCAAAATGCTGTTGGTCGGCACAAATGCCTCCTCTCAGTTGGGACAAAAAGAAGGATCCAAGTCTTTAGCAACCGTATTGGAATTTGGGGTGTCACCTCGCTGGGGGCCCAGCTGTTTTGCACTTTATGGCTTCAGTCTTCCCATCTATACAAAGTGGTGTTAGTCACCCATGTTCCTTGAGACCCCCCTGCCCTGAACAGTAGGTTCTTAGGGTTGCCAGGGAGAAAATACAAATTTGGGACACCAGGTAAAATGTGAATTTCTGATGAACAACTAATACTTTTTTACAATGAGTTTGCCCCAGGCACGAGTAAACGTAAGTATAAATCATTCTATCAGCAACCCCTACATGAACTCCAGGCTCCAGACTACAAATCCCATAACCCATTGCATCATCCTTTTAGGAAACTTCTATAATGATTTTAGTTTTTCTTTCATTCACACATACAAAAATTGTACAACCCACCGTCTGTGTGCGAGGTCTTGCGCTAGGCTCTGGGGATACATCAACGCACAAAGCGGACTAAGACCTCATGGAGTTTAAAATCATAATTCCTTGGGGGTTTTAAGCGATATTCTCAGACTTCTGCCAGAAAGACTACAGCTCCCATGACCCCTTGTGCTTGCTCAATAGGACTACAATTACCAGAAGACATAGCGCACCAGGTTCCTCCATTTCCCACTTCCTTCCGGGTCGTAAGGGCAAGCCCTACCCCCGCCTCCCTTCGTCTCGCTGTTTCCACAACAAAGACAGGGGTTAGGAAAGTCCCGCTACAAATAGTTGTTTTAAAGTCTCCGTATTTCCAGAGTTGGAGTTTATATGAAATTTCTGCAGTTTCAGCGCAGCACTTCCACGGCTTCCTCCGCCGAGGAGTCTCAGAGTGGGCCTACAACTCCCAGGTGGCTCCGCGCGCAGAGAGGACTACAGCTCCCAGAAGGCAGCGCGGCCAGCGGCGGTCCGCGGCGGTGCCCGCAGGACCCCATAGTGGGAGTGGGCTGCCCAGCACGGCGCCCGCAGGACCCCGGCGGCTACCCATGCTGAGGTGAGTCCGCGGGAGCCGCTCTCGCCGCCGCCGTCCCGTCCCGTCCCGCTGCCGCCCCGCGCGGCCCCGCCGCCGGCCAGGATGCTGGAGGAAGCGGGCGAGGTGCTGGAGAACATGCTGAAGGCGTCGTGCCTGCCGCTTGGCTTCATCGTCTTCCTGCCCGCGGTGCTGCTGCTCGTGGCCCCGCCGCTGCCCGCCGCCGACGCGGCTCACGAGTTCACCGTCTACCGCATGCAGCAGTACGACCTGCAGGGGCAACCCTACGGTGCGTGCCCGGCCTCCCTCGGGACCCGGCCTCCCCCCAGGGCCCGGCCGCCCCCACCGGAATGCCTTCGCGCAGCCGGGCCTCTGCGCCCCGGGTCCTAGGACAGCCCCCCCCTCCCGCCCGTCCAGCCGGAGTCCAGCCCGCAGACGCTCCCCGCGCCCCAGCTCCCGGCTCCGAGCCCCCGTCCAACCCCGGCCGCGCTTCCTGCGCCCGCGCTCCCTCGCCCGGGGCACCCCCGTTTGGCCCCTCGGTTTGGGGGTGATCACACCTCCCGGCCCGGTTTCTGCCAGCAGAGCCGCCGGCGCCGTGTTCCCAGCAGCCCTCACCGCAGGCTCACGTCCCCACCCCTCGGGGCCCCGACCCAGGCCAGGCCCAGCTCCCCAGGCTCTCCCCTGGGGGCCCAGCCCCCGAGCTACACCCCTTAGATTCCTTAGCTCCCGTCCCACCATCCCGGTTCAGTGCCCACCTTTGGGCCCCGGGGGCCCCTGGGACCCCACATCTTGTCCCCTTCTGTGGTGCCCACCTGTGCCCTTCTGGCAGCTTCCTGGAAGCCAGCTTGCCCCCCATCCCGGGACGTCTGCTTTGTCTCTGGTCCGGCTCAGTCCCCTCCGGGGGCCCAGGGACCTGGGTGTTTGCTTGCAACCTGCCCCCCTCGCCTGTAGAAATCCGGACCCCAGTGCCCAGGTCGTTCCTGCTCACCTCATCTCTTCTGTACTGTAGCTGTGTCTGGTGTTCTGGAACCTTCTGGCTTCTAGGTTTCCTTCCAGCCTGGTGCCATGGGTCCTAAGTCAAGGCCCATCTTCCCCAGTTCTCCTGGGCCCCCGGTTCTCCTGTTAGAACATCTCAGGTCCAGCCTGCACCCCTGGGCCCCCAGCCAGCCCCTTGGGGAGCCGTGTCCACACTTCTCCTCAGGTCACTCCACAGTCGCTTCTGTCTAGAGCTGCGCCTGTCCGCCCAGGGGTCACCGGGTGATGGCTCTGGTCGTCAGGACTGGGGGGGTTCCTGGCACTGAGGGTGTGGGGCCAGGGGTGCCGCTCTTGCCCGTCAGTGCCCGGGGTGGCCCCAGATGTGCACAGTGCCCGGGGCTGCAGGGGGGGACCCTGGATTAAAGTGACAGTTCGAAGCCCAAGGCCCCAGGCCCTGGAGGGCGAGCGGGGAGGCCGGGAGCCCCTCGTGAGGATGTGTCAGCGCAGGGGGCCCCGGTGCCGGGGGTGTGGTTCGTGCAGGGGAGCAAGGGGAGCTCTGACGTTACCTCATCGCGCCGGCTCTGGTCTGCAGCTCTCCGTGGCCTCCCAGGGTTGTTTGAGTTCCATGAGGCCCAGGGCCCCGAAGAGCCGCTTGCCCCGCAGCCTGCGTCAGTATCCCCGAGGTGGTCTCTTCCTCCTCTGTCCCTGCCCTGAGGCCTTCGCCCCGCGTCCCTGCGTCCTTGCTGCCTTCACTGACTGGCTGTCGCCCCCACACGCCCCCAGTCCCAGCCCATCTCTCTTGCTCGTAGCGAGAAACGCCAATGCTGCCTGCCCCACACGGGACATCCATCAGGGCCGTGCACCCTGGGGTGCACGCAGGGGGCCTGGGGGGTGCCCGTCTGTCTTGGTCCATGGCCACCTGTTTTTTGTGTGCAGCCTGGGGAGGCAAAGGCCTCAGCCTCAGAGCGTGGACAGCTGTCCCTCCACAAGGCCCCTAGATGGTGTCCTGGCAGTGGGGACGTGGTGGGCCGTCACCCACTGTCAGCGCTGTTGGCGGCCCCTCTTAGGTCTGAGGTGGTGCTTCTTGCCCCCAACAGCCGCCTAGTGGCCTGGCATGTCAGCGTCCCTTCCCCGCTCCGTCCCCGCTGTGCTGCCTTTGAGGGCTGGCTTGCTGAGCGGCTGCTGATCTCAGCCTCAGCCCTCGGGCTCCCTGCCTCCAGCGCGGCCTGGGGCTCTCTTTTCCCAACTTCCTGTTCCCTCGTTGAGAAACCCGGGCCACCAGCTGCCAGGAAGGCGGGTGCTCTTTGTGCTGGGGTGTGAGCTGGCTGAGGGTAGTCCTGCCAGGTACAAGGCCATGGGCGTGACCTCAGCCCTCCCGCGGAGGGAAGGTGCTGGTGTGTAGCACCCACTGTGCCCCTGCTGTGGTCCTGGTCGGGGTTCAGAGATCCCTTAGGCTGAACTGGCCCTAGAAGGCGGGGGCATTAGCACTCCAGCACCCCTGCCGGGAGGGCCCTCTGCCCACTCACTGTTGTGAATAAAGTTTTATTGGCACATAGCCACGCCCACTGGTCCCCGTGCATCTCTGACAGAGCTGGCGTGTTCAGCAAGGCAAGGGGATTGGCCTTCTGGCCCTTGATGGAGACGCGCGTGCCCCGCTCAGCGTCTGGGGGCCATGGGGCTGGGGGCCGCCCCCCTGTGCTCACCCCCATTTCTCCCCTGGCTGCCTTCCTCCGACGGCTGCCCTGCCAGAGCCCAGGCCCAGAAGAAGCGGGCAGTAGGCTCCCTGGATGGCCCCCCGGTTGTCAGCCCCTAGGTGACCTTTGAGGGCCCCTGGGAGACTGAGTGTGCTGGGCAGGTGGGGCTCGGGGGAGGCCCGTCCCAGCATTCTGACCTCAGGGACGTCCTGAAGGTCTCTGCTGTCCTCTCCCTGCTGCAGGGCTCCCAGCAGGCCCCGCCTGAAGCAGAGAAAAGGCCCCTGCAGGGCTGGGGGCAGAGGCAGCAGCCCCCCGGCCCTGGGGGCGCACGGCCCACACTCACTCCTTGGTTGCTGGGTGAGACTGCCTGTCCTTCCCGCCTGGGACACGGTCCCCTCTGTCCCTCCGGCTCCCAGCCACTCAACAGCCCCTCAGAATGCTCTCTTGGAAGTGGGCCTCCTGCCCTCCTGCCCTCCTGGGAACAGAGGTGGGGTCTGGGGCTCAGCCTGAGGCCTGCCTCCCTCGGAGTAGGTGGCGTGGCCTCCGGGCAGCTTCGCTCTCCAGGACAGCATGGCCAGCCCTTGCAGGGAGTCCGGGTGCTTCTCCACATAGTCGCCTGTAGTGCCCACTGCCCGAGTCTCAGCCCGGAGAGCACAGGCCCCTCTGGCCCCCGCGTGCAGTCGGTTTGCTTGTTTTGTGCAGCCTGAGCCGACCTGCGGTGTTTGAAACGACTGGGACTTGTGTGTCTTTGCCCTGTGGGTGATCTGACCCTGGGACTGGAATTTCCGGCGGCATCCCGGCTGAGTGCCAATGGCCCTGGCAGCTGGGGAGTTGCTGGGCCCCCTTTCCCACCAGCCCGTGGGGGTCAGATGGCCCCTGAGGACCCATGCGTGTCGTGCACCTGTGGGAGGCCATGAAGACGTTAGCGCCCCTCCACGTTCCTGTCTTTAACATTAGCACGGCTGCTTCCAGACGCTCTTCCCAGCAGAACTCCAGGCAGTGGCTCACGTGCTCTGCACCCAGGGGGACCCTGCTGGCCTTAGAAAAGGTCTGTGCAGCCCCGGGCCGTCCTGCCACCTGTAACGTGGAAGTGGGTTTGTTGCCTGGAAAATGCATGTGAGCCGGTGGGTCCGGGCCAGTGAATAGCCCCTCCCTCCCCGCTGGCTTTCTGATCTTTGCTGAGCTCTCAGGTGGGAGGTGGTGGTCAGCTGCAGGGAAGGGGTTCCCACCTGGGGTGACTTCCTTCCAAAGGACACTGGGTGGCGTCTGGAAACATCTGTTGTGTCAGGACTGGGGGCACTCCCAGCATTCAGTGGGGGGGTCCGGGGAGGCTGCCCACCCCACAGTGCCCAGGACGGCCCCCCAGGGAATGACCTGGCCCCATGTCAGCAGTGCCCGGGGGACCCTGGCCTGTCAAGTTCCCTGAGGAGCACTTGGGAGCCTTGGCGTCCATCCCCTCCCTCGGCTGGTGTCCATGTGGCGCCCACTGGGCTGGGCGCATACGTGGTGGTGAGGGGGTCCCTGCCCCTGCGTCCCCCAGCCTGGTTAGAGACGTGCATAGTAAGTGAACCTTCTAGATGGTGCCTAGGCCCGCCAGGAAAGCAGGGAAGACCATGCTGGAGCCCTGGGATGGGGGTGCTCGGCAGGAGAGGGCAGGGCCAGGCCCCCTGGGCACAGGTCAGCCGGGGCACAAGTTTGGGTTTTCCCAGGGCGTTGGCCTCAGGCGACTCCTGCTGGCATGGAGACCCTGCTTGGTGGCAGGACACAGGGGTGGGTGCTGGGGGCCCCCTAGCAGCCCAGGCTGGGCATGAGGCCTGGCATTGGATTTGGCCAGCTGGTACCTGGGGGTCCCTGAGTCCAGTGAGCCGCAGAGAAGTGCTGCTGGGAGCTGGACGTCTGGCTCAGATCCCGGTGGCCCCGCTGATGTCCCGTGTGTCATGGTGGGGGCAGCAGCCCGAGTCCCTGCAGTGACCCATGAGGAGCTCCTGTCACTTAGGAGGGCCGTGCCAGTGAGGCTCGGGGCATCACAGGCAGCCCGCACGTCCCCTTGGGGTGGCTGGATGAATGGGGTCTTTGCCCTCTGGGGTGGCTGCTGCTGGGGTTGCAGTGGTGGGAGGCAGGGGTGCTGTGGCCAAATGCAGAAGAGCAGTGCCATCTGGGCTGCACCCCACTGAGGTGACCGCGGGTCTGAGAGTGTGTGGGCAGGTGCGGGCAGTGGGTTTGTCTGGGGAAGAGGGTCCTAGCTTACGTTTGGTCCTCAGAAGGTCCCGCGACTCCCCAGGTCCCAGTGGGCAGTGGTGTGCTGGCCGTGACAGGCATGGTTTCGCCTGTAGCCGATGACAGGCTGTGTGGGCAGCAGGACCTGGGGCTCCCCCGTTGGGCATATCCTGGCGAGGGCCCCAGCCCCACTGAGGGAGGCCCTCGTCGCCGCAGGCACACGGAATGCCGTGCTTAACACTGAGGCGCGCACCATGGACGCTGACGTGCTGAGCCGCCGCTGCGTGCTCATGCGGCTGCTGGACTTCTCCTATGAGCGGTACCAGAAGGCCCTGCGGCAGTCGGCGGGTGCTGTGGTCATCATCCTCCCACGGGCCGTGGCCGCGGTGCCCCAGGACGTCATCCGGGTGAGCCTCCCTGCCCCACTCTGTGGGGGCCCTGGTCCAGAAGCTTCCATGGGAAAGGGCTCTGGGTTTGGAGTCAGCGGAGTGACCTTCGGACAGGCGCTCTACCTCCCTGCCCAGCACGCTTCAGGAAGAGGGGTGGTGCCTGCTCCCTGCTCCCCCGCCCCCAGCAGTCTGCCCCCAGGGGACACCGAGACACCTGCGGTTGTCACAGCTCAGGGTGCTTCTGGCTGTGAGGGGGTAGGGGCCAGGGATGCTGGCCAACACCCCTCAGAACGGCCCCACCCCAGAGAGAGATGGGATCCCAGGTCTGCTGTGCCAGGCGGAGGCTTTGAGTTAATGGGGTCTGACAGGACCCCACAAGGTCCTGTGCGTGAAGGTGCTTTTGCGGGGGCAGAAGGGGTGACAGCAGAGGGAGCTTCCTGCCGAAGGTCGGCTCAGTTCCGTGCGGCTCCTGTCCACCTGGGAAGCCTGCACCCGTCTCCATGCAGAGCTAAGGGCATAAGGGCCAGTGGGGACGTGACGGCCCAGGGGCCCAGACCTGCCCCTAGTCTGAGCCGGCTCTGTACCTGTTCTCGCAGCCTGACAAGTCCCTTCCATCCACTTCCCACTCCCCGTCCTGGCCTGCCCCTTGCTCGTCTCTGGTGTGCGCCTCGTCACCCTCGTTGGCCTCGGGGGAGCCGTGCCTCCAGCAGGCTGGAGGCCCCCTAACCGCGTGTCCCTCCCACAGCAATTCATGGAGATCGAGCCCGAGATGCTGGCCATGGAGACCGTCGTGCCAGTGTACTTCGCCGTGGAGGACGAGGCCCTGCTTTCCATCTACGAGCAGACACAGGCGGCCTCTGCCTCCCAGGGCTCCGCGTCTGCCGCTGAAGGTGGGCCGGGGCTGTGGGGCTTGGGGCGGGGCTGCCGAGCGCCTTCCAGTCCAGAGCTGTGATCCCGCCCGGCCAGTCCCAGGACCTTGTCTCAACGCGAGCGAACGGCACCTGCCGCCTGTGCTCGGCCGTTAGGGCCCCGGGCCTCTGCCCAGACCTGCCGTGTCTCCCCTCGGGGCTGGATCCCAGCCTCTGCATTTGGCAGCCCCCTGCCCTGCCCTCCGCTGGTGCCATGCAGACGAAGGCTCGAGGGAGGCGTCCCCGTGTCTGCCTCTGGATGGTTTGTGGACAAATTGGGCATCTGTGTGGTTTTCCTGCGCTTCTGCTCGCTGAGTGAGCGCTGTCGCGGTCTCACGCGGGCACCAGGCTGGATCAGCAGTGGCCTGGAGGAGGGGGAGGGCAGGTTTCCTCCCAGCCTGCGTCCTGAGGGACGGGAGGTGAGCTTGGAGCTGGCAGAAGTGATCCCCCCCCATCAGGCCCCCATCAGGACTGTCCTTTCAGACGCGTGAGGGCCGGCACTGGGCTGGGAACAGGCAGTGGGGAAGTCAGGGTGGCCCTGCCACAGGTGAGAAAGCAGCGCCCACGTGGGCCTCTGGCTCTCAGGGAGGCAGGTGGGCAGTGTCTCACATCTGCCCACGATGTGCAAAACCAGGTTCTCTCACCACCTCAGCTTTTGGGGTTGGGTGGGGGGATCGTGGACCATCCGTTAGGAAGCTCATGTTTGTGGGTCACCTCCAGGGTGACCGCCTTGTGCACACCTCATCGGCCCTGTGCTCAGTGACTCGTGGGAGGCTGGGTTGGGGCGTGTGTGCACCTCTGTGACTGAGGACTGGAGGCCTGGCTGTCCCGCAGAGTGACTGTGCCCCGCACACTCCGGCCAGCTCACCTGGGGTTGGGGGACCGACCAGCCCTCAGTCTGGGCACCCTGGTTCTCTCCCACGTCACTGCATCGCGTTCTAGGCAGCACGGTCGGTTCTGAGAGCAACTTTGCTCAGACCGAACCCCAAGTCTGGGATGTTGGGGGGTTGAGGATGGCAGCCTGGTTGGGAGCCCTGGGCAGACGCTCCAGGGCAGGCCCAGGGCTCGGACTGACCTGCCCCACCCATCCTCAGTCCTGCTTCACACCGCCACTGCCAACGGCTTCCAGATGGTCACCAGCGGGGCCCAGAGCAAGGCTGTGAGTGACTGGCTCATCACCAGCGTGGAGGTAAATGCCTGGCTGTCTCTGCTGTGGGGAGACTGGCGGGGGGTGCAGGTGGCAGGCCCCCTGAGCTCAGCTCCTCCGCCACCTGGTAGTAGACTGGCTGCCTCACAGCCTGTTCCCCAGGAGGGGGCCTCCCACAGGGAAATTGGGCCGCATTGCCTGCCAGCGGGTTTCCTGCCAGCCCCCGTGGCCTGCCGTGCCACCTCGTCCCAGCTGCAACCTTGGCACTGGTGGCCCTGCCCACGGAGCGCTCGCCCTCCCAGGGCCCCTGGCCCCTTCTTGCCCAGTTCCGTCACGGCAGACACCGGGTCCTCAGCACCTGCTCTAGGCAGGGAGCCCGTGCTGTGCTGGCTCACCTGCATCCTGAAGCCAGCACTCAGACCCGAGGGCAGAGGCCCAGGCATTGCTGGCAGAAGGCGTGTTGTCGCCCATCTGACTATCGTGAGGGCCAGTGCATGTGCCACGAGAGCCCAGCCCTGGCGCAGGCGTGGTGCTCTGGCGCCTCCACGGCCATCCCTCTCCGCCAGCCGAGCTCCCCCTGCCCAGGTGGTGGCTTGAGGCCCAGTCTTAGAAGAACAGGCTGGGCTTCCAGGTGGAGAGGGGCTCTGGGAGGAGCCGCAGCTGGAACGGCTCTCGCCCTGTTTCTATAAAGTTTTATTGGAACATGGCCACTCCCGTATGCTCACTTCGTCCATGACCGAGGAGCCTCCAGACAAAGACTGTATAGCTGGCCAAGCCAGAGATACGGCCCCTCGTCGCAGGTGGGGTGCCCAGGCCGTCCCTGGCCGTCTCGGTCTGGCTGGTGGGCCCTTCAGACTGTGTGTCTGCAGGGGCGGCTGACGGGGCTGGGCGGAGAGGACCTTCCCACCATCGTCATCGTGGCCCACTACGACGCCTTCGGAGTGGCCCCCGTGAGTATGTGTGTACCAGGGGCTGAGGGGTCCTCGTGCCTGTGGTTGATAGGCAGGAAGGAGATGCAAGCGAAGGGCAAAGGGGCGCGGCTCGGTAGTCCGGGAGCCCCGGCCCACACTTGCAGAGCCCTCTCCCGGGGGTCACACAGACCGTGCTGAGTTCCCCCCAAGAGATGGGCCACCCTCCAGGGGCTCACAGGGACCAGCCCCTGGGGTTCTCATCCTGGTCAGGCCAAGGTTCCAGACTCCAGGAGGAGAACAGGCGCTCAGCCCAAACACGTGTCCGCACAGGGTAGGGACACGAGCCCCCCAGCCCCAGTGCCATCAGGGTGGCAGGTGCCCCCAGGGTCCTGTTCCCAGGCGTCACCCTGCAGGCCGGCTGTGCCTAGTTAGGAGCCTCGGGCCTGCTCAGCCCTGCCTCCGGGCTGCCAGCGGCTCAGTCGTTGTGGAAACCAGCACCTGCTTCCTTTGTCTTACTTTGAGATTAAAGTCAAACCAAACGGTGCTGATGGCGGGGTGGCTCTGCAGCCTGGCCTGAGCATCCACCATGCCAAGGCTGGGTAGCAGCAGTTCCAGCAGCCACGCCACCTGGGAGGTCAGGGCAGCTTTGTGAATGCCTGGGTCCCCTGGGGCTGGCGTGGGGCCTGACGGCTCAGAGCAGTGCGTCTCACCCCCCACACCAAGGAGCCCTTTTCGATTGTCTTGTCCTCATCTTTTCCTTCAAAGTTTTTTTCGAGATGTGGCTCACATTACAGAGTTTGTCATTGGGACGTTTGGTGCCATCCGGGGCATTCGCAATCACGCGACCACTCTACTTCCAGAACATCCCATTTTCCCAAAAAGAAGCCCTGTCCCCATGAGCAATCGCCCCACCCCTCCCCAGCCTGCAGCACCCACAAGCCCATATTCTGTCTGGATTTGCCTACTGTGGACATTCCACAGAAATGGGGTCACACGCCGTGCCACCTCCTGTGTCTGGCGACTCAGTGAGCACTGTGTTGCTTTTGCTCCATGAATTTTAATACTTTTGAAACACGATTCCATCTGTTGACTTATGGACTGTGACTTTGGGAGAGTCCCAAGCCCCATTACAGAATCTAAAACCCTTTTTTCTCCCCAAGAACCAATGATTGCCCTGTAAGGAATGGTGCTGTAGATCCTAGGTCCCAGACGTGTCAGGGGACTTTCACAGTGGGCACAGGGCAGCAGAAAGCTGGTGTCTGGCTGGAGGAACCTACGCTCCCCGCCCAACCCCCCGGGGGCATGCAGCCCCCTGTGCAGGTGTTGAGGTAGATGGAGGCTGCCCTCGGGGGTCGTGGTCTGCTGGTCCTGGGCTCTGCTCTGCATGGAGTCGCCTGGGCATGGGGCCTGGCTTGTCTGGGCTGAGAGCAGGGGAGTGACCCCCCGCCCCGGGACTGTGGTCTGGAGGTGAGGTGGGGGTGGCGAGGTGCTGTGCACAGACATGGGGTGACCTCCTGTCTTGTCCCTGCCCCAGTGGCTGTCACACGGAGCGGACTCCAATGGGAGCGGCACCTCTGTGCTGCTGGAGCTCGCGCGCCTCTTCTCCAGACTCTACACGTACAAGCGCACCCACGCCGCGTACGTGAGGCTGGGCGGGGGCGGGGGTCACTGGGTGGGGGCCCACCACCCACCAGGCCTCAAGCAAGCCACCCCTCCTCCCCCCAGAACAGCCCCCAGGACACGGGGCCTTGCCTGGGGGGGCCTGTGGTGCTCATGACTGGGTTCCCCTGGCACTGAGTGTGTGGGGACCAGGGAGGCTGCTCACCCCCAACAGTGCCCACAATACCTCCCAGAAAATGACCTGTTCTGATGTCAGCAGTACCGAGGGGGGCCCTTGCCCTGAGGGCTGGTCAGGATCTTGTCCGTGAGCCCATCTTCTTGTTGGGGACCTGGCCGCCCACCTGTTGAAGCTAATACCCCCCTGCCCCCCACCACCAGGTACAACCTTCTGTTCTTTGCCTCTGGAGGTGGCAAGTTTAACTACCAGGGAACTAAGCGCTGGCTGGAGGATAACCTGGACCACACAGGTGAGCGGCCGCAGTGGCTGGGGCTGGGCTGGGATCAGGCCCAGGGAACCTGGGGGGCCCCGGGCCCTCACCCTGCACCCCCGACCAGCTGCGGCCGCCCTGCAGATTCCAGCCTGCTCCAGGACAACGTGGCCTTCGTGCTCTGCCTGGACACCGTAGGCCGGGGGGACAGCCTGCACCTGCACGTGTCCAAGCCGCCCCGCGAGGGGACACTGCAGCATGCCTTCCTGCGGGAGCTGGAGACGGTAGGTGCCCCAGGGCGGTGCCGCTACGTGCCAGGCACCGCCCACCTCACCCGTGGGCCCTGGGTCTGGGGGGTTACAGGCAGGTTTGGCCAGGCAGGCCCACCACAGTGCTCCGTCCCAGGCACAGAGCGGGAGCTTTGTGAATAAACCTCGGACCCGAGCGAGCCTATGTGCGTTTCCCCCCATTTTCCAGTCTCGAGAGATTTGGGGAAGCCCTGGCTCTCGGCCCTGTGGGAACGTGTGGGCCGTGGGGCCCCCCCAGAGAACCGGGCGGTGGGCGGGGGCACAGAGGCCCTGATGGTGCCCCGCACAGGTGGCCGCCCACCAGTTCCCAGAGGTGAGGTTCTCCATGGTGCACAAGAAGGTCAACCTGGCCGAGGACGCGCTGGCCTGGGAGCACGAGCGTTTCGCCATCCGCCGGCTGCCTGCCTTCACCCTGTCCCGCCTGCAGAGCCACCGGGCCGGCCAGCGCAGCAGCATCATGGACGTGCGGTAAGCCCCCCGCCCCCAGCGTCTCTCCCTGCCTGCCTGGGAAGAGCCGGCTTCTAGAACGTTCCTGCCAGGATGGGGCTGGCGGAAACAGGCCTGCTGGGCAGGTGGTGGGGACGGCCTGGCGCGGGCGCCAGGAACAAAGCGAGGCAGCTTGTCAGGGCTGGTGAGATGAGGGCTGAGGTCAGAGGTCGCTGAGCCCCCCCCTCAGTGGGGCAGGGGGGATGTGGCCAGTGGCCTGGGGTCCCTATGTGTGACTCCCACACCCTGGGCACCTCAGACTGTGCTGCTGCTCAGACGCCGCAGCTCCTGCCAGGCCCTCAGGCGGCCGAGCCGTGGCCTGGAGAGCTGGACTGGGCGCTCTCCCCACCCACCGGTTCCTCGGTGTGTCTTCACGGCACAGGGCATACCTGGCTTCCACTGTTAAGTGACCTTAACGTCCCGCCTGTCACCCTGGCTAGCAGGTCAGCCTTCAGTGGAGTGGGGTTTTGTGTGGGTCGCCGGGTCGCCGGGTCAGCCTGGGACAGGGTGGGTGTACACACTCATTGACCAACCCTGGACACTCACGTGCTAGGGGATAAGGGGGTGGTCCTGGAGAGGTTGTGGCCCATCCTGGGGACAGCAGAGAGACGGCAGGTGTGGGGGTGGGAGGAGCAGGGCGTCTGGGGGCTTCCTGGAGAGCATTCTGGATGAGGTGGCACTGGAACTGAGGGGTGTCAGCCAGAGGGCATCTTGGGGCAGAGGTAGCCGGGAGCAAAGGAGAGCTGGAGGGAAGGGGGTCTGGGGCCAGGAGGCAGTTGGGCTGACCCCCACTCTGGGAGGCCCCCGCACCTCACTCTGGGATTGGGGGCTGTTTGCCCCGGGGCTCCTCTTACATGAGCCCATTTGTGGCCAGCAGTCCTTGGTGCCTCTGGGCCTGTGGCCACATCCCGCCACTGTCTCGGACATCCAGCAGTGGTCTCCCTGTGCGTCTGTGTCCAAACTTCTCTGAGGACACCAGCCAGTTTGCCCCACAGCCCCTGCCCACCTCCCAGGTCACCTTGCCTCGACCAGCCATACCTGCAGAGACCTGCTTGCACAGTGTCCTGTTCCCAGGTTGTGGGTGGGCATGACTTCGGGGGGCCTCTGTTCACCCCACAACAGGGCATTCCGTCCTCTCCACCCTCAGCAGCCTGCAGAGGCCACCCCGTGTTCCAGCCGAGGGAACAGGGCCCCAGAGCCGTCCGGTCACTGCAGGCCAGCATGGGGTCTGGGCTCTCCTCAGCCAGGACCCTCCGCGCCTGGGGGTCGCACCAGCTCTGAGAGGAGGGCGGGCCTGTCTCCAGTCGGGCCCCACGAGGCTATGGCTTTTCTTGTTTTTATTGACTGTCAGGTATGTGATGTTTCCTGTTTGACGGTGATAAACGATGCTGATGGCAAATGTCTATTTTTTTCCCTTTTTCTCCCCATATCTACCCTTGAAGGTCCCGGGTGGACTCTAAGATCCTGACGCGCAACACGCGGCTCATCGCAGAGGCCCTGACCCGCGTCATCTACAACTTGACAGAGAAGGTAAGCCCCCCGGCCGCCGTGCCCGCACACCCCACCCCAGCCGGCTGGCCGGCCCAACTCGGCCTATCTCCTCTCTCCACAGGGGACCCCACCAGACATGCCGGTGTTCACGGAACAGATGGTAATGGCGGGCAGGCCGGGCGGGCGGCAGGCGGCGGGCCAGGAGGGCGGTGGGGGCTGTGAGCACGTGCACCCCCGGCAGGTCCAGCAGGAGCAGCTGGCCTCAGTGATGGACTGGCTCACCCAGCAGCCCCGGGCCGCCCAGCTGGTGGACAAGGACGGCCCCTTCCTCAGCACGCTGGGGTCCTACCTGAGCCGCTACCTGAAGGAGGTGAAGCATCACCACATCAAGGCCGACAAACGGTGAGATGTTCCAGCCCAAGCGGGCTCTTTCCTCCTTTCCCCACCGGGCACCAGCCTGGGCAAGTGAAAACAGGAGCCAAAGAGTGAGACGAGAAGTAGAAAGTACGCGCACCCATCATTTGAGCCCCAGATAAACGAAGATTGTTTTCCAGCCTAAGTGTGGCCCGTGTAGCGTTTGGGACAGATGTGCACCCGAAGCCACGTCCTTGCTCATCCGGCATCCACAGACAACTGACCTTTCCTGCTTGATACGGCAGCGCTGTGTCCCCACCTGCCCTTCCTCTGGGGCCCTACTGCCCTTCAGGGCATCAGATGCCCTGAGCCCCCATCTGCCCGCCATGGGCTCCTTCCTGGCTGTCGCCTGAGCCACTGAGCAAGCGCTCTCTTCCCAGGGACCCCGAGTTTGTCTTCTATGACCAGCTGAAGCAGGTGATGAACGCCTACAGGTAGGCTGCCCCGGACCTCTCTGCCCGGGGTGCCGCAGTCCTTGGGGGAGCTGGGAGCGGTGAGGCTGCTGTGCGAGCCCCCTGCCGGCCAGCCTTGAGGCCCAGGCCCTCCGCTGACCCCGCCAGCCCTCCTTGTGCCCCCAGGGTCAAGCCGGCCATTTTTGACCTGCTCCTGGCAGTCTGCATCGGTGCCTACCTCGGGATGGCCTACACGGCAGTCCAGGTGAGCAGGCAGGGGCGTGGGTGGGGAGCAAGGCCCCGTGAGCCGGTTGGCCTGGCCGGGGCATCCTCGGGCCTACTGCAGGGGTGCCCCTGACTCAGGCCTCCCGCTGCCCCCAGCACTTCGACCTCCTGTACAGAACAGTCCAGAGGCTGCTCTTGAAGGCCAAGACGCAGTGACAAGGCCGCCCGCCGGGGCCGCGGGGCGCCTTCCACCTGTCCTGCTCCCCGGCCGGCAGGGCCTCGCCCCGCACCTGCCCGGCAGCTGAACTCTGAATTACAGAGCTGCTCTGTGTTGCTCTTGAGGCTTCGGAGGGTTCTTTCTCTCTCTTGGAGGAGCATCCGATGGGGGGCCCAGGGCCAGGCCACAGGCTTGGGGGAAACCCAGCCCTGGCGGTGGCCTGGTGGCCCTCAGGGCTTGTGCCCAGCGCAGCCTGGGTTCCCTCTTGCCCACAATGCTGGCTGGATGGCAGGCCGAGGGGTCAGGGCCACCCTGCACCCTGGCTCTGGGCATCCTCAACACCATCCTGACCTCCGTGGCAACTGGGGTGCTCTTCCCTCTTGTCCAAAGGGGGCAGCGCCAGCCTCCGTGTTCCGGCCCCTCCCTGGAAGCCTTGAGCCCCCCACCTGCTGGGTAGAGGGGAGTCAGCTCCGTGCAGCCTTGGGACATGTCCCCTGGGCCTGCGGTGGGCGGCGGGCGCCCTGAAGACCCCGTGGCCTCCCTGCCCCCTGCTGTGCGGTCGGCCCCGTGCCGCTTACCCTCCTTCAGCTTCTTGCCTCCTCTGCCCCCCCACCCGTAGCTGCACCTCCTCTCGCCCCACCTGGGCCCCCGAGGCTCTCCCGCAGTGGCTGTGATCTGGCCCGTTCCCCTGGGGACCTGGGTGGTGCCAGCAGTCTCTGGGGCAAGGGGAGGCCGCCCTGGGCCTCAGGTTTCCTGGTCTGTACAAAGGAGCCTATGTTCTGGGGTGCTGGTGCCTCTCCCCCAGGTCGGGGCTAGAGGAGGGCATTTGCTGGGGAAGACATGACCATGGGGCCTGCAGGGCTGCCCTCCCCGCGACCTGGAGTGGAAGGTTTGGATCTGAAACCCATAAGCCAGGCACTTCGGGGGCGTGAGCCCCTGGTAAGGGAGGAGGGGCGGTGGGTGTGGACAGGCACAGAGCTCAGGGAGACCCAGGTGTGCCGATTCATTAGCAATATAATCAGCCGGGTGTCACGTGCTGGTCGGGCAGCTTCCGGGTGGGAGAAGGGCTCTGGGGCAGCCCGGCAGCCGGGCAGCCCCGGGCAGGTGTTGAGGGGACTGAGGCCTGGGGGCCGGCGCTGCTGCCCCCTCCCTGATGCCAACTCCTGGGGTGGGGGAGGCATCGCACCCCTCATCTCTGGACCACTGTCCCAGCTTCCCGGGCCCTGGGAGGGCAAAGCACACAGGCTAGAGGATGCTGAAGGGTCTTTTCTGCCTTGGGCCCCTTCTCCACCCCACTGGGTGGCCTGTCTCCCTTAGACTGTTTACCGAGCGTCTGGCAGCCCAGCCGCCTCGAGGCAGGGCACCGATGGGGGTGGGCCTGTCCTCCCCTGGGAGAGGCGCCTGTGACGTGCCATCCAGTGTGGCCAGGAGAGCGTCCTTCCTCCCGGGCGGGTCAGGAGGGTCGTGGGGCGGTGATGAGAAATAAAGCCATATCAAATGATCAGCCTTGTGTGTCCTGTGGTGGGGGGAGGTTGGAGCCTCGGGATTTGATGGCACCCATTTTAAAGTGTCTTGGGTTCTGTGAGGGGTCCTGCGGCCCAGGGGAAAGCGGTCAGCCTCCTTCCTGTGCCCAGCCTGGACCGGACAGCCTCACGCCCGCTGCCCCACCTCCCGAATGCGGGGAAAGCTGGCTCCTTATCAAACCTGGTGACGGCGTGTTCGTGTTTTGCGATGGCCACACCACAAGCTGGGGGCTGTGGAGCAACACAAGTGTGTCCTCAGCTCCGGAGGCCAGGGTGCTGGTGGGCTGGTTCCTGCAGAGGCTGGGGAGGGTGTGCTCTGTGCCCCGTCTGACCTTCCTCTGCTTGTGGACACACTGCTCCACTGACTTCACGTGGCTGCCTTCCCCCTTATGAGGACCAGCTTTTGCGGGCTTGCCCTGTGCCACATCTTAGCTACCTACATCCCAGCCGGGTCCCATCCTGAGGTTCTGGGTGAATGTGAGGGGCAAAAGGGCTGTGTGAAGACCCCACAGTCCATGTCCACCCCTAACCCCACGCTAGGCTGCATTGAAGTCCCCGTGGGGGGTGGTTCTGGGACACCTGGGTCCAGCGCAGCACTTTGGGGCTACAGGGTCCGGTTCCTTCCCGACCCGGAGCTCCCAAGGGTCCGCCTGGTTGGCCTGGCTCCACAGGGTAGACCCCAGTCTGGAGGTTGTTCCCCCTCACTCCCCAACTTCAGCCCTGCCCTCAGGCGCTGAGCCCCTGCCTGGCCTGCCCAGTTCCCTGGCATGCCAGGTGTTAACTGAGCATCTGTATGTTGGGCTGAGGTTCAGCCCTCAGTAGAAAAGTGCCTTGAACTTAATTCTGAGGGATGGGGGCACAGATGGGCATCTGCGGGGAGAGGCAAGCAATGAGGGATGTGGGGAGTCCTGAGAGGTGCAGTTTAGATGAGTGTTGGGGGGCCCAGGAAGTGAGCTGGTGGGTCCTTCCCCTGGGAGCCCTGAAAGCTGTGGGTGGCGTGGGTACCGGAAGCAGGGGCACTGGCGCCCTCTGGTGGCCGCTGTGGGGAGGACATGGGTGGTGAGGGTGGGAGCTGGGGTCCAGGGGGCATGGGGGGCAGGAAGGGGACCCATGTGTGGGCTGGGGTGGGAGGTTCTTTGGGGCTCTTTTAGCAAGTCCCCATTCCCAAGGTCACAGCCGCTGATTCTCAGACCCTCTTCTCTCCTCCGTCCCCCGCTAGGGCTGGAAGGTGGCTCTAGCCCCAGCACGGGCTCTGGTAAAACCCCACGTTTCAGAGGAAAGGCCAGCCCTCCGTCTTCTGTGGTTAACGCACGCAGATACCTCTCCATTCTGCACAGAAAGTTCCATTGACTGAAACCCGGAAAACAAAAGCCACCAATGACTGCAGCAGAGAGCAGAGCCAGCCGTCATTGATAGGTGATTTTGGGTCCTCCGGTTCCCGGTGTATGTACGTGTGCATAGATACACACACACGGAAGGTCGTTTTGAAAATAGGGTTTGCATATGAATTTTTAAAAGTATCTTTTGAAACAGCACACTGTAGGCATAACGGGCATGCAGCAAGGGGCACACATGCAAAGAGCATGGTGTCACGTGTGCACTGGTGGGGCAGCCACCACTACAAGGTGGCCAACGTGCGGGTTGCCCTTGAACATGTCGTCACTGCCCTTTGCAGCCTCTCCCTGCACCCTTGTCCTCAGGCAATCTCTGGTCATGTCACTATAGATCAGTCTCATTCAGCTGTGCATCAACTCATACTTGCCCCCTGCCATGGGCCAGGTACTGTGCTGGGCTCGGGGATACACTGTGACCTTGTCCCAGCTGCCCTTGGGCTCACCATCCGCTGGGGAAAACAGGTCACAAGTGAAAATAGCCAGAGAGTGGACGCAAAGGCTCTCAAGGAGGGGGGTTTGAGCAAAATCAGGATGACAAGAAGGATTAAGCAGGGTGGAAATCCCGGATGGTCCAGGCAGAGGGCACAGCCTGTGCAAAGGCCCCGGGGCAGGACCATAGCTGGAGTGTTAGAGGATCAGCCAAGAGGTCCGTGCAGCAGGAGCAGAGAGAGCAACGGGAAAGACGGAGGCGTTGGCCGCGCGGGCACCCGGCATTGCTGGGGCCTTTGCAGTCCATCGTCATCGTGCTGGGGAGCTGGCAGGGGTGGGCCAAGGAGAGGCGGGGTGCGGCCTGACTTGTGCTTGGAAAGGTCACCTGCTCCTGGAGGACAGCTGTGAAGATGGCCCCTCGCTCCGTGGCCCTCTCTGTGCGTGTGAGCCTTGCTTCAGGCCCCCTCAGCCCTGGGTGGTAGCAAAGCAGTGCCCGGAAGCATCCAGCAAGGGTGTTGCCTCGGCCAGGACCCCAGAGGGGGCACATCCGGTGGCTCTGATCTCTTCCCCTGGGGTCTTTGTTTTAAGGCAATAAAACACAAACAGATGTCCTTCAAAGCCACCTTCATCCCACCCCTCCACGCACTGAGGGACCGCCCACTGTCTGTATCCTTTTCATTTAAAAAAAAAACTTTACGTACACATTTACAAGCACTAGCCTACTGAACCTGCGTTACCTCGCTCACGGGCTCTGGTAAAACCCCACGTTTCAGAGGAAAGGCCAGCCCTCCGTCTTCTGTGGTTAACGCACGCAGATACCTCTCCATTCTGCACAGAAAGTTCCATTGACTGAAACCCGGAAAACAAAAGCCACCAATGACTGCAGCAGAGAGCAGAGCCAGCCGTCATTGATAGGTGATTTTGGGTCCTCCGGTTCCCGGTGTATGTACGTGTGCATAGATACACACACACGGAAGGTCGTTTTGAAAATAGGGTTTGCATATGAATTTTTAAAAGTATCTTTTGAAACAGCACACTGTAGGCATAACGGGCATGCAGCAAGGGGCACACATGCAAAGAGCATGGTGTCACGTGTGCACTGGTGGGGCAGCCACCACTACAAGGTGGCCAACGTGCGGGTTGCCCTTGAACATGTCGTCACTGCCCTTTGCAGCCTCTCCCTGCACCCTTGTCCTCAGGCAATCTCTGGTCATGTCACTATAGATCAGTCTCATTCAGCTGTGCATCAACTCATACTTGCCCCCTGCCATGGGCCAGGTACTGTGCTGGGCTCGGGGATACACTGTGACCTTGTCCCAGCTGCCCTTGGGCTCACCATCCGCTGGGGAAAACAGGTCACAAGTGAAAATAGCCAGAGAGTGGACGCAAAGGCTCTCAAGGAGGGGGGTTTGAGCAAAATCAGGATGACAAGAAGGATTAAGCAGGGTGGAAATCCCGGATGGTCCAGGCAGAGGGCACAGCCTGTGCAAAGGCCCCGGGGCAGGACCATAGCTGGAGTGTTAGAGGATCAGCCAAGAGGTCCGTGCAGCAGGAGCAGAGAGAGCAACGGGAAAGACGGAGGCGTTGGCCGCGCGGGCACCCGGCATTGCTGGGGCCTTTGCAGTCCATCGTCATCGTGCTGGGGAGCTGGCAGGGGTGGGCCAAGGAGAGGCGGGGTGCGGCCTGACTTGTGCTTGGAAAGGTCACCTGCTCCTGGAGGACAGCTGTGAAGATGGCCCCTCGCTCCGTGGCCCTCTCTGTGCGTGTGAGCCTTGCTTCAGGCCCCCTCAGCCCTGGGTGGTAGCAAAGCAGTGCCCGGAAGCATCCAGCAAGGGTGTTGCCTCGGCCAGGACCCCAGAGGGGGCACATCCGGTGGCTCTAATCTCTTCCCCTGGGGTCTTTGTTTTAAGGCAATAAAACACAAACAGATGTCCTTCAAAGCCACCTTCATCCCACCCCTCCACGCACTGAGGGACCGCCCACTGTCTGTATCCTTTTCATTTAAAAAAAAAACTTTATGTACACATTTACAAGCACTAGCCTACTGAACCTGCGTTACCTCGCACCCTCTCCTCCTTCCATCGGAAGGCACGTGGAGTTACCCCTCCCCTGCTGGTGGACACAGCTGTGCCCACCTTCCCATCATCACAAGCCTTCGTAGGGGCCTTGTGGAGCCCCAGGAGGGAGTGTGTTTCCCCAGAGGTCAGCACACTGCGGCCAGTGGCCTGGTCTGGCCCACTGCCTGCTGTTCACATTTTTACTGGGACTTAGCCACAGTCACCCATTTCTGTACCATCCATGGCTGCTTTCGCATGACCAGGGCAGAGCTGAGCAGAGACCGCGCACCCCGCCAAGCCCCGCTCTGTCCAGGGGAAGCCTGTCATCCCCTTCGGCGCTCTGCTTTTTCTGTTTCCTGGGGGAAAAACTGGCCCCTGCTGGAGAGCAGACAGACCTGCGGTCACTTTGCCCTGGACACACATTCTTGGCTGATCTCGACCCTTCAGTCTCAGTTCTGAGAGTTGCTAACGATTTCAGTCATCGGGAAGCTCCGGGTGGGGCACTAAAGGAGATGTGTCCCGAGGGGCTGTGGGAATTCCACCAGTGGCGCAAGACACACGGGAGTCCTTAGTCCGCACCTGGTGCCTATCCGGGCCCAGAGACCTGAGTGCCCCAGGACGGGAGGCGAGAGGGACACATCTGGGCTCTAAGACACATGACCTTGGCGGAGTGCTGGGGCAGGTGGGCCTCGGGCCTGCTTACCCCCGTGGCTCTAAAGGGACATAGTGGGCCTGTTGCACTGTACTTCACAAACATTTGCTTTCTATTTTCTGACTTTTTATTTTGACACATTTCAGATTTCCGGAAACGTTCTAAGAATAGTACAAAGAACTCCCAAAATCCTTCACGTGTTCTGCAAACGTTAACATTTCTCTCTGTCTCTTTCTCCACCTCATTTCTCTCCGAAGTACATCAATGTGTATTTCCTAAAATCCAGGGCCTTCTCCTCCTTCCTCAGAACAATCACCCAAATTGGAACATGCACAATGAAACAATAGCGTTTAACAGTTACAGACCTGACTCAAAGGTTGGCTGTTGTCCCTGGCAGCCCTTTGTCTTAAAGAACGTTCCAGATCACACAATGGGGTCCCAGCTCCGGAGCTTTCTTTACCCTAGAATGTTTTCCCGGCGTTGCGTGTCATGACCTTGATATGCTTTAAGGGTCCTGGCCAAGGTTCTGTGGAATGTCCCACGGTTCGGGTTTCCTGGTGTTCCCGCGTGAATGGGGTAGAGGGAGCGAGTGCAGAGCTGGCGTGTCCTTCCTGGGCTGTGAGCCCTGATTTCCAGGACCGTGTGGCATCTGCCCACGGTTGGTTCCTGCCTGAAGCCATAACACCCTGAAGGCTTGACGTATGGGGGTTTGTCCTCATCCCAACCCTCCTTTCACGTTTATTCGTTAGGATTATATATCTGCTTTCATTTCTAATTTACAGAGGACAAAGGAGAAGTTCAGCCAGGGGAAGCTTCTTGCCTTGAGGTTGCACGGCAAAGAGTAGGCAGAGCTGGCGTGCAAACACGATTTTTTATTAAAAACAACGCAGCTTTATTGAGAGACATTCACATGCCATAAAACTTACCCTTTTCAAGTGTACCATTCAGGGTTTTTTTAGTGCATTCACAGAGTTGTGCGACCATCACCTCTAATTCCAGAACATTCCATCATTGCGAAAAGAGACCCCATGCCCATTAGCAGACACTCCCACCTGGACCCCTGCCCCTGACAACCACTTCCTGTCTCTGTGGACACTTCACATCAATGGAATCTTACGATATGTGAACCCACGCGTTTTGATTGCAAGTGACAGGAACACACTGGGGCTGGCTCATTCAGAGAAGCAAATTTATTCATCTCTTTTTTTGTTCCAACTTGGAAAATAAAACCCAGTGGCAGCTCCCAGGTTCACCATGGCACACACTCAGCCCCATAGAGCGTGCCACATGTTCCCAATTCAGATTCCCCAGGGGAAAGAATCCATCAGCCCTTCCAGGCAGGTGTCCACTCGGGTCTCCCAGGCTGGGGCCACAGGGGTGGGGCTGCACCGCAGGAGGGCGGGGGGATGGGCCACAACCCCTTCTCTCCTCTCGCCAGGCTTGCTTAGGGGCAGCCGTACTTTGCTTCAGAACTCGCACCCCCCAGCCCTCCCCAGGGAGTGGGGAGAGAATGGGAAGGGTGAGGGGTTGGGCAGGAGGTGTTGGCTGGGCAGGAGGAATCATTCCTATCGCTGAAGCCAGATGGCAAGGATCAGGGACTGGGAACCTGGGAGAGTCCCAGGCAAAGATCAGGGTTCCCACAGGGAGGTGAGTGGGCAGCCTCTATCCCGTGGGGGAAAGGTGGTGAGGTTGGGGCTGGAGATCTCTGTCTGCTTTGTCCATAGGTGTGTGGTGGTGGGAGGCATCTGGGCTGGGTGGGGACTGTGGTGTAGTGCTCGTGGGGGACACACCCCGAACACCTATGCCCTCCTAGAGAGGGGTTGCTTCAACCCCCTGGAGTGCCCTAGCAAAGTTATAGGCAGCCTGGGCAGCGAGGGACTTGGGGGCACAGGAAGACAGGCTGGCTGTACAGAGGCCCCTGGCACAGGGCAGCTCTGGGATGAGCTGCCGACCGACCTGCCCACCCCTGCCTCTCCACGCAGCAGAAAGCCAGGATGTTGGCAGGACTCCACCTCCTGGACAAGGCTTAGAGGGACATGGCTTGAGGCCTGAAGGGTGGCCTGTCAGGTCTGCCGGGGTGTTGGCTGGGCAGGGGCGGTGGGGACCCATTTCTCCTCCTGGAGGGGCTCACCCCTTTTCATGCCCACATCTTATGAAATCCATCTGTTCTCTCATTCAGGCCTCCGGGCTGCCTTTCACAGAACTGTCACCACTCCGTCCCCATGTTACCCATAGTGGAGGCGGGGCTTGAAGAGTTGAAGCGACTCCCCCAAAGCCACACAGTACAAACCACCTCCAGCTTCCGGTGCACCGGCCCCTAAACCAGGGGCTCCCAAAACCTGGGGCTCCCAGCTGAGGGAAAGACCACAGAGAAAGGGCTGCCTTTGTCAGCCCACTCGCAGTTCCATTTTAAGGAGGAAGGAAGGGGTCTCTGTCGTCTCTAATGCTTGCTGATCACTCTTTTGAACCCAGAGCGAGCCAGCGAAACTCAGGTGGCAGCGTCCAGCTCGAATCTCCTGACAAGTGGGGTCTCCACTGCCTGTCTGATCAACCTCATTCCCCTTTCGGGTGGCTATGTAAATTTTCCTTTAGGATAAACTTGTCTCTTTTTTTTGTTTAAAGTTGACCGATACCAAGAAAGAGGTCGTGTAAGTTGTAGTAAGTACCGGTGCGTTTCCGCTCATCAGGATGGCTACTACTTAGAACAAAAAGCGAACTAGCAGGTGTTGGCAAGGCGGTGGAGAAACAGGGAACTTCGTGCATGGCTGGTGGGGGCGGAGGATGGGGCAGCCACTGTGGGAGGTGGCGTGGTGATTCCTCAAAAGGTTGAACATAGAATCACCCTGTGCCCTAGAAATCCTGCTCTGGGTCGATACCCTAAAGAACAGAAGCAGGGAGTTGAACAGATATTTGTACACCCATGTCGGCATGATTCGCACTAGCTCCAAGGTAAAAACAACCCCAGGGCCTCCCTGCAGAGGGATGGGTGTGCACACGGGGTCCACCCGCACGCTGGAATAGCATCCAGTCTGTAAGAGGAAGGACATTCTAGCACCTGCTACAACGTGGGTGAACTTGAGCGCCAGAAAGGCAAGCGACTCCCAGAGGCCCCGTCCCCCCACCCCCGCTGCTTCGGGAACAGCCCGAATCCTGAGCCTCCTGCCGTGATGCCAACGGCGACAGGCCCCTCCCCTCGGCACACAGGCTGTTTTGTCTCCCCAGCCCCCCACTCCCTGACGCGGCTGAGGGTGGGCCAGCAGGACCAGGAATAAGCTCCCCGCGTGTGTATCATTCAGGAGGCGGGATGCTGAGTCTAAGCCCCAGGAGGCCAGCCTGCCCTGAGCTGGACCGGGCCTCCCCCACCCCTTCCCCTCCAGCTTGTTTTGGGTGGACGAGAGAGGCTGAGAAAAACGCATCTCTGGCTCACAGGAGGGCTGGTGAATTTTATTTTTATTCTTTTTAACGGCTCCTTTTGCACATCAGAGGCCCACAGGGCTTCGAGCCTCGTGCTCAGGTCTCCATGGAGACAGAGCCTGTCACCGGACCAGCCCGGGCGAGCAGGGCCCAGGGGTGAAACACCATGGGGGGACTCAGGACCCCTCCCACCCCTGCTCTGCTTCCCACAAGCCCTGTTGAACTGCTCGCGTCTGGGGGTGGGCAGGTGGCCACTGGTAACACGCACGATAATAGCCATTTATTGAGCGCTAAGGATGAACCAGGCACTGTGCCGAGCCTCGCCCATTAGCTCACCGAATCTATGTCAGAGACTCCGTCCTGTTTACTCTTTCCATGTCAGTTGGCAAACAAGGAAACAGGCTTAGCTGCCTACAGCATGGGGAGGATGAAGTGGGACGTGGGAGTGTGTGGGCTCCAGAGTCCGCCGTCTGGGTTCAGATCCCAGCACTCTCACTGTGTGACCCGTGCAAGTCACTTGACCTCTCTGGGCCTCAGTTCCCCCCTCTGTAGAGTGGGCATAGGGGCAATATTTACCTTCTACAGTCGCTGTGGGGATTGGGCTGTGACTGAGGTGAGCTCACGTTGGGGGTAAAGTTGAAAGGACACCAAAGAACTCAGACCTCAAGAGAGAGACTATTTTAGTGCATTTTAAAAATCAGCATCAATGTCCCCAAAATCTGTAGTGAACAAAATGTCAGCCTTTTAAATAGACTCAGTATTACTGAGTTTTCCTTTTGGCTCGGCGTGGCACTGTTGCTGACTTCATTTTTAATGCATCTATTTGTGTTTTTAATTAAAATCTTAAAAACAGAGACAGGATCAGTAGCAATGCTGGGCCGAGCCAATGGGAAAACTCAATAATATGATGCTATCCTTATTTAAAATGTTGATATTTTGTTGCTTATAGTTTCTTGCATTTTTATTTTTTAAATATTCCATTAAATATCTTTATAAACAATTCAGTATGCTCACAAATTGTGCAGCCATCATCTCTAATTCCAGAACATTCCATCCCCCCAGAATAAGCCCTATCCCCATGAACATTCACTCCCCAGCTCCCAGCCCCCACAAACCCACGTTCTGTCTGTGGATTCGCCTGCTGTGGACGTGTCACAGAAATGGGGTCACATCGTGTGGCCTTGTGTGTCTGCCATCTCACTGAGCACCGTGTGTCCGGGGTCAGTCCACGTGAAGTGTGTGGCAGGGCATCGCTCCATTTCGTGGCCTCGTGGTGTTCCCTGTGTGGATGGACAAACGTTCTATATCCATACAATGGAATATTATTTATTCTGACGACTGAGTTTTTTGCTCCCTCTCCTCATATTTTGCGCAGGAAGTGAGTGCCTCCCCCTAGTCCTGGCCCTGAGATTAAATTAATATTTCGTTATCAGTTGCTCAGCTCAGTGCCTGGTGTGGAGCCCCTGAGTCTGTCTCCTTCAGCCTGATGCGGATGCCACTGCCTCATTCGCTTTGCATGGTGCTCTGCCTGCTAAGGTCGTTCCCCAAATCTGTCAGGTGGCTCCTGCCTCAGGGCCTTTGCACTTGTGGCCCCAGTCACCTCTTAGCTCAAAGGTCATCCCTTCTGAGCGGCCTTTCGCTTTGCCTTCGGAGGCCACCCCTCCAGTCACCCAGCTCTGTGTTCATCAGGGCACTTAACAGAATGAATTTGTACACATCACGCACTTAGCATGGAGCCTGGCAGCTGGAAAGAGCTATATGGTTTATCAAATAAATGTATAGCATACTAGAATTAAGTTAAAATGGGTATAAATGCTATGGGAGGAAAAAGGGGCCTGAGAAAGGAAATAATAGTGGCTGAACAGTTTTAGATAAAGTGGACCCAGAAAGTGATAGAGGATTGACAGAGTGAGCGATGTGTGACCTGGAAAGGGCATTCCATGCACAGGGCACAGCCATGCAAAGGCCCTGGGGCAGCACTAGGCCTGGTGTGTGGGAGGAACAGCGAGGGGCCCTGTGTGGCTGGAGCAAAACAAGTAAAGGGAGGCGGGGAGGGCAGAGAGGGGCCTGGCACATTGTGCAGGGTCTGGTGGGCTGTAGGGAGGGCTCAAGCTCTAATTTGGGGATATCTTTAGAATCTTAAAGCAGGGGTGACATGACCCCCATAGAGCCCTTGGCCCAAGTGCATCAGTATCCTTTGAAGTATTTTGAACAGCATATGCATGTAGCAAGTGTGATTAAAAAGTTACTTCTGCTCGCTGTTGATGTGAACATGATGATGGATCTCTCTGTTCAGTAAGTGTACAGTTAGGGGTACCGAACACAGTGCCAGGCACATGGTGTTATGAGGGTTCCTTGCCGATATTGTTATTTATCGGTGAGTTATGTATCTGGAAGTGCCAGGTCAGCTCTCTGTAAACGTGTGCGCTCTCTCTAGTGATTTTCTCTGTTGTCACTGGGAGGGGCTGGTGCCACTTGCAAGCCAGATCTGTCCCGCACGAACCTTCGTGGCCACCCACCCAGAACGGGGGAGTGGGGCCTGCGGGGCTGCTGGCCTCAGTTTCCCCGCCCAGACTGGGAGCGTGGTTACGAGACCGAGAGGTGGGGTGTGAGGTGCCCAGGGCGTGAGGATGCAGGGCACAGGAGGCGGCGTGCGGGCTGCGGGGCGCGCGGCCCGGGGTGCAGGGCGGGGGTGCTTTGTGGTGTGGGGTGCAGGACGCGGGCTGCGGGACGCGGGCGTGCGCCGGCCGCCAGGGGCCGCTGCGGAGCGCCCTTTTGTGGTCCTGATGCTGGAGCGAGCGGGCGCGCGGAGGGAGGAGGGCGCGGGGACGGGGCGGGAGGGAGCGGGAGGCGGCGTCCGTCGCTCCAGCTGCGAGTCCGCCCGCCGCCCGCCGCCGGCTCGGTCCCGCGCCCGCCATGGCCCGCCTGACGGAGAGCGAGGCGCGCCGGCAGCAGCAGCTGCTGCAGCCGCGGCCCTCGCCCGTGGGCAGCAGCGGGCCCGAGCCCCCCGGGGGGCAGCCCGACGGCATGAAGGACCTGGACGCCATCAAGCTCTTCGTGGGCCAGATCCCGCGCAACCTGGACGAGAAGGACCTCAAGCCGCTCTTCGAGCAGTTCGGCCGCATCTACGAGCTCACGGTGCTCAAAGACCCCTACACGGGCATGCACAAAGGTGGGCGCCGGCCCCCGCCCCCCGGGCCTCCCCGCCGCACCTCCGGCACCTCCCCCCCGGCCCCGCTCCCTCCCCGCCTCCCCCGGGGGTGCCGCTGACGGATCCGGGCCGGCCCCCTCCCCTCCTCCGCCCCCTCGCCCTCCCTCCCCACCTNCCTCCCGCTCCCCCGGACCCCCACCCCTCCCTCCCTCCCTCGCCCTCCCTCCTGCCCCTCAGCTGGGGGAGCCGCCTGAGCACCGCCCCCGCCCCCCGCTCACCCGGCCTCCCCGGCCCGTCTGGGAAGCTCGCACCTCCGGACTCCATTGCGTTGCTCATTTTCACAAAGCCAGGCCGGTGGGGCAGGTCCGGCTGGCCGCGGGGGACACGGATGCCCAGGACCCCGGGCTAATCGGTAACTACAAAGAAAGCGGGGGACGGTGGGGGGGCGGGCAGGGAGCTGAGCCAGGCTTGGGGGGGGTACCAGCCTCCCCGGCGTGGGGTGGTTAAAGTGCTACCGTCGGCCTCCCCGCTGCCCACCCTGTTTGGACCAGCTTCCCGCCTCCCGTCCGGTGCCCTCCTCCCTCTCCTCTCGGCCTCCACCTTTGGCCCAAGTTAAACCTGGCCGAGCCCGTTAGCAATGTGCTGGGGTCTGAGGCCAAAGACCGTGAGCCTGGCCCATCCCTCTGGCGGAGCCCAGATCCTGGGGTGGACAGAGAGGAGTGGGTGACAAGGGAGCCCAGGGGGGGCGGAGGCAGGAGGAGTGGGGAGGCCTGCTGGCCTCCCTCCCACCTGGTTCTCTCGGATGCTTGGGAGGAGTGCCTGGGGACCGTGGTCCCAGCCCTAGGCTCTGACGATTGGCCCAGCGTCTGAACTGGAGTGGCTTTGACAGGTCTCCTGTCCTGGGGGGTGGGGACAGCGAAGGTTTTATGCTGGACAACCCTGGCAAGACCATGGAGGGGCTTTGAAGGTGGACCAAAGCCCGTGACCTATTTTACACCCCGTTGGTCCCCATCCTCTCCTCAGCGAGGCAGACATGTCCAGCACGGGTATGTTTGTTGAATGAATATGGGAGTGAGTGGATGAGTGAATGAATGAATGATGGGTTGGGGCAAGCCACAGGGAGAGTCTCAGGCGATGGAGCCAGGCCTGCCAGCTCAACCCTCCAGCTGGTACCCTGGGGGCAGGAAAGAAATCCCTCCCATCCCCCCACCTCTTTTTAAATCCAACCACCACCGCCAAAAAAAAAATGAAGCCTGGAAAATCCAACTCCTCCATGTGGCCTAGGAGGGCAGAGGGCACCCACTTGCTCATGAGTCAAACTCAGGGTTTCCTGGCTGTATGGAGGGCTCTTCCCACAGGCCCCCACCCTCTGGTGTTTCTGAAGGGCCCATTTCTTGAAATATTATGATATGGGGGAGGGGGGTGTTCGCGTGGCCCCCAAAACCTTGAATTGAAAGGCTGTTGGCAGGCTCTGGGTCAGGCAAGCAGATGGGCAGTGGGGGAACCTGGTGGTCCTCCCCTTTGTCGCGTGGAAGTCCCCCCACCCCCCGTGTGGGGGAGGGGCTGTGGTTGCTTTTCCACTTGCCCTAAGGCCTCAGTGTCCCCCCCACCTCCAGTCAGCAGAGCAGGGCCCCATGAATGTGGGGTTATTTTTCTCTGACTGGAGATTGTTGGGATTGGGGGTGCCTCAGGGTCTGAAGGCCCATTTCTGATCTTCACTTGGTGTCACCCACTGTCTCCCTCCCAGGCCTGGTGGATGGGAATGAAAACGCAGGGTGTCCCTGACACCCGGCCCTCTCCCACCACTTGGCAGGGGCCCTGGGCTGGGTAGACCTCTGGATGTAGGGCCTGGGGCTAAGAGGGGGCAGGTGCTTCCCTGTATCCACCCCCAGGACTCTGAGGCCAAGAATGAATTCCCGTCCTGGTCCCACCTGTGCTGGGCCTGGCAGGACCTCACCTGTGGGAGGTGGTTGGGGCAGCTGGAGAGGGGGCGGTATCTCAGTTCTAGCAGGTGGAGGCCTGCGTTTGGGGCCTTAGTGGTGTGACCTCTGGCCAGTGGCTGCCCCTCTCTGGGCCTCAGCCTGAGGGAGGTGGCATGATGAGTGGCAAGTCAAGAGTGAGGGGTGTCTGGGCACCTCCCACCAACAGTTACCGGGGTGAGTTTCTGGGGAGCCGACAGCACGGGGTGCCCGCTGTGGTGCTCGCTGGGAGTGGGGCAGGGTTGGGTGTGGACCCCAGGGGGTGGAGAGAAATCTCCCTGAGAGCCTTCTGCGGTGCTGGGGGACCCCGTGAGGATGAGCACAGGGGAGCTTCAGGGCCAGAAAGGCTGATGTGACTAAATCCAGTGCGGATCCCGTGTCCCCCGCCACACACCCACCTCCACCCCGGGGCCATGAGCGGGGAGGAATGTGCAGCATCTCGGCCTCACAGGCATCTCAGTCTGACGGGCATCTCAGCCTGATGGGCATCTCGGCCTGTTTGGCATCTCAGCCTGATGGGCATCTCAGCCTGATGGGCATCTCGGCCTGATGGGCATCTCGGCCTGATGGGCATCTCAGCCTGATGGGCATCTCGGCCTGACGGGCATCTCTGATGGGCATCTCGGCCTGATGGGTTTCTCGGCCTGATGGGCATCTCTGATGGGCATCTCGGCCTGATGGGTTTCTCGGCCTGATGGGCATCTCGGCCTGATGGGTTTCTCGGCCTGACGGGCATCTCTGATGGGCATCTCGGCCTGATGGGTTTCTCGGCCTGATGGGCATCTCGGCCTTATGGGCATCTCGGCCTGACGGGCATCTCTGACGGGCATCCCGGCCTGATGGGTATCTTGGCCTGATGGACATCTCGGCCTTAGTTTTTGCATACAGGGGCCTGTCTGACTCCCCACTGAAGGGGTTCTCAGAGGCAGTCTTGTGAGCGTCAACACATTTCATACAGAAGGGAACCTGAGGCCTGGAGGGGCAGATACTGGGTCCTGAGGACCAACCAGAGCCCGGCTCCTTCACTGTCACCCACCTGTCTCCCTCCCAGGCCTGGGGAAGCAGAATGTACATCTGTGTGACAAAGGGGTGACAGGTTCCCCCCAGCCAGGAGTGAGACCCCTCCCCAAAGGGAGGAGGGCACCGGACGGGAGGCCCTGCCCAGGAGGGGGAGGGGGTGGGTGGGGGTGGGGCGGGGCGGGGCGGAGCGACCCAATTCCCGAGGGCCTGTACAGTGGGGGCGCTGGGAACAGGGCAGGGGAGAGGCGGGAGGGGAGCGCCCCTCAGAAAGAGGGCAGGCCCATGGGCGCTGGCTTTTTTGTTTTTAAGGCAGAGATGGAGACAGAAGTGAAGAGATGGACAGACACAGAGCAAGAGTCAGGAGACTGAGACAGACAGGCTGAGAGAGGGGGCCCCCACTTGCACGCAAGGAGAGGGATGGAGAGGGGGAAGCAGGGAGGGCGCACGACCACTCCCCACCCAGATTTGTGTCTCATCCAGAGAAAGGGGGCCTGCCTGTGCCCCCAGCCCGGCCTGACCTGCCAGTCAAGAAATGGGGGACTCCAACAGGCCAGTGTCTAGTGACCCCCCAGCATCCAGTCTCCAGCCAGGGGTGGCCCCCTCCGGGACCCTCCCTTGGAGAGGGCCGGGGGCACACTCCCCACCTCCCTGCTGCCAGGTCCTCAGATTGGCTCAGGCTGCCCCTCTGTCCCCGCGATGGGGGCCAAATATTAATCCCTGCCCCGCCCAGGGTGGGCGCCCACGATGGGATGGTCTGTCACCGCCGAGTGGCCCCCCATTTATGGTAATCGCATATTGCATTTGCATGTTAATGACAATATTGGTCTTAAAGCGGAGGTTGCAAGGGGGGCTGTGCAAGTGGGGGGTGCAGCTGGGGGCCTGCGGTTTCCATGGGAGCACCAGCTGCTTGCTCGTTGGCAGGAGGGGAGGATGGTGAGCACGCTGAGCTCCGAGGCGTGAGATTCCGAGTGTGACGTGCCAGCCCCAGGGAGACGGCGTGCTGGGCGGTGCCAGCAGGGGGACCGAGGGAGGGGTTGGCAGAGGGGACAGCAGCATGGGGGTGCTGGGGTGAGCCACCCAGGCTGGCTGTGTGGCCTCAGGCCTGAGACACCCTCTCTCTGCCTCAGTTTCCCCCCGCCGACCATTCTGTACTGATTTAACAGGCTTTGATGGGGGGTCCCTGGGGCATCACAGGTGTCTGTGACATCATTTCTGTGCCTCAGAGAACGTTGGTTGAGCACCTACTGTGTGCCAGTGTTTGTGCGGAGCTGGGATCCCTGTGGGATTCACGATGGAGTGAACGAGACATGAATTCATTGACCCACATAACCAACATCCATCAAGCGCTTGCTGTGTGCCAGGCCCCGTTCTAGACCCGGGGTGCAATGCTGAGCAAAAGAGATTAAAATCTGCTCCCCTCCAGACCCATCTGGCCCCACGTCCCAGTCTGGCGGAGGCACACTGAGGAATGAGGAGCTCGCAAGGCATGGATGTCGGGACTGTGATGGTGGAAACACACCGGCAGGGATAACAGCCCAGAGGAGGTCTCTGCAGGTGTGGAGGCTGGGAGGGCTTCCTGGAGGAGGCGGTCAGTGTGGGAGAGCAGTTAAGAACACAGTGGTGAGATGGTTCCGGTTTCTTTGTGTCTTCCCAGCTATGCAGGCTTGGGCAGGTGCCTTCATCTCTCCAAGCCCCCGTGTTGTCACCTGTAGAATTCAGAGCTCTGTGGGGCCTCCCACTTCAGAGGGGGTGGGGATGGTGGGGACTGGAACGTCAGTCAAAACTCTTGGCCTGGGGCTGGGTCCAGAGTACGTGCTTGGTCAGTGGGAGCTGGGCTTAGTATGTGGCTGAGCTGAGACCTAAGGGGGTCAGGAGTTCTGTTGGTGCGGAAGGTCTTCCTGGCAGAGAAGAGTGTGTTCAGAGGCTTGGAGGGGCAGCAAATTCTGGCAACTTCAGGGGGTTCAAGTGGGGGGAGGATGGGGGTCTTGCCCGGGTGTGAAAGGAGCAAGGAGTTCCCTTCTGAGGTGGGGCTTACCGGGCAGGTCTTGTCTGCAAGGTTCAGGCAGGCGTGGACCCGGGAGCCTTCTCTGAAACAGGCTTACATTTCTGTTCGTTACCCCTGAGAGTCACTCCTGCGAAACTCGGCCATTAAGAACACTCAGTGTTCATTCATTCAACCAATACTTCCTGAAACCTTTTGGGGCCTCACCTTATCCTGGGTGGGAGAAGTCTGGGACCCTCTGGTGGAGAGACAGAGCTGGTCATTGGCACCGCCCACCATAGCAGTCAGGGTCCATCAGAGGGGTGCAGGGTTGAGGGAACTGGATGGGGAATGGGGGGGCTCTGCCTGGGGAATCCAGCTGCATGGAGAAGTGGTGTTAGAACTGGGGCTTTGAATGATGAATAGGAGCTTGCCAGGTGGTGAAAGCATTTCATTTATTTATTCACAAAGGCACTTATTGTGTTCCAGGCCCAGTGGGTGTGAAACACGGTGGTGAGTCAGCTGGGTGTGTGGCTCTGTCCTTATGAATGTGGGCAGAGGGGATTGGGTTTGCAGAGGCCTGGAGGGATGAAGGGCACCCCTGGATCAGAGGGGGGAATTAGGCAAGGCATGGGAGATGAGGCCAGGGGGTCAGCAAGGGGCTGCCCCCTGGAGGCCCTCCGATGCGGGACTGAACTTGGATTCTTTCCTGAGGGCCATGGCAGAGTTTAGGGCAGGGGAGGATCTCAGACCTGCGTGGAAAAGGAGCCTACATCCTGTTGCCTGCCACTATCCCACCAA